TAGCGTAAGATTATTTTAAGACAGATATTGGGAAACGTTTTTGTTTTGCACAGCGGGCGATTAAAACAACTGGAATTGGGTATCAGGAAGGGTGGTTGAGGCTACTGCACTGGACTTGTTTAAGAAACAAAGTATAACCCCTGCTCTTTCACCTGTAATGTGGGGATGCGTGCAGTCAAATTATCACACAGGCGCCCTGAATCTCATACGCTTTTTAAAACAGATAAGCAATGGACCGGATTATGTGTGTTGTAAAACAGTTACACATCGTCAGGACTTGGAACCCATATAATCTACGCTGACGCTCCAGTGTAAGTGCTAGGGGTGTTGGGAACCTTCATGGTCGGAGGTGTCGTCCTTCAGATGAGACATTAAACTAAAATCTGTCTGCATAAAGACCCTGTTGGCACTATTCAAAGAGGACGGAGTTTCCCCCCCATGCTCATTCACCCCCATGGTTGTTTGTGGGGCGTTGCTGGGCGCAAATTGGCTGCCGGGTTCGCCCCCACAACACGCCGTAAATCGTGTGACGGCACTCTGAGACTTCTGAACGATTTGGTAAGGCGTTGCATCAATTGCAAGGAATATCATCAGAAAACCGAGCAATTTTGTTGTTTATGCCTGATTGGGAAGGCAACCAGCTGTGCAATATAAAGTAAATTCAGTTTGGCTTGCAATAAGGGGATTAGACAGCCACTCCTGGCACATTGAGGAGAAATTAACCAAAGTCCCAGCAAACAAAGAGGCCTTTAAGCTATCCCGCTCTGAAGTCAATGTTAGGATTGAATGGCTCTGTGATCAGACCCTGGTTTGAGTTTGCAGTGAAATACAGGCCTGCTCTTTGTAATGCAATATGACAGCACAGATTCGGGTCGCGGTGGGAAGATTTAGAGGGTTTTTTCCCCCTCCAGTCGTATGATGTGTGGGGAGGAACGTCTTTTCTTAATCTTCCACATCTGCAGAAGTCTAATTCAGCGAATTCTCTGCCACATGCCAATTGGTACCACATCCTGACATGCTGTGAGTTCAGTTTAAATAAACAACCCGAGAGAGAGAGAGAGAGAGAGGAGAGAGAAAAAGAGAGAAAAGGAAGGACTAACATTATTAGTTAAGTTAATATTAGTTATACTGATATTCAACAATAATAATCCTTGCTCTTGATGCTTCACCTTTCATGTCGGGAGGGCGGCATGAAACTGCTTCACGGGGCATCGTGTAGTGACTGCATTTTGGAGACGGAACACAAAATCAGCTTATTTGCAGCAGTGAATAACTCAAATTTATCAGGGGAGGATTGTCGGTCAGGACAGCGGGAGAAACTCCCTTGTCTTTTTAAATGGGTTCCACAGAATCTTTAACAACCACCTGAACAGGGTCTCAGTTTAATATCTCATCCAAAGGACGCCACCTCTGCCAATGTAAAGGACCCCCAGCTGCACTGCAGTGTCAGATGTAGATAACTAGATAAACTCATTAAACAGAGGAAAACTGGTAGTAGATAGTTAAATAAATCAATAAACTGATCGACATTTTGTTGTTGTTCTCCCCCACCCCACACACACACACCTGGATTTGGCTTGAAAGCGCTTAGCTGAAGTTTAGGAAGGCAGTAAGTAAACACTTTGTTGAAATGACATTCGGATAGAATCTATACCATGACCGTGACACTTAAATAGAATTCGGTCCCCTTTGCGATATTTCAACAGTGATTGTACTTTGAGTAATAAGCAAGTATAAATTGGCTTTCAACAAGCCACCCCGTTAAGAAAGAAACATGAGCATTGAGCACAGAAACAGGCTGTTCAGACCATCAGACCTGCTCTGTCAGGGAGAAAGTCACACTCTTTAATAACGATTTTTTTAAAAAAAAATCCGTGTGACCTTTCGGAAAAATATTACACGGATGATCTTAATAGTGTTCCCGCGTTAGACCAAAGTTCACCGGGAGAAAACATTGGAACTGAATCTGTTTAATCGGTAACAATGCTTGGATTTACACACACATACACACACACACACACTCACGGTCTCGCAGCCAAAAGTCCCGCGTGCTCTTATGCAAGATTATAATTAAAGCCTGCAAAATCATCGCTTATTATTAAAAACAGGTGTCCAATAAGTGGCTTCAGCGCCACAGTTAAACAGGCTTACGTTGGCTTAGTTGAGCTATGAAACGAAAGGCCGGGCATGTTATATGTGGAAAATCCAAAGATCAGTGATTCTGACTGACTGGAACATTTGCTGAATCTCGCCCGGGTGAGGGCAGGGAATGCAAATAATATAGGGATCTTTAGCGCACAGTCTAGACTGGCACTCCAGCGCAATGCTTGGCACAAACATTTTAAAGGGATCACACACTGTTCCTGTCTTAAATCTGAAGGAAGCCTACGGCGGGGAACCTGACTTGGGAAGACAGGGGTGGGGGTGGGGAGACACACCACGGATCAGAATAAAGTACTAACAAATCCTCACATTGTGACCATCAAACAGTGACATAAACTATGTCATAGAAGCAAACACATAGATGTATATTCTAAGTCAACTGTCCTGACCTGCAAGTGGTACTACTGTATTCTGCTCTGTGTTGAGTTTAAGGCTTATTTTGCACAAGCTGGTCTGTGCAAATTGTCTTAAGAATCTAAATCCCTTCTCGAATAAAGGAAGGAGAGATACTGACCCTCTCACTACAGGGGAGGGGAGGCACGGAGTTTGGTGCGGGTGAGGATGCAGACAGTGGAGTTTTGGAAATTGGTTAAGAATTTATAAAAACTAATAATAATTGCATTTTTAATAGAGTGCCTTATGACATCCATCACTGAGATACCTCAAAGTGCTTCACAGAATATACTGTAATATATATATATATACACACACACACAGGAATAGTGGAGCTAGGGGCAGACACCTAGTTACACTATATATTTCAGCTTTTCAATGCCGGGCTATGAAATAACTGCCGTTCAATTTTAGATGAAAATCCCAGTCTGGCTGACAAACGAGACATAGAGTAATACCCACAAAATCCCATGATTTGCCTCATTAGTGACAGCAGAGGTGCCCTGAAACAGAACAAATCGGATCTCCCAGGCAGTGCTCAGCAAAATGCCAATTGGCTTCTCATCTTTGAAAAGTCACAGCTGTGGTCTCTCCTCTCCAGCTGTTGCGAATCATCTGTTTGTTTTGATCTTCTTCAATAAACTACATCAGCAGGTTCAGAATACCATTGCCTCAGTCCAGCCTCGGCCACAGGTTTATTTTAAACCCAGGGTTTTTCTCACTCTCTCTACGTTTCCTGTGCCAATATAGGAATATAGGAACAGGAGTAGGCCATTCAGCCCTTGAGCCTGTTCCGCCATTCTATTAGATCATTGGCTGTTCTGTACTTCAGCTCCCCCCACCCACACACCCACACACACTGGGCAATTTCCGTAATTGGTGCGAAAAAGCAGCCAAACAAACTCCTACAAAGTCAAATAGAACAAAGCACTCAGGTTCCCGAGGCAATTAAATTCGTGAAGGTTAATTACGCTGTGACTGGAGTTCCAAATGCAGGGAGTGGAGCCAGCTCACAGGCTGCGTGGTTTGGCTTTGGGAATAGATGTCCATTGCTAAACAAACACAGGCTCAGCGAGTGCCTGGGAGCTGGGTTCACAGCTGAATGTTGAGAAACTAGACTCGAGTTTTATCGAAGTTCAAAGAAACCGGCTCGACAGTGGCACGCACTGTAACGTGGATCGAGTTTTAGGCAGCCAGACCAATAATCTACAACTTATGTTAAATGGACTCGTGCAAAGATGCTTCTTAATGCGTTATCACGACTTATCACAATCTAAATGCACGCGCACACACACACACACACATACAGAGCTTAAGCGCTTTGAGACGTCCTACCGATGTGAAAGGCGTTGTATAAATGTAAATCGTGTTGCATCTTTCAAACTCGCTCTACTTGAAGGATCAAAACTTTAGTTACTTTCCAGTCTTCGGGCCCTGCACCTGTTAAGAATGTTTCACTTCCTTCTAGTTCTAACCCAATCTCAAAAGCTCGTAGCTGCATCCCACCCGTGGCCCTGACATCTCCTCAATGCTTGAGGGTTCCTGCCTCTTTTCAATGACCATTTCAACTCATCGCCAATCTCGCTCCCCTTAGTGCGCTCGGATGCACCTGCTCCCTCTTCAATCAGCAACGACAAGCGGGAGCAGAAACACTGGGCTGTTGGGTACGAGGAGCTCTTCACAGTCCTGTAGCAATTTAATCTCATCACTCGTATCCCGAGTCACGTTCAGCTTGCCGTTGCCAAAAGCAGCCCTTCCTGAAATGCTGTACACTGTCCAGGGCCTTGGGACATCCTCCCGACATGAAAGGCGCTATACAAATGTAATCTTGCTGTTGTTGTTCCTCTTCTGGCAATCTGACTTAAGAGACTTGTTTTCCATCGGACAAGTTGGGTCAAAGCACAACCAGGGTATCACAACACTCCCTACAGGGACAGAGACCCATTGATGCAGTTGTGTGGTCAACGGTGAGGGCAATATCAGGCTAGGCCAAGTTGCTCCGGTCTTGAATTCCTCCATCGCTCCATCCGCTCCCAACCGACCCAGAGATTTGGATGAAATCGGCGTGATGGCAGTGTTTGTGTTTCAATACGTATATAATAATAAAGACAGTAATCTTCGCACTTGATATAGCATTGTCGAGATGTATCAAAGCGCTTTATCCTCACATTTTCAAGACTGGGATAATGGAATTGAGGTACAGATCAACCGTGATCTAATTAGAATGGGGGAGCAGGCTCGAGGGGCTGAATGGCCCATTCCTGTTTCTATCCTGCGAACGCGTGTACGTTGAGCGCGAGTATACTTTGCGGGCGGACACGGCAGCCGATCCACACACAGCGGCGTTGCCACAAACAGAGTAAACGCGAGTCGTCAAACAATTCTCCCAACTCATGACCTGGGTTTTCCCCTCCCCTGTGTTCTGTTTTTTTCTCTCTCACAAGTGGGAGCGGAGTCCTTCAGCGCCAGGAACCTGGCTCTTCAGGCCCAGAAAAAGATTCTCAGCAAAATGGCGACAAAGACAATGGCCAGCATGCTGATCGACGAGACGAGCAGCGATATCCTGGACGAGCTGTACAGCGTGACCAGGGAGTACACCGGCGACAAGAAGGAAGCCCACCGGGTGCTCAAGGACCTGATCAAGGTGGCCTTGAAGATCGGGATCCTCTACCGCAACAGCCAGTTCAACCAGGAGGAAGGGGAGACGGCGGAGAAGTTCAAGAAGAAGCTGAACCAAGCGGCCATGACGGCCGTCAGCTTCTATGAGGTGGAGTTCACCTTCGACACCCAGGTCCTGGCGGTACTTTTGAACGAGTGCAAAGACCTGCTGCACAGACTGGTGGAGCGGCACCTGACCCTCAAGTCCCACGGGCGCATCGACCGTGTCTTTCGGCTCTACGCCAGCTCGGACTTCCTCTGCACCCTGTACAATCCACGCGGGGTTTACAGACCGAACCTGCAGAAAATCTGCGCAGGCGTCAATAAACTGCTGGACGAAGGAATCCTATAATGAGCGTTTCGCCATGAAAGCCAGAGCACACTTCCCTGACGATCTGTAAAGTACACACGCACACACTCATGCACACACGCGCGCGCATTCCATCGAGGATGAATTTTGTGGCACATTTGCGCTGTGTGCATCCATGCTAAATTCCTGAGAACCGCTTTGTCCGAATGTTATAAATCTGTTGATGAGCGCGCAAAGCAAAGCCTTCGTATTGTCTGCTTCTCTTTATTTTCCTCAAATCGCTGCGTAGGAATACACACGGTGTGGCTAAAGCCGTTGCTTTGACGGCTTTGATTTGCACCCTGCGTTGAGTTAGTTGATGCCAGTGTAAGGCCACTGGGATTGATGTGACTGAGCCCCATTTGCTGGTTGTTGTTAATCTGTCGCAAAAGTAACGGTGCGTCAGCTTTAACTCACCCGATAAAGTTAGTCCATAAACTACAAACTAGTAGAACGTTGGCTGCAAGCCAGTTCTAAAACTAGTAACAAAAAGAAATCCAACTCCTCTTAACTACAGTAGAAATGAAATTTCCCCGTAAATATTCCACGCAGCCTTTTACAGCGACTTCGACAACAAATTCTGCACTCTTAAAAGCTTGGAATCTGGCCAATTTCACAAGTTCCAGTACTTCAATAGATGAGACGCGTTCATCGCAGTCCAACGGAAGTTCACTGCACGTAAGACCACAGCAACAGCTCAATTTTTATTCCCAATGGAACACCGGCAATCCTCATTCACACAGACGAGACTGGATCCTGATGGAAACTTTCCGCTTCCTTTCCTTAAATTTACTTTGGCTGTCGTCGTGATGAAATGCAACAGGTGATGCGTTTACCTACAGGCCCATTTGCTTCCGATTCAAGTACTTCCCAATTAGGTACAAAATGCATTAAAGACTCCTTTCTATTAGATTACCCGTCAGATTAGCCTGTTAGCTTTGCTTGGCTCTCAATCTTGCTCGCACGGGGTGGTGGGGGGGGGGGGGGGGGAACGATGATGTAAATTGCGGTGCTGCCTCTCTCCTGCTGAGTTCAGGATTCAAACCTGGGACCTTTTCTAGCGTTCGCCCACTGAGCCATTGGGAGGTTCCCACAATCTTAATCCTCACAATTGCCCGCTTCAGGTCAGAAGTGCGAAGTTTGCACCAGGGAAGTACCCAGAATATTTTGACCCAAATTATGGCCATGGCTGGAGTTTACCTGCTGGCGATGGATTCTATCGATCACAATCACATTTATATAGCACGCTTCACATACAATAGCATCTCAGAATTACTTGCATTTGCTTTAGCTCCTTACCACCTCATTGAGACATCTCAAAGTGCTTTGAGATTTTACTGTGAAATGCACTGACTATTTGTAGGAATAGTTACCAATCTCCACACAGCAATGTCCCCCACAAGTCAATGTAGTGAACGACTAATTTTACCTTTAGGATTGATCGATTCTAGTTAAAATATTCCCAATTTTTTTTAATAAACGGTGTAAAGGTGTTAATTTCAAACAAGAGTCATCGTTCCTCTCGCACGTCAGAAATTTACCTGCAGCAATGCTTCGATGACGTTTTAACTGCAGTTTACGGCTAATCAGTAGAAGTACAAAGAAAACTCTGAACGCACTGTTAACACCAACGGAGATATCGCCACCATCTCACAACTCCAGAGAGGCTGGTCGGACAAAGAAGGTCCTTTTTTCACTTGATCGCATCCTCCCAGAATACCAACTCTGTTTCTTCCCATCACAACAGCAAACAATTTCCTTAAGCAAGATGTGTATCTGCCCTTTTTGTTAAACTGTTCCAGCTGTTAAAAGCTTGGTGCATTGGTCAGGCTTCCTGCATTGCAAGTAATCAACTACTGCACCACCAACAGTGTTAAAGCTGTGGATGTTTCTGCCTTCCAGTCAGTATTCATTGGTATTCTGGTTAGTTACAAATGTTCAGCCTGTATGTGTCTGCGAAATCATTACATTCTAATTTTAGCTGCTTTCATTAATTAAAGTGCAATTGTTTTGATGTACTGGTTCCCCTTTGCTCTCCTCCCTCTCTCTCTCTCTGTATAATACTCACATGGGCTACAGTTTGAATGTAAATTAATTTCAGAAAGGTTAAAAAAAAGTGGATCTGCAATTTTAAAAATGTACCATTTATTATTGCACTGGTTACAATCTTAGTCTGTGTACGAAAATATCACTTGTGTATTCGTCACCACTGATTGATATTTTAAATAAAGGGCAAATGTAAAGTGGTTGCTGAGTTATGTTGTCAGACTTGAAATGTCAAATCATAACCATTGCTATGTATTTACTGAGTGACCCATTAAATACATAGTTAGAGCCTTGAAGACTAAAAGACAGCTGAATGTTCACTGTCTAACACTGTTATGTGTGGAGACCTGTAGAGTATTGGTTAGAGCTCTTGCCTTGCAAGTGGGAGGATCTGGGTTCGATTCCCAAGCAGAGGAAAACATTAGGCAAGTTTCCTTACGTTCCATACGCCTGTTTGCTTGGCAGTAAGTAGGAACCCGGTTGTTAGTCAATTGGCGGATGGCTTTTCCGGGGGGAATTATCCCTTCAAAAAATAAATAAATAAGAATTTGGTCACTCAATCCACAACTGTTTGTGGGGACACTGCTGTGCACAATTGGCTGCCGCTGCCGCAAAAACATTGTCAATTCACAGTATATCCTGTGAAGCGCTTTGAGACGTCTCAAAGATGTGATAAGGCGCTATATCAAATGCAAAAATTATTATTATTTGTACTATGAATCTGCTGCCAATTTTGTTTAAGCAATCAAAAGCGAGCATTAAATCAAGTGTGCACATTTATTCAATGACACATACTTCTGGAAAACAAAAACATAATGAAACACTTAGAATATAATCGATACATATCCATTCTTAAACCAGCAAATTGTACCACAGGTACAAACCTATCTTTATAGAGGTAAGGCTTTGGGTTAGTCTTCGATAATACTATACAATAATACTATACAATTCCATGCACCGTTGAGCCAGCTTTCTGTAATAGTACAGCATAAAAACACATCCCTGATTTTCCTTTTATTTTATATTGTTAAGACAGTGCAAGAAACAAGAAGCTAATCGACTTTCCATAGTGCAACAACCTAGTCCAGCTCTTGTGATGACATAACCACAACGCTAGAGGAATATAAACGGAGGTGCTTTTTTTCAAATCCACGAAGGCACAATTCACACCTTTTTTTGTACTTTCAGCCCAACACTCCAGAGCAGATCCTCTCTGCCTGAATCGGGCAAAGGGAAACATCAATCGGTCGACAAAACATTTGTAACATTCTTGTCCAATCTCTCTTCTCTGTTTAGGAATTAAGGCGCTCGTACTAAATGGTCACCTTCTGTGTGTGTGTCAGGCTGCTTTGTGTTCAAATGCAACCATCTTCGCAGGACTTGCACTGGGTGCAACAAATCTGCTGTGGACTTTGGTGGAACATCTGAGAACTTAGTTACCTTGTTAACTGTAAACACACTGAACAGATAGATTAGGTTTTCAAGGCTCCTGTTATCTGTATCTGTTTTTTATTAAAAAAAACAGTCAGCATTTGTTTCATGTACCATAACTCATGCCCAAACTTTCAAACAACCAGGCCTTCTGTGAATTTTCAAAACTATTTTTCTTAAAAAAAAATCCCTCCTCCGATACTTGAATGCACTGAACCCCCACTGCTGTGTCTTGCTGACATTAGAACAGGTTCGAACAGATTATCTCGTCTCCCACGTTCGTTTAAAAACATTTTTTTTAAAATACTCGAAGGAACTTGTCAGTGTAAAACTTTGCGAGCTGTTTGTCAAATGTCTGAGACACTTTCAGATATAAACCAGCAAGAAGACGTTAGTTGGTTGGTTAAGATAGGACAAAGATCCTGTGAGTGAATGGCCAGTTCCACAGTGAATCTTCACGTTCCCTGTCTCTGCCTGTCAAGTGGTCACACACCCAGCAAACTAACCATCTCGGAACCCGAACATCACAAGTGGTTGGTTCCTTTACGGTTTTTCTGTTTTGTTTTGCCCAGAAGCTCCAACCCAGGTAAACGCATTCTAGGCTTGATTTTTCTTTCTTTCATTCATCATGAAATAATAAAGTGTGCGGAGGGTGGGGGAATAAAAGAGCTCTCTGAAAGTTTATACGTTTTCGGTCACCTTTTGGCACTCGTACAGCAAACAGTCTGGAAGCGCACGGCAGGCTGATCGCAGCCACACTGATAAAGTCCCAGCATGGGCTCGACAGTGAAGTAAGCAGGGGGTGTCTGGAAGCAATTGGCACGCAGCAATCCCCTCTTGTCCTGCAGATAAATGAAGTTCAAGTTAATTTGGACAAACTCTCAGACCTGATGCAGTGCAAAATGATTCTCAGTATGTGGCAGATTTCCTTTCCCCAGCTTTCAGTCTTCCCACTTTCACTTCCACTGCCAATAGCAAGCTGTTTTGCACTATTAGGGCTCAAGTACCTGGGCTGACGGATCAAGACACGTTCTGTTTTAGCACTAGGAAGTCCTGAGTGTTCAGTACAGAGAGTATTAGCAAAATGTTCCTGAGAAGAAACAGACTGTCCCCCACCATGTAGGGCTACACACATCAAGCCATATACAATTAATAGAAATCACAAGCTGGTTGGGGGGTGGGGAGAAAGAAGTCGACCATTTGGCTTATTGAGGCCTTGCTGGTATTGTCGCCCCCCCATTGGAGTGATCTATACACTTAATATCAACAACAAGAAGATTCCATTTATTGAGCGTCTTTCACGTCGGGAGGACGTCCCAAGGCGCTGTACAGTTGGGTCAGGACCCGAGCATTGGGGGGAAATGGTCAGGGTGAGGGGAGGGAGCGAGGAGGGGGTAGATTCACAGCACTGTCCTCAGATCCCTTGTTCAAATAGTCATCCAATTCCTTTTTTTAATAAATGTTAACAGTCCTAGCATCAATTGCCAAGGAGGCAAAGCATTCAAATAACTCTCTGGGTGGAAGAAAATGTTTACCCTTTCCCCCCCCAACCCAAACAACTCTGTTGTAATTAACTCAGCACACACTGTCCCGTGAGCTGAGAAAAAGGCAGCTTTCAAATCCACACCAATTTTCAGAGCCACTGTGTAATCTAGTGCACTCTGTCACGGTGATGTTAGTAATTAAGACGTGCACAAACTGAAAGCCTCCCATGAGAGCTGGTCTAATTAAACATTTGGTGAAATCCAACAAGTAGTTCTTGGAAGTCGTTAAGTGGCTTAAGCTAGCAAAGAAAAATGGCCAGGAGAGCATGGACCAAAATAATTCCCTCTTCGCTTTGTATGTAAAATCCTATAATTAAATGCAGACGAAACCCAAAAAAAGGGGATCTACAAACTTCCAAAGGGAGATTTTGACGTGTAATATTTTCTCCTCCCAGCAGATGTGTCTGTTTACTCACCCGTAAACATCTATCTCCAGTAAATACTGATTCGCGTGTGTGTCACTGTGGCTTTGTTTAGATCAAAGGTGACCTCTGCTGTCCAGATCCACGTACTTCAACACCATTCCACTATCACTACACTATTATCACGAAATACTGCACACAGGTTAAGTGAGACGCTGAATGATAACACGTAAATTTGGTACAGAGCCTTTTACGTCAGGACGATGCTTCAAAGCACTTCATAGCATTTGCTGTAAAGTGTAGAGACTGCGTGTTTTATTCAGGCATTAATCATCCGTGGACCTTTTTCTTCCCCCCACCATCCCTCCCCCCACCAAAATTATTTTAAATAAGAGTGAAACAAACGTTCAGCAATTTCGACCTGAGGAATCAGCAATTGAGGAGCGAGAGGAATTCGACCTAACAAAAAGAACTCGCGCTTAGTACAAACTGGGCTGTAAAGCCATTGGTAGTGAAACTGGCAGAAGCTTTTACAACAAACACCCTGCGCCGTGACTGCAGTGAATGGGTGAACAATGAACAGACAGAGATTCAGCGCTGACTATGACCCTTCTGTTTGGACCAGTCTTGTGTTAGCTCGCACAGTTACCTATAATGTCCACGATGTGTAGCCTGAGTTCGTGCTGCAGCCTGTGGAGGGCTGAGGACAGAGCGCCAGAGGAATCCGTTGGCATTCTGATATTCTGCTTTACATCGTTAGACAGCGAGAGCCAGAGCTGCCCAAACTCTTCGGTGGAGAGTCTCAGCGGCCTGCAAGGCAGAGATGGAAACTAAGCCGGAGCCAAACTTCAATCTTCTAACAACAGGTTTGAACAAAATCCCTTTAGATCGATTTGCTTTATTTCACGTGATCAGAAGAAACCCCCATTCGTGAGCAATTCAATCGTTGAGTAAACTGGGGACCGTTTAAGGTAAAAGGTCAAGAGGATACAAGGAATAATTCACATGAGTCTTTACGTGCAGACACCCATCTCGGGAATCGGTTTCAAAAAGTACAGCATCTCTTTTGTTTGCTGAACTCTATGTAAGAAAGTGGCAGAAAGTGATCCGAACAAAAACGACACTCAAACATTTCTTCCGATTATTTAAAATCATCTCTCTCTCTGTGAAAATAGTTTCAAATAAAAGATTTTTCGTAAACCAGTTTCTCCAACTTCACTCACCCCTCCCTAAATTCAGGGTTCATGAGACAAAAGCAGGTGACCCCCCGCCCCCACCCACCCACACACAGATGTTACGTGATGTGTCTGTGGTGATAAAATCTAGACAAAACAGCACGTGACCGCCCCTTACCATCACTACACAGCTCTAAGCTGAAGCTCAGAATGATCCAAACTGAGAATATTAAAGCTCCACTTGCTTTGTTTTTAACAGTGATTTCAGTTACAGATGCTGTAGCAAACTGTTGGCGCTCCTACCACCACTGACCCTCCCCCCAAACTAATACTTTAAGATGAGACGGGTCACCTGCTTCATTACACTTCCCCAACTGTAAATCAACACACTAGATCGGAGCAGAAAAATCTGCTGCAGAACCAAACAAAATACAGGACTTACAGCCACAAAAGGACAAAAAAAATCAAAACACCAAACTGTTTGTTGTAACGTACTGTCAAGATCAATAGCTCTTTTAAGCCATGGAGACCATGGACTATCTTGTCTTGTACCTGATGAAATCGGTTAGTGACAGGCTCAGTGAGAACTCCTCCTGGGCAGACAGACGGGACTCCAGGTGGTAAACAACGTGACCCGAGAGTGCCACCTGCGTGCAAGGTTTCTCCATTCGCAGGCTGAGCTGGCAGCTGACTGTAGTCTGGGAATCCACCACCGCAAAGGGGAAGCGAGTGTCTTCGCACGCCTGTGTGACAAAGTAAATTAAACCCAGTGACTGAAACATTGACCGCACAGCGCAAGTACGCACAGTCATCATATCAAACACTAATAAAAACACGCCCAGGTGTAGTAGCCCAGCACGGTGCTATGCCAGAGGGGCAGAGTGCTGGCTGTAAAGAAAGATTCCACCACACAACGAGTTCCAAGATTAATAAGAGGAATCCCGTTTCGGAATTCAGGGCAAGTCTCGGAACCCCAGTCCAGAATTAAATCGTGAGAGACCGAGTTTCCGTGCGTCTGAGCGACATACTTCCAGTTCTTGGAAAGAGCCCCCATTTGCACTGGATTCCTTGTTAAAAACCTACGGGAAAATTAAGACCGACGTGCATGTGTGCGGAGCGGGAGGGTGAGAGGACAGATGGAGAGCTTTGCCTCAGCGAGAGGCCCCGATTATTGTACGGGAGAATCAAGGCCAGGCCACACGCTAACCGGCTTTTACCTGCAGTTCCTCGGTCAGCACAAAATGACCGTGACGTCAGTAAGCACGGAGCTGCTGTGGTTGGTGAGAAACAGGAGCGTCAGCAGGCAGTCCTCTTTCCAAACGCGGCAGGAGAACACGGCGACAGTCTCGTTGGCGCACACGTGGCACAGCTTGGAGTGCGCGTGCTCGGAAATCTCCACCGGCAGGTCCACCGCAGCCAGACCGGAGGCGGCTTCAGGGGTCAACACACTCAGCTCGGCGCTGCGAGGCTGTAGGATTTCGATATTTCCATCCGCAAACAGACCTGACGAGGAGTCCTCGGAAGCGGATGGAACCGCCTCGACAGCAGCAGAGTCCTTCCTGGGAACCCACGGTTTGGACTCCAGTGGATGCTCTCCAGACGCCAGTCTGCCTTTCCGTAAACTTTCCGCTTTATTTTCTTGGAAAGGGACGCAGTTTTCCAGAACGCCATTGTCTAGTAGGTTGAGAACTGGAGAGTGGGACGTAAGACCTGGCTTCTTTCCTTGGTTGTTCTGCCCCTCGGTCATCTTCGATTTCCTCTGAAATTTCTGAGTGGGGTTCTGAAGCTTTCCCATCTACAGGAAGTGCAGAAGTTTTTTTTGGTGTTTTTTTTATTAATATTAAAAAAATAAATCTGCACTTGGGCAAGACTTACCTCAGCTAAACAGCTTCGTTCTGCGGAGAACTTATTGATGCAAATAAGAATTTTACAGCCCCAATCAGAGTGGTGAAAACATTGCATGTTTTTGAGACGTTTAAGTTTGTATTGCAAACTTTACTTTATAAAAGTAAAGAAACACTACTCTTAATTGCATTTAACAAAGAAATACAATCAAGTCGTGTTAACTCGACCCTGGCTTAACTCGATCGCTTACTTAAGGGCATCATGCTGTTGATACCTCGGGCCGGCATTTCTTTGCGTACTTATACATAATTCGCCACTGGGACATTTTCCCTTGGAGCCACGAGTTATCAGGACTTTACTGTCGATTTTAGAGCTTTCGCAACTTCCCGAGTTAAGTGGCTTTGTACGATCACAGCGAACATAAGAGAAAGGGTATCTTCAGCATCTCTTCCTGCTCAGAATTAATCCAGTTTACGTCAAATATATATGCCCGAGATCCGGAGAGCCCCGTGCAGCCAGTGCACAAGAGCTCTCTGCTGGTAATACCCAGAATTGCAGCATTTTAATTCCCCGAGTACTGACGGATGGCAAGGTTACAACATGTTCGCTGTACACCCCGTGTCACAAGCATAAGACCAGGTGGATTTTCAGGCCTCTGTGTTAGAAGCGGCGCTGAAGGGAAATGCTGGCCATTCGAGGCGATCCATCGCGTGAAACTGAAAGGGGTGAATATTCCTTACCAGATTGACAGAGTTGTTCGATCCCAACCCGACGAACAGCGATGATGCCAGTTGCTGCTTCTCTTGTTCTTCTGCAGAGGGGGTGGCAGCGGGTTGTTCTGTCGGTTTACCCTCGGGAGCTGGGCTTGCTTTTCCCCCAGCCTCCTCCTTGGCCTCCCTCCTGCGAAGGTAACCCTCTTTTCCCCACACTTTTTTCACACCATCAAGCTTCAGGCTATTTGAGCTGAATAAGGAGGTTCAGAATTCAGTTCTAAGTAAGATCCCATTACAACACATTCATTGTATTATAATATGTCGTGCGCGCATGTGTGTGTGTGTGGGAAGGGGTCGCTTATTGGAGTGTGCACCCCAACGTCCATCTACCCAAGAAAAACTCTAAAATGCACACTAAAAGCTGTCTGTTTCACTAAAAAAAACACAGGCTTTTTCCCCCCCACACACTCTAAGTAAAATGGCCATCTTCTCCTCCCTTCTTTGCATAATAATTTGGTCACTCAATCCACAACTGTTTGTGGGACACTGCCATGTGCAATTGGCTGCTGCATTTCGCCCACAAAATATACGGTCAATTGACTTGACATTATATTCTGTAAAACGCTTTGAGACGTCTCGAAGTCGTGTTAAGGCCCAAAATCAAATGCAAGTATTATTATTAGTATTACTCAACCTCCATTCGGCAGCTACCCATAGCAGTGCAACTGAAGCTCTGAGATCTGGAGCTCAGCCCAAAGGGGCAAATGAACCATCCTTATCCCTCCCCGCTGCTTTCCTGGAATAAGTGCTAAATTACTATTTTCAGTGCCGCACTATGGTGACCGTCGCGTTGCAGCATAACAGAAATTCTTGTAATTAGTTATTGCAAAACTCGCAGTGTGTAATTAGAGAAGGCAGCCGGGAAGTGGATTGAGTGGTTTGCACCATTTGTTTGGTATTGGCGTTTCATTGACTTAACAGAGAATAATACAACACAGGAAAAGGCCATTCAACTACAGAAGCCCAATGCAGAGCAGCCAGACTCCAGGGAGATTCACCACTAGTCTCGTCTCCTCTCTTTCAGGGCACGTCTCTAAATGTACCTTTTTGACCATGCTTTCAACAACAACAAAATTACATTTATAGAGCGCCTTTCACGTCGGGAGGACGTCCCAAAGCGCTTTCGGTCATCTTTCACCTCTCCACCCTCCTGAGCTCTCTTGTAATTAAAAAAACCACTTACTCTTTTACTCCACCACCGTCTGTGCTGCTGCAGGACGGCTCCGAACAGAAGGACAGACCTGTTGGGGACTGGCGTCCTGCGGCACTAGAGGACTGAGGGCCTGCGACAAACGATAGTCCGTATGGTTCAAAGTTCAACACTGGAACAAAAGACCAAGGAAACTTGCAATGTATTTTACAGCAGAAACAACAGCACGTGCAAAACTGGAGAGGAATAAGTTTGGTTATTTAATAATAATCCTTGGCATTTGATCTACAACAACAACTAGATTCCATTTATAGAGCGCCTTTCACATCGGGAGGACGTCCCAAGGCGCTGGACAGTTGGGTCAAGACCCGAGCAGGGGGGAAATGGTCAGGGTGAGGGGAAGGGAGGGAGCGAGGAGGGGGTAGAGAGTCGAGAGGGGAGCTGAAGGCACGGTCAAAGAGAAAGGTCTTGAGACCGGCCTTGAAGGAGCAAAGGGAGGAGGCGGCGAAGGCACTGGGGGATGGAGTTCCAGAGCCTCGGGGCTGAGAGGCCGAAGGCCACCGATGGTAGGGCGGTTGGGGCGGGGGATGTGGAGCAGACCGGAGCCAGAGGAACGGAGGGTACGGGCAGGTAGGTAGGGGGATAGTAGGTCAGAGAGATAGGAGGGAGCGAGGCCGTGAATCACGTCGCCTTATCACGTCGTTGAGGCGTCTCAAAGCGCTTCACAAATGTACTGTCAAGTGAATTGACTTGTGTGTTTTGTGGGCGAAAAGTGGCAGCCAATTGCGCACGGCAGAATCTCACAAACAGTTCATAACAACAAAAAGTTTGACTCGCATCGCACAGCGTTACTGAGATAGGCTCATTCGGGAAACCAGTTTTCTGGAAGTTTATGTTAAGAAAAGCGGCTTCGAAGGTGACAATTCAACAACTTGCCAAATTCTAAGCCCTGGAACGCTAGCAAAACAGAATAAATCTTCATCCAGGCCAAATTCCTCCACCAAAGACACAGTCAGTGATCCAAATCAGTATTTGAATTCAATCACATAGACATTGCAGACTTTTACATGGATTTTGCCTTCCATCAATAATGCACAGGCTCTGGTGTGACGTTGATTGTATTTTGCATCGACAAATGTAGCCGACGAAATACAAACAAAAGCAAATTGGTTTTTTTCCCTGTAGCGAGTCCCAGTCGTTGAAGGTGACCCTTTTGTTCTGTAACTTGACTCGTTTAGTACCCAATTGATGATCCATCAACACACACCAGCCTCAAAGTAAAAAGAAAAGCCCAGTAGTGTAATATTCCTTCCTGAGCTCTGACCCCTCCATCTGTGGCCAAGGCATAGATGTGTAACACACATTAGTCTTAATATATCGCTTCCACCTGACACGGCGGAGGTACTGAGTTCCAGTTCCAATGTCAAGCAAAAGTACAGTACAGCAATTTTGTCCAGACTGATAATCCATTAGCTAACAGAGAAAGTGAGGGAAAGAGAGTTAAATGGGAGTGGGTGGTGGAAAGCTATCCTGTCAGTTAAGTGATTGATTCTCAAGAGGGTTGAAGACTTTTAAACACAAAAAAACGTATTACTGAAGTGGATGAAATGTAAATATCATCCACTAAATCCCAGCTACACATCACCTTTCCCTACTTTCTCTGAGTCAGGAACAGACCAGGCATCTCCCGCTCAAAGTCATCCCCAAGGCTGCGTCACTCATGTTTAAATCAATAACACTGTTACACAGAAAATAAGTTTCGTGAAAGGTCATCGCGCGTATTAATGTTGATCAATCGAGGGCGATTTGGCCCAGGATCGACAGCGAGAAAGGGTAAACTTGGACCACAGAGGCAGTAAATTAAAGTTTATGGCCACAGCACATCTTCAATAACGTCCAACTGCGAAGTAATTGAAGTGAATTGCGATCTGCCACTCAACGGAATTAACAGCGACGCTCGCTTCAACTAGGGTGGCAGCTATCCAACGGTGTTCAAAGTATTGGCGCCTTAAGGATTTTTCTGCAAGGGGCAGACAAAGGATGTTGCCTCTTACCGATGAAGCAATTAATGTGACAGAAAGGCTGCTCGAAGAGGGAGCTCGCGTCGAGACGTCAAAGTAAGGTGAGATGACGGGCATCATTTTACTGGAGCACATTAAACCGGCCGACTAAAGGTCAGAGCAATGTGTCCGCCTGCCTCCAGCTCAGAGAGGCAGGAAGAACCACATTCAATTCTTTAGCAGCCATAACAAGCAAGAACAGAACAAAAACCCTGCATTTCCAGCCTCGCTCAGGCCGAGTCTATATTAAGCGTCTGGGATGGCTGATTGAGTACCATTGTATGCGCTGTTGTACACAGTATTGTTCCCTAAAGCTTCCACCTCTGACGTCCTAGTAGAAGGCAAGCCGCTTACAATGAGAGTCATGCAGCAATGAGACTCAGAGGGTGACCGTTCCGATATTGAATGCTCCGAACAATTTAAGAGCACTCGATTCACTTTGATCTAAACTGCTGTAAGGTGTGCAACTAAGTGAGGACAGGATTTGGCTTGGGTGTCGAACCTTCCCTTTCTCTCTCCTCCCCCGACACCAAAACCGCATCAAATAATCCGCCAACAGCATGATGGAAAACTTAATGCCACATTTTGTTGCTTCGAATCGCTTTGCATTCAGCAGGCTATCAATAAAGATACTGTAAACCACCAGACTCAACTCCTCGACGCTCCAAAATAACAACCACCACGACAGGTTGCCCCCTGAACACAGGCAGCCTCGCTGCACGGGAAATTCAAGCAGTGGATTCAGTCGGCAGCGTTCGATATCGGTGCATGTGGAAGTGAATTCACAATCATTTCAGAAGCAGGACTTAATTTGAGATCCTTCACTTTAACCTCCAAGCCACACTCAGGTTCCTTTTAAGCTCCAGGGACTCCCCAGTCCACTTACTGCAATGCAGTTGCAAAGCATCTGTCAGGTCAGCAAATCTGATTCCAACAAACGATGCAGGACTGGTAACCCGGTCAAAACTTTGTCCTTCACGTATACCCTCGGACATGCAGCTCAATGGGGTGGCGGGAGGGTGGAGAAGCAAAGGACCCGAGCCAAAGGAAGCATCACTCCTGCTGCTAGCCTTAGCTGTGGTACGCACAGAAAATGGTGCATTTAGCAACCTAATATTCAGCTCGTTAAATAATAAAAACTCGTCGAGTCTCTGAATATTCGAGTGCACAATTTTGTGACAGAATCACAAAACTTGGGACTTGCAATCCAGGACCTGGACACTCTTCACAGATATTGCAGCAGACATATAAAACAGTAGAAATCTGCTCTCGGTAACCAAACTGACCTGCTGTTTCCGTCAGGTTCCCGTGAAAGCTAGGCTAGATTTTTAAATGGTTCAAATGCTTTTTGAAAAAAAAAAACGACACACGTTTGCTCACTCACCCTTCTCTTGGGACATTCGTTCTTCCTGCCGCTGGTGATGTGGCTTGTAAGGTGCAGCGCCACGACCCAGAGCTTCAGCAACGAAACCGTCCAGGAAGGACAGCGAAGCATCGACCTGGAGCCAGTGGAACAAGAGAACGTCACAATTTTGCACTTGTTTAGCTACGTTTCACGCAGAAGAACGACCAAGAAGGGAATGACTTAAATTGTCTCGGGAGGACTGTCGCGAGAGAGTTCCAGAGAGCAAGGACATTAAAGTGGCTGATAGCTTGCTGGTCAATGGGAGGATCAGAGGCCATGGGGCATGAAATAGGCCTGAGACAAGCTCTGTAGCTCTTGAAATAACATTTTTCTGATTGACAATTACACAGGATCTGAAAGGCAGTAAAAATCCTAGTGTATTGTCAATCAAACATTTTGATGAAACTATAACTGTGGCTTCGATTTCAAGAAGCCACAACCCTGTCATCTATACTGTACCTAGGTCAATTTCTGAGGGTAACTAGTCACACAACACTCACCACAGTGTCCTCGCAGCTTGCATCCAGACGTAAAACACTGTTCATCGTCTCTTTGTTCTCAACGAGTTGCTTCAACTCAAAAGCGTATTGTCTCAGACAAGAATCCATGGAACTGCTGTAGTTGTGGACAATTTTGGAGAGGAGGTTAGTGTTTACGGTCAATCGAAACAGTTTAGTGATTGCAGCCAGGATCCAAGCTTTGGTTTCTGAGCTCGTCGAGCTCTGTTCAAGTAAGCGCAGTAGTTTCTGTATGGTGTCTTCTGGTTTGACGTCAGTTTTGAGGTAGGAATATTCTCCCAGCACCTGAGAAATGTGCCACAACACACCATTCAGTGTTTTCACTCAGATTACCTCTTACCCCCACCCCCTCCAGTTAGCGTGAAACAAATTGGGTTGTTTTTTAAACTAATTGTTGCTACAATGCATCCAGAGCATTTAGATTACAATATCCCTGTGACACGAAAGTACAGGCACGTGAACCATAACTCTATTTACAGCTTAGGATAGGAAATTAGAAAATTCTACTTTGCGAGAAAGAGCTTATATTTTTATAGCGCCTTATCAAGTTGAAATCGCATATATTCTTATAACAGCAACTTGCACTTATACAGTGCCTTCCACGTAGGGTAGCATCTCAGTGCGCTTATAGTGCCTTATCAATTCAAAACATCCCAAAACGTGTTTCAAAAAGATAATTATTTTCAAATTCAGTGACTAAAGACCTTTCTCTTTAGAAACTAAAGAGATTTTCTGTAAGTGGCCCAAAAGCTTACTTTGCACTTTCAACGATTAACCTTACCCAGCTCATAACCTGCAGGAATCGCTGAGGGTAATGTACATTATCCTTTTCCAAAAGGGCAAGGTAAGAGTTCACTGCATAAAGCCTCAACGCTTTATCTTCTGCTTCATCCTCAAATCCTACAAGAAACAAAAATCAAATGATTGTTTTTTTAAAAAAATGTATTAGAAGTCTTAGCTTGACACTTGTAAACACTATTTGCAATGGTCTTCCAACGGGAGGGGAAATTAATCAAAAATTACTAACCTGCATAGTTCAACAATAATAAGCATTACAAAGTCAACAGAAGCATTACAAAGGTCACAGAAAGCCACTAGAACAATCTTGCTCCATCTACAGGCAGAGATCGAGACAACGGCGACGCCAACATTAAAACTATCTTCTAATTAGCGCGATTGCAGGAACCACTTGCAATGTACTTCAGAAACGGTGAACTGCAAACAACAGAAATTTAAACGTCTTGCCCCCGGCAGTGCGGGTTACAGCTGAACGAACGATTCCAAAACGCACAGAACCACACTGCTGGGTGAAGCCATATGGAACTATTCTTACAGCGCCATCACTTTCTTACCCACCTTCAGCAAGCAGTCTCAGAAAGTTGTTTGGGATGTCTGGCTGTATTATGTCTCCCCCAACTGAGAACACTGCATTCATGGTTTGTATAAACCATTCGTTATTGGGGGCATATGTTTTGTGGTCGTCAAGGACAAATAATATCAAACCAGAAGAGACATTCAAGCAGCCAAGTCGTACACAAAGTGATATGGGAGAAGGTACTGCCTGTATAAAATATTAGTGCTGTACTGTTCTGCATTTCAGGCTTTGAAAACGATAAGAGCTGATCCTTAGCTTCAGGCCGGGTTACAAAGCGGCCAAATAGAGGGCTTCAGAAGACAGGAAACCTTCCTTTTTTAGGTTGATTTGGCTGATATTGCTGAAAGGGCGATAATGCACTCAGCAGAGAATTGAGCCCTCCCAGAGAGACCTGGACGTGATGAATCAAAGTAAAATCTAATTAATCCATTTACTCTGTGGGACACAATTTAGGTCAGTTTTTTAATGATCGAGATATCTCTAGGCATCGAACCGTGAAGACCATAATATTATTCACGTGGGGGAACTTTCATTTTCACTGGTGCAAATTACAGGCATCAGCAAGTGTGAAAGGATTGACGCATTTGCAGACCAGAAGCGCTCTGAGACAAGAACACTCTGAGGCAACAACTATCCCGTTATAGAAAGGACATCATAGCCATGATTCACAGGGATAATACCAGGACGAGAGGTTGGTCGGGCTTGCTTGGATTTGATAGCAAATTAATAAAAGTCAATATTTGATGGCTGATTCCTCAGTAATGGCGTCTCGTGAGGACAAAGGTAAGCCATAATGCAGTGCAAAAAGGATATTTTTCAGCCAGTTCCGCTACTTTACCAACTAAACTGATGGTGACGTATTCGTCTTTGCTTTGCCTCAGGTAGTCTAGCATTTTTTGCGCTATGACGGTCACATTCTGCCCGTTAGTGATTCGATACAGCAGCTCCAATGTCTGTAGAAAAGACAGAGAGAAAAAAAATACAGCGAAACAGCAGGAGAGCAAGACTGAAACCAGGAGTCACGTAAAGCTGGCAAGCAATCAGATTTAACAGGATTAAGTGTCCAAGCAACTGCTGTGCGCAATTGACTGCCATGTTCCACCCACAAAATACAGTCAATTCACTTTGCAGTATAGTCTGTGAAGCGCTTTGAGACGTCTCGAAGACGTGATAAGGCACTATATCAAATGCGAGGATTATTTTTTACAAGCACTTTCCACTCACCGGAAAGGATCATTTCACCTCTCTTTATCTAAATGGGTTCAGAAAACTCAGTTGGAAAAACAAATTAAATATTAGGGGCTTGGGAAGGATAATCCAATTAATGAGTCTCCTGCCCCAACCCTCCCCATTTTGATACTCACATCATGAGATACAGAGCCTTTCCATCGGCATTATTACACGAGCAACGTCTCACAAATTTACAGCACAGAAGTAGGTCATTCATGCCTCTTACCTCTCGCTTTATAATGGGATCAGGGTGATCCAGGCAGTCAATTATCGTCATCTGATGTTGAAGTACGAGATTCAAATCTTGCTGGATTACATATGTAAGTGCTTTTAACCCTATAGAGTGTTACAACGCAAGAGTGGACTTAGATTTCACTACTACTGAATACAAAAATCAACGCAAAGTCATTGCATGTGAAATCCTCACCTAAGTACTTCAGGTTGTTTTTGGGGGATAAGATAAATTTGCCATTGCACTTGGCTGCTTTCTCCAGCAGGTCGGATTTCGGGTGAATGGTATAAACCGTCTGTATGCACTCGAACAGAATAGCTGGGGAATAAAAACAAACAAAAAGCCACAAAAGAGAACATGTAAAATAAAAATTACGAGCAAAAAACAAATTCTTGCAACATCTATAAGATTGTGCCGAGTAGCAGAACAATCCACGCACTTTGGACAGCTTGCATTTTGGGATTACATAGTCAAACGATTCCCAATGTAATATTTGGGTTGACTTCTGACGAAGGGTCGTGGACCAAAACGTTGACTCATTTCCTTTCCCCATAGATGCTGCCTGACCTGCTGAGTGTTCCCAGCAGCTTCTGTTTTTGTTCCCAATTTAATATTACTCTCCCCACCAAACCCAAAAAGGGCAAGTTTCCATTTGTTGGATCTGAGACAAAGATATTTTCCAACTGCCGCAAAATAAGGACGTCGCACTACACAGTGCTGACGCTCTCAGGCTCGAGTGTGAACGTTTTCCACTTTGGGTCCCAGATTCACACAGCATTGTGTCCTCTTGCACTGGCTTCTACAAACTACTGTGGACAGCAATCTACCTACCGTATGTTATGTTGTGGTTCATCTCAGCTCTGCGCAAGGACTCATCCAAAACATCGTACATAAGCTCGCTCGTTCTGTGAAAATACCACACAACGCACAACGATTAGGGATGAAGTTAAAAGTTCTCATTGCTGCATTTAATCATTAGGAACACAGGAATATCGAGGGATGGAAAAGACCATTTTGCTAAGGCTGGCTGGGAATAAAACCTTCACTATTCTCTCTCATACTCCTTGATGGATTTATTCACCAGATAACTATTACATTTCCTCCTGAATTTGTGGACATCATCTGTCTCCACTGCCTTCCAGTTCATTCTCCCCATACAGTAGTTTAAAACTAAAGTGTGAACCTACGCCCCTTTTTTCCACTCCTTTAAAAAGATCTCCTCTGAGATGCCATTTTTTGAGGCTGAAGAACCCCAGCTTATCTACTCCTTCCTCATAGCTCATCCTTCTAACACCAAGGATCATCCTCACTGCTCTCCTCTGTAGCGATGGATTAACATTAGAGTATGACTTACCTCTGATCTTCCTTTCCCAGTAATCGTAAAATGTTCAGCAGTTGTATCTGCAGCCACGGTGCTGGCACGCTGTGGTAGTTGAAATCCACGGCAAGCTTTCCTCCAATCACTTGCTTGAGAATGGTTACGAAACTCCCTGTTAAATCTTTATAACCTTCCGGGTTTTCCTAGAATTCGAGAATTAAACAGAGGGATAATAAAACCATAAGCGTTTTTCCTTCTTATCTTAACGGTTTCAAAAGTTGATAACTCTTGTAGCTAGTTCATTGCTGCTTTGAAATGCTAATTTCTCACTGAAAAAAATACCTTAATCAGCAGCAGGTAGATGTGAAGAGAGGCAGCCATGACTCCTGGGTCCCTGTCGCACAGAGCTTTCCTAAACTTGTCATGAATGTGCTGGACTTGATTGGGAGCAATAAGATAAAACTTGTGCAGGGCGAGGACTGCCTTTCTTCTGATTATTTCTCTGTGAAGAGGAGGGGGGGTGGGGATGGGAGGTTGTTTTTTTAGAACACACATTGAAATCGCCATTCAGAGAGATAAACAATATCACACCTTCATCACAGGTAATAATAATAATCCTCGCATTTGATATAGAGCCTTATCACGTCATTGAGACGTCTCAAAGCACTTCACAGAATATACTGTAAAGTGAATTGACTGTGTATTTTGTGGGCGAAACAATCCTTACAAATCGGTTACTACAGCTGGATCTAAACTGGATAACAGAGGCCACCCCTTTGCATTGCTGGAATATCGTGGCCATTCTCAGATAGCAGACTAATAGCACTAGCAGACCCGAGATTACATTTGCTGCTCCACAAGATGTGCTATAGAGCAGTTCAGCTTCTTCCGACTGAAGAGCTGAGATCATTTCAAGCCCTGTTTCTAAACCGTCAAGTGGGAATTGTAACAAATGCAGAATGCATTTCATGGTGTGATCCTGATCCACTCCTTTGATGAAACAGGCCCTTATTTTTCCATTCTTGACCACTAAAATGTGTTGATCTTTTTGTTACACTCCCACCACAGGATTTTACGATTATAAGGACAAAACGAAAAGATCACTATTTTTAAGATGAGACTTTCTCCTCTCCCATTTCCCAATAATCGCCCTCTCTACTTTGCTTTGCTTACTTAGAATGCAGTAGTTTCTCTTCAACCAGAGGAAGGACGGCCGGGATCATGTCAGGTGGGAAAATCTGGCTGGCAACTGTCAGAGCCATGCAAACCTCAAGCAGGTTAGAGCTCTGTAGGTCCTGTGGGAAAGTAAAATATTCAGCAATGAAATGAATAACAAGTGTGCGAGTCTCTTATGCAGCTTTGTGTCCCAAACACATACACCACACGCACACACACACCACACACACACCCGGTTGATTAATATTTGAAGGTTAAACGGTTTAGCTCCTATAGCTAAATATGAAAGCACAGACTTGCTAGTTCCATTTGAATGATCTCACGCACTCTTTAACTTCACCTCCACACAGTACAAGACATTTAGAGTTTTCTAAGATGTCACTTTATAACTTACCCAGGCTTAATTTTCTAGCAATTAATTTGATAAGAAAACCACGGAGCAGACAATGGATTACAAATCCAATACATTTTGTGACTTCTTACCTTCAGGACTGTGTTCACCAGTAGAAGGAGCAGTTCGTGGCTTTCATTGAGAAAGAGCGACACAGCTAAATAGCCTGGTGTAACAACACAATGATAAGATTGAACACATAAAATATTTATGTTTCATTTTCTCCATTACTTCCCAACACATCTACCTTATTCCGCCATTGAAGGCAAGATGAAGGATCTCAAAGACAATCAACTGGGGGATAGGGAACTGGACGAGAATAGAGACAAAGGGTTTGTGGAGCTTGGTGCATGTGAGGATGCAGGCTGCAAGCTCTGGAGAATCTGAAGCTTGTAAGGGTTGGAGCCTTGGACAAATCAAGTCTAGAGGTGACACAAGAACGGATGAGGGTTTCTGCAGCATTGAGGGTTGAAGTAGTTGAGGGGAGGACAATGTTTCAGAGATGGACGAAAGTAGACTTGATCGGATCGCACTTGATAAAATGTTTAAAAGAGAGTCGAGGGTCAAACAAATGCAGTGGGTACTGAATATCAATCAGGAGCAGAAACCTTAGCGATTCCTCACTTCCCTAGCTTGTGGGTACTGAAAATAAATGTAGCATGCCTACCGCTAACCTGGCTGAGATCACATACACAAACTGGGTTCTTCCTGCTTGGTACAGCTCAGCACTCACTGAGCCATCAGGTTTGCTGCACAGGTTATTTACACTCAAAGTGACACGTTCACCAACAAGCAAAATTATTCAGCAGGACATACCAACTCTCTTTTCCATCAGGCTGCCTTGCTGAGCTAACTTAATAGCATGTATGTATCCAAAGGAGGCCTCGTAACCCAGCATTTCGCAGTAGATGAGTCTTACCATGCACTGCCTCATCTGCTTCTGCAACGAGAAAGCAAAGACATAACACAAATATAACACACTGACTGAATGCTGCTGGAGGATAAATAAAAAGTGCAAATGCATTCCCGACGGAGAGACACATCTTTTTATCTCTCTCGCTCACGCAGATCGACCCAGTCTGGATTCTCGGCATTTGTTTTTGTTTAACACTGGATGTGGCTTTTACGTGAAAAGACGGGTGGATGCCTAAACCGTAACTGTTGGGAAAACTCCCTTCTCTTTTGGACTAGTGTCACGGGATCTTTAACATCCACCGGAAAAAAAACAGGCAAGACCTCAGTTTAACGTTTGATCCAAAGGACGACATCTCCAACAATACATTGATCCACTTTATCAACCAAAGCAATGAGCAATCTTCCAAGGAGCGGCATGAAACTACAACTTTCTGATCCAGAGGCAAAAACGCTACCAGGTGAGCCGGACTGACCACCCCCACCCCTCCACCCTAAGCCATTCCCGACGTGAAAAGCGCTATATCAAATGCAAGGATTATTATTATTATTATTATATTATTAATTTCTTCCCAGCGAAAACGCAGGTGGGGGGGGGGGGGGAAAAAAAGCTCTGAATTCTCACCAATGATGTGGAAGGAGATGAAACTTGTTCTTTTAAGGCAGCTAATTCCTTCTTTATCAATTTCTCCTCATCCTAAAAGCAAAATACCAAACGTTAAGTGAGATGGGGGGGGGGTGGAGGAGATCGAACCCCAGTCACGGTCAGAAAACGAGCGGTTCCAAAACGACGGCTTTCTCAAATAACCCGAGAGGGAAACGGGGTTCACACGGCAAAATAAGAATCGCGGGGGGGTGAGCGATTGAGGTTTAACATGAAGGTCTAAAGCGTTCCGGGACACTTCCCAACGTGAAGACCGCTGTGTGATTGGAAGCTGTGTTGTTAACAACAACAACAACAACAACAACGGCAACCACCTGCGCTTATAAACGCTCCCCCTCACACAGAGTGGGGTCTGGGGAGAGCTCTGCTTGACAGTGGCGGAGGGAGCACGACTCCGAGCCGGGGGGGGAGTGCCCGAGGGCACAGTTGGTCGGTCGGTCGGTCCAAGAGGAAGGTCTTGAGACGTGACCTGAAAATGGGGAAGGAAGGAAGGGGGGGGGGGGGGGGGGGGGGGGGACAGAGGGAGAATGTCCCAGAGTTTAACGTCTCAACTGAAGGACAGCACCACACCCCCCCCACCCCCAGCACCACCCCCCCAGCCCCACACACCCCCCCAGCACCACCCCCCCCCCCCCCCCCCCCCCCCCCCCCCACACCCCCCGCCCCACACCCCCACCCTCCCCCAGCACCACATCCCCAGCCCCACACACCCCCCCAGCACCACCCCCCACCCCCAGCACCACACCCCAGCCCCACACCCTCCCCCAGCCCCAGCCCCCCGCTGGCTGCCCCCCCCCGGCCTGGCCCCCGGTACCTGCTTGGACGCCAGGTCGGTGAGGCCGCGGATCAAGGCCCCGAGCCTGGAGGAGGCGGAGAGACTGGCGCCGCCGCCGCCGCCCCCCGACCCGCCCGAGGTGTCCAGAGACAAGAGGCTCGGCAGCGCCGACAACGTCTTCTCCATGACATCGCTCATGGTGGGGCACAGAGAGACAGACAGAGAGAGAGAGAAGGGGGTACGTGTGGGGGTGGAGGGGGGGAGAGGGGGGGGAGAGCGCGGCGGCTCTCCGCCTCACGCCATCTTAGGCCGAGGCCGGATATCCGGTGCCGAGGCCGCGCGTGCGCAGACTCCCCCCCCGCGCGGTGACCCGCGTCTGCACTGCACTGCACTGCACCGCCCGCGCCCTGACCAGCAGAGGGCGCCCCCCGGCCCCGCCCCCCGGGACAATGCGATCAGTGGGGGGGGTGTTGCCCCCCAATCCCATCTGCCCCCACCACCACCTCTCCCCCCCTCCCCCCCACCCTCCCCCCCCACTACCTCCCCCCACCTCCTCCCCCCCACCACCTCCTCCCACCCCTCTCCCCCACCCTCTCCCCCCCCTCCCCTCCTCCCCCCCCCCACCTCTCCCCCCCCTCTCCCCCCCTCCTCCCCCCCCACTACCACCCCCTCACCTCTCCCCCCCCTCCCCCCTCTCCCCCCCACCCCTTCCTCCCCCCACTACCTCCTCCCCACCACCTCCTCCCCCCCACCCCCTCTCCCCCCCCACCCCCCTCTCACCCCTCTCCCCACCTCTCTCCCCCCACCCCCCCCCCCCTCTCCCCCCCTCCCCCCACTCTCCCTCCCCCCACCTCTCCCCCCCCACCCCTCTCCCCCCACCTCTCCCCCCAACTCTCCCTCCCCCCACCTCTCCCCCCCCCACCCCTCTCCCCCCACCTCTCCCCCAACTCTCCCTCCCCCCACCTCTCTCCCCCACCCCTCCCCCACCACCTCTCCGCCCCCCACCACATCTCCCCCCTCCCACCCACCTCTCTCCCCCTCCCACCCCCACCTTTCATTTTTTTTTCACCCCCCCCCCCCTCCCCATTTTTTTGTTAAAAATTTTTTTTAATAAATCATTCGTTCAATCAATGAAAGAAAAGAAAAGAAAAGAAACATCTTCGCATGGATGGAGATGCGCAATTGGGGGGAAAACCAAAACCCACCGGAAAGCTATTCGGTTCCCCCCCACCCCCCCCCCCCCCCCACCTCACCACCACCCACCAAAAAAAATACCCCCCCCCCCCACAAAAGAAATAAGACGGTCAATTCACTTGCCCGTGAAGCGGTTTGAGACGTCTCAATGACGTGATAAGGCGCTGTATCAAATGCAAGGGTTATTATTATTTATTTTGTTTACGCTGGGGGTGGGGGGGGGGTGGGGGTGAGGGGGGGTGGGGGTTAGGGGGGTGGGGGTTAAGGACTTTCCTTCTTTTCTTCCATCCTTTCCCCCCCCCCCCTTCCCCTCCCCCTTTCACTTGAGTGAAACAATGCCAAAGCACAAAGCACTCGCACAAACCTGGACGGACGCCTCGTGCTGTGGCAGCAACAACAGAATGATTCGCGCTCACACTGCGCCCTTTTAAAGCTTCAAAGCGATCCGTGGCGGGAGGTTATCGAGAGGAGGCGACGGGATGGGCAGGAGGTCAATAATGTAGGATCTTAAAAAGGGTCTTGAAAGCAGAAGGAGCGCGAGGCAGAGTGTGTCAGGGAGGGGGTTCCAGTGAGCGGAGACAAAGTGGTTGAACGCTTACCCGCTGACTTGGGAGTCAGCAAAGTGGTGGGGGAGCGGGACGGCATGAGATCACAGAGGTAAGAGCAGGGCAAGGACACGGAGGCGTTTGAATGTTAGAACAAGAATGTTGAAGTCAGCCCTCTGAGGAATAAGGGCGGCACTGGAATACTCTACCGGAATACAAAACCTGAAGGCAGCATATACTCACCAGTGACGTTAGGTGGCTTCGACCTTTGGTGACGTTCAAGCCCAGACACGGGGTAAGGTGGGAGACGGGAGCACGACTTAGCCCCGAGGTTTCTTTGTCGCTGATGAAAATTCATTAGAAACCTTTAATAAATGACGGCGATTGTGAGACACTACAATTATAATAGTAAGGCACAGAACTTCAAATCATTGCTCATTGCTGACAGCATAATAATAATAATAATAATAATAATAATCCTTGCATTTCATATAGCGCCGTATCAGCATTTTTGAGTCTTGCCATAATGTCTACCTGGTTTATCATTTTAATTCAATTTTCTTGCAAAGTACAAACTGTATAAGGTCAAGAGACTCTCAGCCGATGGCTAGCTTACACCCTTGCTATTTTTCCTACCACACTTTAATCAATATAAAAACAATAAGAATCCATGCACGTGATACAGCGCCTTTCACAGCATGTGAAACACTAAAGTGTAGTGACTTTTGTAAGCAGCCATTTTGTGCACAGCCTGCGTCCCACAAACAACCATGAAGCCAATGATCAATTTTATCTGGGGGGAAACTCCATTCTCTTGTCAATTTGGCCATAGAGACCCATATCAGGGGGAGAAAATCTATTAATTATGCAACCACCTTCCATGAGATCTTTACCAAACGTTCAAACAAGAGAAATGGTTCTCAATTTTAATGTCTCATCCAAAAGACGGCACCACTGGCAATGCACTGTGTTGTCTAGATTGTGAGTTCAAACCCCCTACATGGGTCAAAGGCAAGTAGGTTACCAACTGAGCCAGGCTGGGGATGGTAATGCTTGGCTGTGCATTTGGTTTACCCATATATTTATCAACATTAATTGCCAACGTGTCATTCATCTGCCCTGTTATATGGATAGTGGAGCCCTCATCACAAGCTCCATTTGCCTTATGATGAATTCCACATACCCTAATCCATTATCAAATCCAATTTATTCCAAATTACTTGCTTTCAGAGTAGATTTTGTTTTGTTTTTTTGTTTGATGAAACCGCATCTAATTCCCGCTTTGCTTTGAATTGGACCGGAAGGCATTTGTAAGGATGAGATTAATGTCCGATATTTAGTCCTGTTGTTAATGGACTCTTACAGTGGAAAAAAAATTACGTGACATTTTTGCATGGCCATAGAGACCCATATCAGGGGGAGAAAATCTATTAATTATGCAACCACCTTTCATTAAAGAGACAGCACTTAAAGTGCTGATATTTTCAGTACAAAGGTTGGGGCTAAATGTGTTACTGAAAGGAAGGCGCGTTATATAAGTGGTTATATATAATATGAGTTCCTCTGGTTTGAGTGCTTTACACCGCCTTTTGTAACTGAGTGAGGTAAGAGGGATCCCGTTTGACGGATAATCGAGTGGAAAACAATGAAAGGAGAAGAGGAAAATCTCTCCCTACGTGTCTTTCATCAAGGCCAGATCGTCAATGAAAGTGGGTCGCATTTTATTCCTTCAAAGAAGTTGGCGAATTTCACTGGGGTGGTGGGTGGGGGGGTGGGGGGTGGGGGTGGGGGTTGGTTTTGTTGCTGTTGTCGTCGTCGTGTGTGAATGTGGAGTGACGCAGGTTTGAAGTGGGTTTGACGCACGTGGGAGTGGATTTGCATGGAGTCCATCCTCCTGCCAGGTTGTCAAGAAGCCCCATTCTCTCTTCGATCGCACAGAGGCAGAGAGAGCTAACTGCACACACAGCCACACACACACACACACACACACACAGAGCCGAGCCAAGCCAAGCCAAGCCAAGCCGAGCCACTCTGTGTCTGTATCGCTCTCCAAGGTACTGAAAGCTTCACATCTCTCCCCAGCAGACGAGAGAGACGCCAGGACTCGACTCAAGCACAAAGGACAACCTCTTGAGAAACATCCACACACACACACACACACCGCAAAACAGGGGGAAGGAAAAAAAAAAGCACCTCTTTCTCTCTTTCTGTCTCTCTCTCTCTCTCTCTCTCTCTTCTTCCTCCTCCTCCTTGCAGACTGCTTTCTGGAGCCATGCCTGGCAAATATGCAACGGTCATGCTCTTTTTCCAGGCGTTCTCAGTAACCTTTCACCAGACCCACGCTTTCCCAACACCAACCGAGTCAAAAGGTAGGTTTCTCTCCCCCTTTTAATATACATAGTAATAATAGAAATGCTTGCATTTGATTTAGCGTCTTTGAGACCTCTCCAAGCGCTGGCACTTTGCGAATGCATTGTAAAGTGCAGTGCAGTGTAGTGGCTGTGTGTTTTGTGGGCGAAATATTAAAGGGTGTTTATTTAAAAGCCGAACAGGAGAGTGCTGATATCTAAAGCAGTGCTGCGTTTAGATGTGCATAAATATAGTAAGGATATGGACATCGAGGTTGCGGTAGAAATTATAACCAATTCTCTGCCTGTGTCGGATTTCATGTCAAGGGTAACGATGGGGTATTTGGTGCAATGCTTCCCCCTTTTTTATTATTATTATTATTATTATATTTAATAGAAAAGAAGAAAAAAAAAGGTTTGCATGTTATTCCTGAGCAAGTCTGTGTGGGTGTGTGTGTGTGTGTGTGTGTGTGTCTGCAATGGGCCAGTAAGTACAGTTATATGGTTGCAAGGCAGTCAGACTGCTCCTGTAAGGCTTTGTTTGCTGTGGTTGTGTGGGGTTTTTTTTTGTCAGGCAATTAATTCATTTAATCCGCGTTTAAAAAGGCAGGTTATTGAAATGGACACTGAAAATCACATGGACTTTATTCAGAGGTGATGGGGGTGGGTGGGTGGGTGGGGGGCTGGTGGTTGCTTATAAATATTCCCTTGAATGAAACGTCTTAGATTATAATTACTATGAAATACAATGAGCTTTCTCTCCTCCTCCCCACACAACTCCCCCTCTTTCTATCTATCTCTCTTTCTATCTCTCTCTCTCTCTATCTCTCCCAGTGTTGCGCTGCTTTAGATGTCGGTCAGACCCTTTTCTATTTTCGCCTTCTTAAATCCACTTTGACGATGCTAATCCGGATCAGAGCACAGGAATATATACCTCTGTCACATGCGGTGAGGGAGTTTGAAATGTGAACGGATGTAATATAATCCGCAATCACTGTTGTGCTCTTAAAACAGCAATTTTGATACAAACACACACACACACACATAGGGAGGGGAGAGAGGGGTTTGGGGGGAGAGAGATCATTTTCCATTCCAAGCGGTAGAAAGAACTCTGGGATTGTGTTGCCCAAACCATTTTTTTGTTAATAATAATAATAATAATAAAACAATCTTTTTGTACCAAGAATCTTTGACCATCCAGTCACTTTATGCTAATTCTACTTGATCAATGTGAAAAGGCATGGGGGTGGGTGGGGGGGGATGGGGGGGCGAAGGAAGCGGTTTCATAGCTATAACTGCACCTTTTTGCGGGGATAAGATGAGATACATTGGGTAGAATGAAAGTAATAAGATTTGGTAGCAATTCAAGTAAGCAGGATACATTAGCTCCATCATGACTTGGGTACAGATGTGGTGGAGTAGTTAGTTTTGGAGCCAGTGTTTCAGTCTCCTTCTTTCTCCTTCCCCTCTTATTGTACCGTTAGTAATAAGTAGTTTCTTGCAACTAGAAACACAGCCGGATAATCAAAGATAATTCAGTCAGTGTGTTACTGTTTGAGATTACTGGTACCCTTAAACATAGAGAGGTAGGATCCCAGGAAGAGGCGTACATTCATTCACCTTGTCTTATTCCTCTTCCACGGCTTATAAGTCTTAATAATAATAATAATAATAATCCTTGCATTTATATAGCTTTTCATAGGACGTCCAAGCGTTCACAAACACTGTAATGAATTGATTATATAGCTAACGTCAATTTTTTTTTTACTTTCCTCTTAGACAAAGCCTTGTCCAACCGACAATTATCAGCGGAAAGACCATTAAAGGAACAGGTAAAATAATTCTCTCCCAGGGGGAGATTGATCCTTGTAACTCGAGTTTGAACCTCCCTCCCTCCCTCCCTCAATAACAGATCATTGTACATTTTTGACCAAATGTAATATTTGTAATATATATTGATAAGCCTTTATTCTTTTCATTTATTTTGCAAATCTCCTGCCTCCTGTAAAGGTCTCTTTTTTTCTTCTTTTTATTTATTTGAAAAATCTAGTTTCAAACATACACACACCCCATTATTGTTCATTATCCCCCTGTGCCTTATCCAGTCTCATTCTCCCTAATCGGTAAATGAATGGCATTATGCGCCCGGCAGATGAATTAATGAATGCCCTGAGGCAGGGGAGAATCCGCTGAATATAGGCAACATTTTTGGTGGTGAAAATGATTGAAATGCACCGAATCAATCCAGTACCAAAAAAGTTCACCTTTTTTGTGTGTGTGTAATAAAAATAGTATTTTGTTACTGTCCCAAAAGATTGCAGAAGCGGATCAAGTCAGCCAGTCGTCACCTGTGGGTAAGCCAGCAAAACACATTGTCTTTTGTGGACTACATTACATTTGTAGATCACGCATTAAAGCAGCCTAGAATCCAAGTGCAGTTAAACCTGTGTCCATTTATCTTCTTCAGTACTGATTTCTCCCTCCCTCTATTCCCTCCCCTCCTTCACTCCCTTTAGAAAACAAGATCGCATTGCAGAACGACTCTGACACACAAGACTTCATTCTACTCAAATCCCTGGCCGAGAGAGAAAGAAGTCAGAAAGATAACGATTCCAAAAGAAACTCTCCGGGCGACCCCTCGCCTCCCTCCAACGCGGCCGACACAACCAAACGCCGAAGATTAGCCGAAGATTATGACGATTCCACCAAAAACGGAAAGGATAATAAATATGAAGGTTTTGCCTCCTCTTGTTAAATTATTTTTTGTTTGCGTTTTTTTTCACCTGTTTGATTTGTAACCGGAGTTAATATACTATATAGTGAATTGACTGTGTATTTTGTGGTTGAAATTATCTGCTTGACTCGCGTGTATTTTATAGAATCTGCATTTAACGCTTGTGGGATTTAGCCCTCTTTACCTTCAAAAGCCACGCTTGTGATCCTGACTTTATCTGGGTTCTTTATCCCTTTAAACAGATGATCCAGACGGGCTTCACCAGCTGGACGGAACGCCTTTAACAGCTGAAGACATCGTCCAGAAGATCGCCAACAGGATCTATGAAGAAAATGACAGAGGAGTGTTTGACAAGATCGTTACCAGGCTTCTCAACCTGGGATTGGTAAGCACTGATCGTCTGTCTGTCTGATCAGGTGGTCACTATTCCAAAAAGAAAAGGGAGTTTCTCTTGGTGTCCTGCCCAACAATCCTCCAGATAAAATCACTGTGTGGCTGTGTGTGTGTGGGGGTGATCATTGCTGTGCCTCAGATTGACGCATTCTTGTTATAGATAACAGAGAGCCAGGCTTACAATCTGGAGGATGAAGTAGCTGATGCATTGCAGCAACTTATTGTGAACCAAGCTAGCAAGAATGAAGTGGAGATGGAAAGCATCAACTACCCTCCAATGAAAACCGACAAAGACATGGATGAAAGGGGAGACAAGAAAATGGTAAGTTCACTGAAGTTCAGAGGTGAATCCAGTCGATGGTCTATTTCCAATCCCATCAGTTGTCTCTGCGGGAAACCTGCTTGATGCATTTGTTCAGATAGTATCAAGTCCCAGTCCTAATGATTATTCATATTGATTGCCCTAATTAGACAGGCAATGGCAATTGTGGGTGAGATGCATCTTAACGTGGCTTTGTAGTCATCTCTTCAATATTCACTTCCTCCCTACGGAGGAGTGGATCAGTGCTCCTCGCTGTATCAATCAATGATAGCCTGGCTGGCATCAAGAATTGGTACCGTGCAGAGATGCCAGTCACACAGGCATTATGACCAAACACCATCCCCCTTGTACCGTTAATGAAGAAAAGCCAGTGTTAGGAAATTGCAGGGATGTCAAATGAGAATTATATATATATATATATATATGAGTCCTGTAGCTCAGTGGTTAGAGCACTCACCTCGCAAGCGAGAGATCTGGGTTTGATTCCTGGCAGGGCGAAACCCGAGGCAAGTTTCCTTACTCCACACACCTGATAATAATCCCTAAAGCATAAAATAATGATTTAGACATTTCAATCCATGACTGTTTGTGGGACGCTGTTGTGCGCAATTGGCTGCTGCATTTTGCGCACAAATATACAGTCAATTCATTTTACAGTATATTCTGTGAAGCGCTTTGAGATGTCTCGAACACAAGAAAAGCGCTATATCAAATGCAAGGATTATTATTACACAAAGAAGCGATTTTGTATTAATACATACATTCCAGATCAGTAATGACATCTGGATTGTTAAACTCCTCTCCAGAAATATTAATAGGATTGGAGGTCATACACTATGGCTGGTGTGGTATTAAAGTGAACAAATGAAATTACAATGTCTCACACCCCCCATCCCCCAAGCAAAGTAAAACAAGTTTCTTGTTTAATTAAAGCTATATTTCAAGTTAATCTCTGATATTATCAACTTCTCCATTCAGGGGATGGATCTGACCTTTTCCTCCAGTTATCTGATTACGCCACCTGTATAATTTTCATGATTATCTTCATCATTTGCACAAAGCAGTTAGTGCTCTAAATTGTCAAAGGTTGGCATCAAAATGTTTTTTATTCAGAAGCTATTGCCAACTCCTGCACCATCACTGCTGATCACCCCAATCCAATCCCCTGCTCTTTCTCCCCTACCCTATAATTTAATACAAACATATCTATTTATCCTGTTTTGTGCTTCCAAAACCAGGCTTCTATAACTGTCACAAAAAGAGTGGGCAGCAGATCTGTCCCTAGCACTCTGCCAATTTCATTTGGAAGTGAACTGCTAAGAGGCATTCCAAGCAGACACTGTCTTGAGTCATCCCTTCAAATAGTTACTTCCTCCCTACGGAGGAGTGTATCAGTGCCACTTGATGGCTCAGTGATGGGGTGGCTGGTATCAGGAGCTGACCCATATAGGAAATGTTAATGTAGAATTACACGCTGCAGTATGTCAAAAGATCACAAGATTGGTTCGGATGAAGAAAGCCCTTCGGCCCATTTAATTCCATTCTTCTACAATACCCATCCCATCATCTTCGCCTCACAGCATCACTCTGCTTTTTAAGAATCCAGTTTCCTGGCCTCCACCACACATCCTGGTTAATTACATTAACTTAGATGGAGAAATACTTCCTGGTGCCTGTCCTAAAATTGTGCTTTCGATCAACTTTAAGACAGTATGGTCTTTCAGGTGAAGACATGGTAAAATGTTATGCCTATAAAGTCACTAACATGGGAAGCGTTAGGCAAATACATGAATTCCAATGGGATACTCAATAGGAGTCTCACTCTCTCGGTTTATCACCCAACCAAAAAAAAAGCACTTACTTCAGGACACGTTCTTGAAGAACGTGTAAGATTAAACCAGAGAGCCTATATGATCGGAAAAATCAAGCTACACCAGGTTTTATTGATAGATATTCCCAGTTGATGCTAAAAAAAGTACATCTCTTTTCTCACACCCCAACAGGTGATGGAAAAACCTAAGAAGAATGATGGTGACCTCACAGAACAGGGGGGCATGGATGATACTGTGGATAACAGATGGGTCACAACAAATGATATGGATCAAAGAAGTGACCTGCCCACCGACTATGATATGGATGACCTTCAGTACTTTCCAAACTTCTACAAACTATTGAAGAGCTTGAATAGAGGTAAATTCGGTACATAAATACAATCTCCAATTAAACCTTCTGATCTAGTGTCATATGTTTTTTTAACACATAATTCCTTCCATCAGATGCAATGCAAAACTTACCAAATTCCACCTAGTCCTCGCCCACTTGTCTTAACCTTTATGTCGCACAGAATTGTCAAAAATCCCAAATGTTAATTTGGAAACTACTGTAAAGTGGAATTATTGATGGCATTTCAGACCACTTATCTAATGTTTTGCTGTTTAGCCTCCCTCCTCTTGGCAGGACAATTGTTTATCTAAATAAAAAGGATCAGGAGGCGTAAACTGGAAAAATAAATTGAATCACTATTAATACATCATCATTTTAGAAGCAAAGAAGAGTGGATATATTTTTGAACACAGACAGATGGCTACAATGGTCTGTACACACTCCTACATAATGGCGTCAGCCTGGCTCAAATGCGTTACTCCTCTTCTGGGTTTTGTTTCAAAGAAAATATCTTGAATTCTGTATAAGCAACTCGGTATAATTAACACGTTTAATTCTTCTTTCTTACAATAGCACAAGACGCGAAGGAGCGGGAAACCCTACTAACTATCATGAAGACTCTGATTGATTTTGTGAAGATGATGGTCAAATATGGAACGATATCACCTGAAGAAGGAGTTGCATACTTGGGTGAGACCTCGGTCAAATTAATACATAGTTCGGAGGATTTAATCACAACAACAACAACAACAAGATTCCATTTATAGAGCACCTTTCACGTCAGGAGGACGTCCCAAGGCGCTGTACAGTTGGGTCAGGACCCGAGCAGGGGGGAAATGGTCAGGGTGAGGGGAGGGAAGGGAGGGAGCGAGGAGGGGAGGTAGAGAGTCGAGAGGGGAGCTGAAGGCTCGGTCAAAGAGAAAGGTCTTGAGACCGGCCTTGAAGGAGGAAAGGGAGGAAGCAGCGAAGGCACTGAGGGATAGAGTTCCAGAGCCTAAGGGCTGAGAGGCTGAAGGCCCGGCCACCGATGGTAGGGCGGTTGGGGCGGGGGATATGGAGCAGACCGGAGCCAGAGGAACGGAGGGTATGGGCAGGTAGGTAGGGGGATAGTAGGTCGGAGAGATAGGAGGGAGCGAGGCCGTGAATGGCCTTGTAGGTGAGGATGAGGATCTTGAAATCACATGCTGATCACTAACACTTCCCATCTTTCCCCATTACGCTTTCATAATGGAATTGTTTATTGTAATCACGTAACAACCAAATCATAGCATAAGCAATCAGCGCTTGACAGACTGCCACCTTTAGGTTTTCACATCAATTTGTGAAAGACAAATTAAGTTATGATTAACGGAAGCCTTGCATTCTTATGACAAACTTTCATTTCCAATTTGAACAAGTTGGAGTGTGGCTTTCAGACATGTTTGTCAGGTTCCGCAGAGATTAGATTTCCGCTTCATTCCTTCCAGTTGCTGTTTTGCGGCTCAATGTGATACAAATGTGAAATGACCCAAGGCTAGCACGCAAGGGCACTTGACATCCCAAACATTGATTCGTATTCTATTTCTTATTGCAAACAATCTTTCCCTCCCATCATACTAACATTTTCCTAGGGATTATTGCCACAAAGGTTCTTTTAGTGAATTGCTTACAGCAAAAAAAAACATTACTTTCCTGACTCTCTCTCTCTCTGCTCAATTTGCTGAACACCTTAATTTGCAGCTATTTTCTATGAGTTTACATGTTGCTGCATCTCAGTGACCAGAGGCAAGGCAGTAATGGAATATAGTTCCTATCAGATATTGAATGACTGAAGAGATACAGGGGTAAAATTTGCAGTTTTTCTTAACCCACGCATTGCATTAACTAGCGCAAGGAATGGAATAAGAAATAGTGCAAATTTCCCCCTTAAAATGTTTCCACAGGTTGACCGCCTGACTGCCATTCAGACTAATTCCATTTTTCCTCCTGTCAATCACTCAGCTGCCAAATCGGGCGCAAATTAAATGCTAGAAATGCAATCAGTCTCTCACTGCGATTCAAAATAATTCGAAAACATCAGGCCCTGCCTCCGGTCAGTGTGAAAACTATAATAGTAATGATTCTTGCATTTAATATGTTAATATGTAAGTGTCTTTCACTTCGGGAGGATGCCTCAAAGCGTTTCACAGGGTTTAATATAATAAAGTGTAGTGACTGTGTATTATGTAGGCAAATTAATAATATGAAAGTAGCAAGCTGGAAATCAGCCGGAATATAAATGTGTAGAGAACACATAGATATTCAGATAGAGGAATCTTTCTTCCTGTCATATTCATTGCACTGTTTGTAAAGCATCCCATGTTTTGTCTTCGTTTCTCTCAGTGGGTGGCACTCTCCCGCCTCTCTGGGTCTCTCTTCAGATGAGACAAGCCCTGAATGTCTTTTCTGATGTTTTAAGTGGATGTTAAAGATCTGTGGGGGGGAAAAAAATAATGTCTTTATAGTGCACCACTTTATAAGGGGTGGTGGTGGGGGTGGGAGGGGGGCGGTGGTTGGAGTCAGGCAACTGAAGTTGGCTTAGACACATGGACCTTCCTGCTCCCCGCACGCTAAAAAATTAAAGCCTGACTTCCTGGCTATTAGGTCGTCTCCAACGTCATTTCCTGTGGGCTGCAATGAATCCAGAAGTTGTCAGTTTTAACCAGTTAATAATATATCTCTTCGAAATTGGCCACTGCGTTGACAAGGGCACATTAAGAACACCATGATCAAACTCTAAATATAGAGGAAGGGCATCTTACTGGATAAAGGGATCAAGTTCTCATTAAATATTAATTTCTTTGACATAAAAGCTTTGCAATCAATTTTTAAAGTGAGCTGCCATTTGAGAGAGCCAGCTCATAAAGAATCACAGAACTGCTGTGTTGAGAGTATTGATGGATTTGCTGAGATATATTCGGGAACCGGCTTTAATTTGCAGGAACATTAGATAAGAACTAGGTTACATTCGGCCGTGATGACACATGCGGTGAAGTAGACTGATGAGTGAGCTCACAACATGAAGAATGGTCATTTGGGAAAAGTGCTGAGTGTAGGGGAGGGGGTAGGAGGGTGACCGAAGGCGCAGTCGAAGAGGAAGATATTGAGACGGGCCTTGAGGGAGGCACGGGAGTGGGTGAGGCGAAGCGACTGCGGGATGGAGTTCCGATGGGTGGGGAGAAAGGGTGACGGCAGTGTGAAGGACAAAATCTAAAATTTCAGACCAAAGTCTGTTTCCAATCTGAATAATTTTTAAGTCAGCCAATACTTCAACATGATGACCTCAGAAAGAGTCAACTGGGACATTGAAAATTATACGCCAGGGCAGTCTTTTCAACGAGAGACACCATGTTGTCTTCAGAGAATCTAACAGCCTTCAAAAGAGTTGCATCTCAACAGTCTCAGCGTCTCAGACGCACATTGTGTAATCAGTTCACCCTTTCCTTTGCATCCTCACTCTTATTTATTAAGCTTGATGCAGTGTAGGACAGTAACACGAGCCCTTAAGGTATCAAAGCTTAAATTTGGTAGTCGGAAACAAAGAGTGCCTAATCATTTTAATGCATAATTGCAAATATCCTCTTTTACTTTTGTAACCTTCCAGACAGCTATTATAATAGTCCCTCCAGTATAGTCTAGCACTGCGCTTGCATTTTTTTCTGGATCCTATTAGAATCTGCCAGGTTTTGCTGCCAGCAACATATTGGGGTGAATTTACGCAGTGCCAGGAAATGGCATAAAAAAAATTGGACTAAAGAACATCTGCTTTGTGAAGAATAAAGTTGTCCCGGTCAGCGTTAAAATCCATAGACGGCTAAATAATAATAATAATAATCCTTGTATTTGATATAGCACCTTATCACGTCTTTGGGATGTCCTAAAGTGCTTCACAAAATACAAAATGCAAAGTGAATTGACCGTATATTTTGTGGGCGAAACAAATACGAGCAAAACAAAGGACTGCTGCGACAGCCCCCGCTAGCTTTATAATCCTACTCAGCAATTAGGGAACATGAACGCTTTTTGGACACGGCTATTAACACAGCCAAGATCTTCCGTACAGATAGGTTTGCTAAATTAAGCTACATTAGGCAGCTGGAGCGAAAGATACTCAATCCTTATGCGGGCACATGCTACGCACAGAGCTGGTTGCTATAGGAACTAAAACCACAGCATAACACGATCCCACAAGATTCAGCAGATAAAAGACCGATGTTGATTACACACTGGTTCTCCATTTATGCCTATAGCGTGCATCTGTTTAAGATTCAATAGGAGCTTAGCAGTTAATGGGATTCGCTCTGCTGTTATCTCTTCCTGAATGGTGTGGGGTGGTGGGGGGGAACGGGGGAAAGGGAAGTGGGGGAAGGGGATCCAGCTTAAAATTTGATTTGCAGCCATGTCATTTACGCTGACAGTTGCTAAATGGAACTAATTTGCTCCTGTCACCAGCAGTGAAATGAAGAGTGAGAAGCGAAAAATGAATTCAGGTTTGCTGTCCAAATCATCCATCATCATCTATTTCACAGCAACAAGAGAGATACAGCTTGCAGTATTCCTTAAAATGACAATGTCTCCACAATTACAAAAATACAGTCACTGCACTTGGCAGTGAATCCTGTGAAGTGCTTTGAGACTTGCGAAAGGGACTTTGTCAAATGCAAGGATTAATGTTGTAAGGAATCCAGTTTAAGAAAAAGCGTAAATCAGACCTGGATACGGGTGGCGAGATGTATGTGCATGTTTGCCACCTTCTGTTGTCTCTCAGGGTGAAAGGGGATCAAACGGAGATAGGAAAAGACTCCATAATTTTATAGTCATATCGTGTATCCATAAGAGAAAATGGCATCCATTTTTGAGGGACATTGACACCCAGTGAGGAAGAGGATAAAGCAAGAGTGTGTGATCAGGAGAATTCAGTTTTTAAAATAGCCAGAACAGTGGGTTTCAGATTCTTTAAGCATCGAGCATTCACTCACAGCCTGGAGTGTCCATCTGGATCAGTTTAGTACTTCAATCTGGGAAGCACCAATGTGTTTTTCAGGATATGTCTGGCCAGTGTAAGTGCTAGAGCTTCAGGGCAGGGCCTCAGGGTACAAATTAACAGCCAGTGAGGCTGAAATGAGAAACAGAGAATGAAGGGATAAGAAGGGCATAATGACTGTTACATCTGGACAAGGCACCTACCGAGGCATGGTTCGTATTTACCTTACTGGCACGGATCTCTCTTTGGGGCCGAGGGGGAGGTGAAAGAGATATGAAACAGTCGAGTTCCACGATTAATAAACGTAAAACTGGACTGGGTGAGCCTGTTTTATTTTACAAACACTCTGTACAATAAGTTGAATCATAATAATGAATACAGTAGTAATAATCTCGCATTTGATATAGCGTCTTATCATGTCTTCGCGATGTCTCAAAGTGCTTCACATAAGTCACTGTAGAGTGGTTTGACTGTATATTTTGTGGGTGAAAGGCAGCAACCAATTGCGCACAGCTGAGTCACACAAACATTTGATTGGTGAAATCAAACAAAATAATGCTTGTTGCCTTAAAACCTTCTTCCCAAAACCAGAGGCCGAAATTTCTCATGGTCTTCGCCTAATTGTTAACCGTTGTCTTAAAATGTATAGCCCGAGAGAACATTTCAAAATTCTTAAAATCAATCTTAATTTGGAAACCAATTTTACAAATTCTCTCTAATTCACAAATTTATTCCAGACTAAGACCACGTTTAAGATACTCCCACCGGCAGCTTTCAAGACGATGGTCTCAAGGCTAGGACAGCGTAGAATTTCTGGTCTCAGATCCCCATACAATAACCAACGCATTTTCAAACATTTCAGGTGGATTGGTACGAGTCTCAAAGGGACATTGTGTTTTTTTCTGCAGAGAACCTGGATACAATGATAGCTGTTCAAACAAAGAATCAGCTGAGTAAACCCAAGGTCTTTGCCATGAACCAGGAAACAGCAGGTGAGGCCGGTATTGTAAGTTACCTAGAATCATAGAATCTTACAGCACAGAAGGAAGCCATTCTGCCCATCGTGCCTGTGCCTGCTCTTTGAAAGAGCTGTCCAACTAGTCCCACTTCTCCGCTCTTGCCCCATAGGCCTCTCTGCAACTTTTTCCTTTTCAAATACCTATCCAATTCCTTTTTGAAAGCTACTATCAAATCTGCTTCCACCACCCTTTTAGGCAGTGGGCTCCAGACCGTAACAACTCTCTGGGTAAAATAATTTCTCCTCCTCGTCTCCCCTCTGGTTCTTTTGCCAGTTATCTTAAAATTCACATAGAATTCAGAACATCGCTCGTCGGAACAAGCCCCCACCAAGAAGAAAAAAAAAAAATCCTATCCACGGCTTGTCATCTCACATTAAAACGCACTGTGATTGCTTTCTGCAGATAGCGTCGATGACATGGATAGCACGAAGGGCAGTTTGGGGAAGGCAGGGAAGGTGGTGGAAGGGCTGATGACTCCACAAAAGAAGAGGAAGATAAAGCGGAACAGTCTAAAGGTAAAGCGCGGGGTCCTCTTACTTTCCTTTGAAAGCTTCCGCATCCCCATCCCGCTCCCTTCTCTCTTTCATGCTGACTGAGAATGATGGACAGTCTCTATTGTGACTCAATGTCACCCAGGAGCGACTGGTTTGAGTGAAGGTGACAGGTGAGAATTAACAGGGAAGCGAATTGAGTTTGGAGTTTCAGTGAATCATTGTCAACCCATACCATGCAGATGACAAGCTGTCACTCAGATTTGTAATGTGGGGGGACTTAGATCACTTCTGAAATATGGGATTGAGATACGCCTGGTAAGGAATGGCACCCTCTGGAGAAAGTAGCTCCTAGCTTTGACCGACAGTCTTTATCGATCGCCAATGGATAATGCTTTCAGCTGCTATTTCATTGCAATATTTGCCCTTTATGCACAAGGTATCAGGGAACGATGAGTTGCATTTTGCCAGTCTACCTGGAATTCAACAACAACAACTTGTATTTATATTGCGCCCTTCACACAGGGTAGTCTCTGTGAAAGAGCTATCCAACTAGTACAACTCCCCCCCCCCCCCCACTAGCCCTACATATTTCAAAGGAGCGCTTAATTCTGATACAAGCCTCAGCGCCATTAGCTTCACTCCATCCAATCCTCCAGGGCAAGGAGCAGTTGTCCGCTGAAAGAAATCTGTTTCTCTGCAGGCGTTTAAACAAAGCATTGGAAGGTAAAAATTGAGATGCCCCTCTTCAATCAGTGCAAACCCGTAGCCAGGCAACTGTGGGATCAATGAGAAACTCGTGGCTTCCATCCTGCACCCATTAAACCAACCTGGAGACAGACCAACGATCGGAATTGCAATCCTAAACAAAATATTAACTGTCTAACATAACAATGAGAAATAATAATAATCCTTACATTCAGTATAGTGCTTTTCAGGTCGGGAGGTCGTCTCAAAGCACTTTGCAGCATAGACGGTAAAGTGTAGTGACTGTGTGTTTTGAGGGTGATCGCGGCAGCCGATTTGCACACAGTTGTGGTTGGTGTTGACATTACGCAAACTCAACTCTCTCCTTAGTTACCCACAGTTTAACAGGAATATGTTTTCTGAGAAAGGAAAATGGCAGCTGTGTACACCATCTCTTAACATTTTTTAAAAAACATGTTACAAGTAAAAGCATTTCTCGGTTGCTCTAGGTGTCAACTTCCATTTTCCTGTTACTATTTTTCAAGTCAATGCCATCTTTGTAAGTTTACCACAATCCAATTTAAAGTGCAGTGTACGTTTCACTAGAATTGAAGATCTGTTTCACGTTCAAAGAAAGGGCTTGAATTAAATTGGGAAGCATTGGTTATCATTAATATTAGATATATCAGTATATAAGTCACAAGAGAAACTGCACTGGTGATTTGTTCCATACTTTTTATATTTCAATAAACGAAATAGAATTGACACAAGCCAATTACTGGGCTACATTTCAGAGAAAAGCTGTTTCTTATCCACAGCAAATGAGATTTAGGCTGCCTGGAGTCATTGCGATCAAGATCCTCGTAGCCAACTGAGACAAATCAACTTTGTGTCTCTCTCTCTGTCTCGTTCTAACGTGGATTTGTAATAACGCTGAAGAGACAAAGGGCAAGTTTTCCCAATCCAATCTGTCATTCAATCTGTGCTGAGAGTGTTTCAGGAACTATTTTTATGTGCGAGTATGTGTTGAGGTAAATTGGTATTGAAGCCAGTTGCTCGAGCAATTGCAATATAAGATCACCACAGCTCCCGTGTTTCAGCTTCGCCAAGATAATATATTTGGATTAAAGCATTTCAAACAATATTTGCTTGTTTGTTGGTGATCCACATCCCCCGGTTCTGTTTTAGGATTTGTTTGGGGATGTAGAATCTTATCACCGTGCTGAAGAGTATCCATACTAACAGATTTCCATGCATTGCCACCTACACATGGAAGCATCCAAGTGTGAAATGGAAGGCTCACTCTCTCTTTCTCCTTGGAGAGACCCACCCCGCTTACTCAATACCAGAGAGTATTAATCACAAGTTGGCGAGAGCCAAGGCTTGCAGACCCCAATGTGTAAAAGTTAAAGTTTAACTGCTAAAGTTTAAGCAGCTAAAAAAGCATAGCTTGCCACTGAAGCCGTGTTGGACAAGTTTTCCCCTGCTTGTCCAGCATCCTACCTGTTAAGGCTTTGGCTGAACAGTAGACGAATGAGCACCCGAACAGCTGTTAGTTTCACTTGCACAAAGTCATGCGAAATTGACAATAATGACCTTCTCAGTCAGTAAACATCGATCAATCAGCCTTTACAAAAACAGCCTGACAGTGTTTGGCAAACATGAAATAAAAACATTTTGCCACCTTCATGGTAAGAGAGGGTCCCTTTTAAGCACTTCGCTAGGTATCCAGGCAGACATTAATTTAGCACTTAATGGCCTGTGGTTTTTCCACTTCTGTCAGCAGCTTTGGACAAAACGGAGTCTTACCTGTCAGCAATACGAAAGAATATCGAGTGGCTGAAGAAGCACGATAAGCAAGACAACAGAGAAGGTACGTTGGGCAAAGTTCCCATTAAAAATCCTCAATTTAAATTCCCTGATCGAATCGGAGTACATAGATTTACACGGATTGCACAGCCCAGAACCAGGCCATTCGGTCCAAATGGTGTTTATACTCCTCGAGTCTCTATCCATTTCCTTACTCTTTCCCATACCCTTCAGTGCAGATTGGCTCCCGCATTTACCTACAAAACACGCAATCACTACACTTTGCAGTAAATCGGATGAAACTCTTGGAGATGCCCTCCAGACATGCATCAAATGCAAGGATCATTATTGTTTATTTTTTAATTATTAAATTAGATAATAGTGTATTGTTTTAAAGGAATCTGCACACACACACACAAATCATAATTGAATTACAAAAGTGACCAGCAGATTGCAGCAACAACAACAACTTGCATTTAGATAAGTGCCCTTCGCACAGGGTAGCATCTCAGAGCGCTTGACAGTGGCAGAGCCCGATCCTGAGCTGGGGAGGAGGCAGAGGTGACTGTAGGCACGGTCGAAGAGGAAGGTCTTCGGGCGTGACTTGAAGATGGGGAAGGAGGGGGCAAAGCGGAGGGATAGAGGAATAGAATTCCAGAGTTTGGGGCCGTAGTGGCTGAAAGCACGGCCACCAACGGTGGAACGGAAAGCACGAGGGACAAGCAGGAGGCTGGAGCCGGTCGAACGGTAAGTGGGTAGTTAGATTGCAAGAGTCGTTTGATTTAAGAATTATTCCTCTGATCAGCAGTAATGGTAAGTCAATCAGCCTGGAAAACTAAAATAGATCTTCTGCCTTCAGGAGACATTTCAACTGTAACTGACATCGACTTGCCTTTTCATGTCCTATTTAGACGTTCTGTCATGTGGTTACCTTTAGTCCTGTGGATCAAAAGTAGCTCCTCAGCCAAAGATTCAGTGGCACTGCTGTGTGGTGCAATATCCCATAGGTCAGACTCGATATTGACTTGGCAGCTACTCAAATAACCTGCACAAGTAATGCTGTGGCACGTAGACCTAACTGTTCTCCGCAGTTTCTATCGTGCCTCTCAGATGAAGGCTCATTTCTCAAGTACTTGAGGAATTGCTTGCATTCAACATCACTGACCCAAGTGCTGCTTGAGTAGAACGCCATTGATTTTCGAAGCATCGTGGATCCATCAGTACACAGCAAAACTTAATCAGTTTGAATAAGTTTCCTCTTGTATTGTAATAATAATAATAATCCTTGCATTTGATACAGCGCCTTATCATGTCATAGAGACGTCTCAAGTGTTTTGTGGGATGTACTGTAAAATGGAGTGACTGTGTATTTTGGGGACGAGACACAGCAGCCCAGTTTGCGCTCAGCAATGTTCCACACACAGCCGTGGAGTGAGTGACCGATTTTATTTGGGGGCGGGGTGTTGTTGGCCAGGACACCGGGACTGAGTTGTAACCATGAACCGTTGTAACAGAGCAAGCTCGGTGCTGACATGGTATTTCTTCTCCAATCCGTTGCAGGTTTGGACATTCAGAAACTGCGCGATATCATCGATCAGGAAGTCGACACTTACGTGCAGAAGGGAATCTTGGAGAAAGAAGAGGGAGATGTCATCAAACGTATTTACAACAGCCTGTGACATTTCCCATCGTACAACAACAACAACAACAAAAAGGGAGCTCGATTTCAGACCATGGAACTAACGATGGCTTACACTACAACTTCTCTTCTCTTTCTTATTAGGCTGTGTATGATAGACTCACCCAGGCTACAGTGCAGTCTCGAGCAGGTTCTGGGGTGGAAAAAGGGGGTGGTCGGTGAACTCCACTAAGAGGCAATAACCCGTGTTCTAATAGAAAGGCGGAACAGGCTTGAGAGGCTGAATGGCCTACTCCTGTTCCTATGTTGCTATGTTCCTACAACCCAAGTGCTTGGAACTAATGCGCGGGACCCCCTTACCCAAAACCCAAACCCTGCTGGACGCTGCACCACAGGCTTTGGGCCGATTGCATGCTGCAATTAGCTTTTCACATTCTGCTGTTAGAACGCAGGAGTAGCAGCGATTAGTGCCCAACTAAGCCAAGCCCGTCAGCTCACACACTGTTAAAAACTCACCATTAAACGTGAGGACCAACAGCTCCGATTGATCAGTTACGCACCATCATAGCTCTCTAGACAGTCGCTCAGCGGTCGTTGCAGAGAGAGGTGTTGAGGGCGGGGCTGGGCAGTGGGAGGGGGGTGATGGGGCTTTGGAAATCCGATGGCCAATTGCACAATGGTACCCGTACTTGCTCTCCTGACCCCCGCTTCTTATTTACGTTCCACTCCAATCTATCCTTCCTAAAACCCCGGGAAACCCTTGCGGCGCTAATTCATTTGATTCGTTCCGGATCGAGCATTTGAGATCAACCTTTCACAGCGATTTAAAATGAATGGCCCGTGAGACGCAAAGAAAATTAACGCCAAACAAGAAACGATTTGCGGGAGGAAGCCTTTCTTTTTCCAACATCCCCTTTCTTCCCACCCAAACAGTTTTATAAAAATAAACCTTCAGTGCCCGCCCGCCAATGGCTTGCACTGAATAGCTCGGCTAGTATTCTTTTTTGTCTGTTTGTTTCTTTGTTTAGATCAAAAGCTGCCTATTCTTTTGGCCAAATTCAAGGCATTGCAGACAGAGGATTCGTGGCTCCACTTCTTAGGGAGGAAATTCCGTACGAGTCTAGATTTACTCTAGACTAAAGGCTGTGCGTAATCGACTATCTTAGCACTTCAGAGCTCCCAATTCGGCCAAGTGTTGAGCTCAGTCCCAGCTTTGAAGACAGTTTTCTCTTAGCACCTAAACGAAACTTGCAGAGCAAAATAAATGGCTTGAAAAATTAACATTGTATTTAAAAATTTGCCAAATTCTGGACGCTCTGAAATCTGGGAATCTCTCCCCCTCTTGGAGGTATGATTTTGCCCACGTCGCCACGTTACAATTTCAAACGCATAGAAGTGCTCCACAGCAATAGTTTGCAGAGCGACGAAAGGAAAATAAAAATCCACTTGTTTGAGGCAGCAATAGCAGCGGAAATGGATATCTGACTACATTCCTTATTGCGTTGTGTACGAAATCCTGTGGTGCCCTTTGTGTCTGTCTGTGTGTAAATGACTCCCGATTCAATGTGTTGTCAGTAAAGTGCAAAAGACATATTTTTTTGTTCAAGTGTAAATATTTGTTACATTTTCAAAAGTCATGTAAAAAAAATTACAATTAAAATGTTTGAGCTTTTCTTTACAAATTTACAATTAGTTATCCCACAAGAAGAACACTTCCATTTCCCCCCCCACACCCCACCCACCCACCACCCCTCAATTACGTTGGGTGGAGATGGGACAAGGGAAAAGTCCCAAATTACTATCATTTTGAAATGTATTGTGATTTCCCTCTTTCTAAATACTCTGCTATGGTAATGAGTGCAATGACTCAGTTCAAGAGCCACATCAATCTTCCCAAGTCCGTTAGGGCTCGATTTTCAAGTACAAAAATAAGTCAATGCGTTTATTTTAAAAGAAACACAAAACCCTTAGCACTTTCGTTCATCTTTCCCCTCCCTCCTCCCCCGGCTCAGGTGCCAAGGTAGCTTTGTTAAGCGCCTTGGGACGTCCTCCTGACATGATAGGCGCTAGACTGTATACGTCAATTGTATTGCTTTGTGTTGTCCAGCTAGAAAGTACTGTTCCCTGGATGCACACACACACACTTTTTTTTAAAAAAAAAGTCTGACTCATGTGGAAACCTATCACCGTTGCTTAAGAGTATCCAAACCAACAGAGAATTCCACGCATCCCACCCTCACGTGGAAATTCCAGGGAGTGTGTTGGAATGGAAGCGCTCTCTCTCTCTCTCTCTCCCCTGCCTAGAGGGACGCAGACCGCTTACCTAATTCTGGGAAGTATTAGGCACAGGATGGCAAGAACCAAGGCTCGGGGACCTCAAGAGCCAGTTCTGCTCTAAGGAGACCCTGCGTTTGTGTTCTTACAAAATGCAACTGAGGGATTAAAGGGCAGATTACATCTGGAAACGTTACCGCGTTTTTATTGTGCATGTGCACTTTGCTCTGAAATAAACAAACAAAAACTAGTCATTTCAGACCCAGGTCATAACAAAATCCATTTATTGCGATTGTCAAATGAAACATTACGCAGAGAACAGGGTATTCGTTGCTAGTACACAGTATAAAAAAAGTCTAAGGCCACAAATATAGATATATATATATATAGCATCACATCAAACACATCATGCATGAATGTTTCATTGAACTAACTGCTCCATAATTATTCTGCTCTCACTCGTTCACTTCAGAATGAAGTCAGACTTCAATGCACCTCATCTCGTATCTCTATTCCCCCCCCTACCCCTCCCTCCCTCCCCACCCGCCCAAATGCAAACAACATAGTTGCTGGGAACAAAAAACAACCTCCATGCGTTTTATTAATGATAAGAAATTTAAACACTCGGCAATCGGAAATTTTAAAAGCACAATTGTTTTCACGCTAAATCAAAGGCATAAACCGGCTTGAACTCTCGAGCTGAAGGGCAAACCAAAGCCTTTTTTTTTTTTGAGTCCCGCACCCTAGGCAGGGCTCTCGTACCTTATCTCGCTACAGGAAAAACAAAGCCGGTTCTTCAGAGACTCAGAATGCATTCCAAGTTGTCCGTCCGCGACCTCTCAAGTCTTTCATCATCAACGGAAAGAGAGAAAAAAAACCAACAATCATCTCCAAAACGAAGATTAAATATTAAAAGCATAAATAACACAGGACACAACAGTCAAAAACGCAACCACGTGGTTCGATTTCGCACACTGACAGCTCTGGTCAAGAGTACAATGTTGCATCGCCCTCTCTGTGAGGAAGAACAGTCCAGCTTCCGCTGCCCAGTATACGCCTCCTCTACAGGGATCTGGGCTACAGTTCAGTTAGGAGGTAGGGATTTGTGATATCCTGAATCAGTTTTACTGCCACTTCAAGACATCCAGCGCTCCGGTCCGCACAACGTCATATCGTGAGCAACGTAGACGCCTCGAAGGCCTGCAGAGGTTATATAACTAACGCTGCACTGTTAGTCATACGCGATATACAAGGTAAAACAAATCAAGAGTCAATTACTGCAAGGTTCACTTCATTCCCGCCGGCCTTTGTGAAGTTTGGAATCATTTCCACGAAATCTCACCAGTGGTTAGATAAAGGTCGGGAATCTTTTTCACCACATCAACAACGGCTAAGAAATCGGATGGTTTCCACACGCACGCGCAAAGCCTCCTGGCGAAAACATTTGAAGAAAGTGCAACGGTACCGGCCGCTTCAAGGCAGCTCGCGTCAGTCAGTTTAAAGAGAATGTGACGTCTATATAGCGGTCAGTTCTTGCTCCCAGTAAGCTTAAGAGTCTAAGGGAAGAGCGAAAGATTCAACTCAACTCGCATTCCGATAGCGCCTCATGGCGCCGTACCTTCTCGGGATTGCTTACAGCGTAAGTGACTGTTATGGTGGAGCAAACCAACCTCTAGCAGCGCTTTGCATCAGCCTCGGTTCCACGTAGAGACAGCGAAGGGAGAATAGAATTAATCTGGAGGGTTGCTGGCCTAGACTCCAGCAAACTCCCTTCCTTTTCTGAAACGGGCCACGGGATCTTTTGAGACGTATCTGAGCGGGCAGATGGGGGAGGGAGGGTTTGCAGTTCAGCATCTCATCCGATAAGGCGGCATCTCTGCCAATGCAGCCACGCGAGGAGTCAGCCCTTTCACGTCAGGGCTCTATGATCTCTGGCCCTGACGTGGAGCTTGAACCCAGAAGTGTCTGACCCGAAAGCAATGGCTCATTGAGCCAACATATGACAGTTTGGTTCATTACACAGCAACAAGGCTTTTATACAGCTTAGACCTACAGTACACAGACACACAAGATCCATCGCTAAAAATAAATAAATTAGGGTTCTCGGATTAAAAAAATATCGATTTAGAAAAAAAACAAAAAGCACAAAACATCTTAATACTGAGTCAAAACGGCAAGAATTAAATTAATTAATTAAACCAGCAACAGAAATTGTTGCCCCAGGGTGGTTGTTTCGTAAATTTCCGAGAAAGAATTCCTTTTCTAAATCCTTTCAGGGTTCTGGAGGAGCAAGGCAGGGAGAGAAAGGGCTTTGTAAGAGTTGAGGTACAGGTTTGAAATAAGGATGACCCTTAATACTCAAGACCCAGCAATGGTAACCGTGTAATGTTACCATTTGCAAAATGAGTTCAATAATCTTATCAGTAAAAGCAATAGTTTTAAGCAAAACCTACTGATATCGGGACCATTTAATACTGTCCTAGTATTGACACATAATTTGTCCTGATAACATACGTATTCATGCATTATTTTGATATATTGCAGAACTAGGATTGTACTGGTTCAGTGCAGTATTTGCTAGAGAAAGGCAAAATAAAAAATGATGGATGGCGATACATTTCCACGATCCCCGCCTCCCCACTTTACGCCTGCGCTGTCATTGCAAACGTCGCGCTTTACGTGTTAAACAGCAGTAGAATTAAAATATCGGGACAGGCAATCAAAGTCAGAGCAATTAAAGTGACCCTTCAACACGACTGCGAACTGTAAGGCTCAGTTGACTGAATGTTTTTCAAGGCTGTAGATGCGACGTCCGTTACTGCTCAGGAAATCCGCACACACACGCTCGCTTAGTAAAGCCCACTGCAAGACGCACACTGGGAAGAGCTCAGCAACCCTACGCTGCCGGAAGCCATCGGGCCATGCAATGAAATAGACCTGAGCATTAAGGTGATCTCAGCAATTGTAAACAAACGACGGCAAACTCTCTACAGACTGGATTTGCAGCTGCTCCTCGAGCTGTGTCCCTGCCTCATGTACTAACAGGCTAAGTTCCTTCTTTTCTTGGCAACGAGCGCAGCGATTTTCTTAGACTGAGCTTGTGTTGCTGGGCGAAGGACACAAGCGAGAAGTCAACCCACACACCAACCCTAAGGCGATTGCACACTTAACTGGTTTAGGGGAGGTGTTTCAGTCGAGCAAACACCAAATCATGAGCTGACTGACAACAGGCCCCTCATTTTGTACTGTGGTGTGCGCGAAATCAGGATGACATAAAATGCACCAACAGTTTCATGAATGCAGACTAGTTTTTTTTTGGAGGGTCAGGTCTAAAACATCAAGAGGATTTACTTTATGGGTTAACACAGTTCAACGTCAGAGAATCTACTTCAAGTAACTGTTTTCGCAAAATAATGCTGTGTTGATGCCAATCCACCTGCACTTCAGAAACTGCAGTCAGTACCCAAGGGGACACACTTACCCATTAGGCTATGCGTTCGTCACACACTACAGAACACTTGAGCCTTGGCTTTGCTCCTTAGCCTAAGGTATCTGCCTAGTGTAAATGCTCTCGTGCTCTCAAACCTGAGTGGTACCCCAGAGAAGATGATCTAAATGAAAAGGCTTCTTGTTTTCGTTATCCTCCTATAATCGATTACATTGAAAGCACATGTCAAGCCGAGAGCTTTGCACGGTTGTACTGTTGGGATTGACCACATGGGAGCTCGAAAATAAGGCAACTCGGAAATCAACTGGAAGCAGGGTCAGCCGCGACGTTCAAAAATAAAAATAAAATGGGGAAGAGTTTCGGCAATCCAACACAACCCCATCCACTAGCGATAACTCCCTCCCCGTCAGAAACGCCTCACATCATCAATGAAGCGTAATCAATCCTAAATGGTAATTCTAGAGTGATCCTGGATCAGCAAATGAATGAAGGGGAGTGGGGAGAGAAGGGAGGGCGGTAGGTGTATGAAACCAACCATGCAGAGGGCACTTCCGGATGGGCGAGTCAAATGTCAGTTGGTTCTCGATTTGCCCTCTCACCCTCGCTGTCTTCCCCCGCCCTTTTTTCGGTTGGCCCACAAAATAATCGCATAAATCACAAAATAGGGTATATTTATACCATAAATCATGAAATATTGAATCAAGAAGCATTGATTTTGTTGGCTAACCAGAGGAAAAGAGGTTGACCATCACTGTGCTAGCCTCTCCTCACCCCCCACTCCTCCACAGACACACGTGCACACGCATACACAGACTCACACGCAGACACAGACACACACGCATACACAGACACACGCACGCACACACTTTGGAAACGGATAGTTCAGGTGCTATTGCAGGTATCTTCTCGATGCCGGCGCAGAGGGATTGGCGATCGATCACTTTACACCGAGACGGAAGCAGGCGCCCCCCCAAACTCTGGCAGCCGTCCCATCGTTCAATCAATCGGAAGGTACCCAAAGAAGGGCCGAGGCGAGGCAGAAAGATAACACAAAAGTACCAAGCGCTTCACGCCAAGCAAAGTCTGACCTTTCCCTTTCCCCCGCTGTCAGACCTGCTTTGGTGCAGTGCCAGAGTTAACACAATCATCACTGATTCAGGCAAAGAAAAAAAAGAGCAGCAACAAAACACCCCCTCCCCTCCCCTCCTCTCATCCTACGATCGTCCCAGTCATACTTCAGAATTCAATCCCTCCCCTGGTTTACTTTCCGCCTTTCAACTTTGATTGTGGTACGAGGATGATGCGTAGAGACTCTCCTGCTGTTCAGCATCGCCAGCTCTGCGGGAGAGTACAGAAGTGAATTATTACCCGATCGGAACACATTAAACAAGAGTAGAGATTCCAAAATGAAAGAGCCTCGTATCGAAATGGCACTTATGGTCCCAAACCAGGGACTCGAAGATATACGACACATTTAATTAGTGTTATCATTTGTAATTAAGACCAGTCTCTGCACTCGTCTGTAACTAAAGCGTGCAATCCTAAACGATCCATCGCTACATAGGCATGGCCTACAAAATACACAGTCACTACACTTTACAGTAATTTTTTATTTCGGGGGATTGTTGGCCAGGACACCGGGAGAAACTCCCTTCTCTTTTCAAGAGAAGGGCAAACGGGACCTCGGTTTAACGTCTCATCCCAAGGACGGCACCTCCGACAATACAACGTCCCACCCCAGCAGTGCATTGGAGTGTCAACTGCGACAGTGTGAGTCCTGATGTGAGCCCAGAACCTTCTGACCCAGAGACGAGAGTGTTACCACTGTGCCAGGCGCACACACACACACACACAAAGATAAATGAAACCTGACTAAACTACTCCATGGGAAATTTATTTTCCATCTCAATTTCCTGGGGCCAAAAGTGCTTACGGTTACAAGGTACCTGAGCCCGAGTGTTTTACACCTCCGTAACTGCAGCTAAAAAACGCAAATTAAATTTCGTGGAGCGTTCGGCTGTGGTACAAATTAACCTCTGTGAATGCCAGCCCGCTCCGGTGTTGAGGAGGTAAGTGGCTTCGAGTTGTTAAAATGAGTTGACCCTCTTGTCAGGTGAAGTTTAATTGAACAGATTTTATGTGTGGAACGCACGCCTCCAACATTAAACAGGCTTGAATATCCTCACATAAGCTTAGTTATTGCTGCAACTTGAGCCTTCTGAAGGAGCTCAAGAGTTTTCTCCCCCCCTCAGCAAAAAAAGACTCCCATTTGAAGAGAAAATTCGCAAAAAAGAAGCAAATCCCCAAGAGTCAAGATTGCAAAAGGAGATATCGCAGCATTACAGGCAGACCTGACCCACCCCGTTGGATTTGCTTGGAAGTACACAGTCACTGCACTTTACGGGGCTTTGAAACGCCTTGACGACCTGATAAGGCGTTGAGACTAATCACTGTGGGGGTGCGGGACAAACGTACCCCAAGAAAAGCCAGGCTTCCCCGGGCGACAAGCCGCAGAGATAAGAGACACGAGGCGGGCTGGCACATGAGCGCTCTGCTTTCCATTTCAAAAGCAGGACGAGCTTCCGCCTTCTTACACAACAGCAGATGGGCGTCAAGCTATGAGGGAGCATTATCTTGCAAACGAGAAGTTGGATTTCAAAGCTGGGCATCGAGCAGATCTCGCAGTAAGCATTAGAGAAGTGATAATTAAACCGAGGAACTAGAAGTGGGGGAAAACAATGGCGGGTGCGGGGATGATAACCAGCAATAATTTTCATTGCCAAATCAATACAGCCACGGAAGGTTGTAGGTGTCCATTACTTATAAGAATAAACACACACATATTAAAATAATAATAATAATGAAGAATCATTGCAGTTGATGCAGCAGCTTTCACATCAGGAGGATGTTGCAATGAGCTTCACATGATTTACTGTAAGGTGCATTGACTGTGTATTTTGTAAATTAATATACACACACGCACACACAACTAAATATACTTGTAATATAATGCACACAGATAGATAATCGCACACACACATAAAATGCAGTAATAAATGTGAAGGAACATGTCCAGCTATTACCCAGTACGTGTAATTTTGTTCCCATTCATTTATCCTGCATTGTAACTAAAAAAGAGGCATTAAAATCATTTCAAAAGCACCGTCTGTACGTACTTACAGTTATGGTTTGGGACAGGCTAACCTGTAAATGTAACGTTAAACTCGCTTGGTATTAAAAAAAAACAGGAAAAACATCTGAAATAACAGCAGCAAAACTCCAAATGTGAATTTGGTAATATCCGCTCACACGATAAAGCTATTAACTAGATCCATCCCCTACAGGATTGCTCACAGCACAGCGCAGGCTGCATTAGTGACAATTTTCCCCAATTTAAAACCAACAAAATGTCAAATATTTTACCGCTTTGTGTGCTTACATCAGCCAACATTCTCCCCCACCATCCTCACCCAAAGCCTTGTACCTCTAGCTTTGAAGGTTGGTGGCGAGGGGGTAGGGGGGGGGGGAAATCAGAGGGACTATGCAATGAGAGCGGGGAGGGGCGGAATTACCGAAAGCTCGCCCGCCGATATTATTTGACACACCGAGAATAAATCCAGTCGCTGTCAGTGCCCCGATAAGTCACACAATAATTACCCTGCGTCATCTTCTTGTAACTTCTTGGCAGCCGCCTCGGTCGATCGTTTGATCTGCAAGTCCAGCCTCTGCAAGAAGTCTTTAGCGGATAGCTCCTCGGGCTGGGCGGGCCGCACGTCGGGATCTTCCGGGCTCGAGGACGAAGAGCTTTCCTCCTGCACCGCCGCGGGCCTCTCATCACCCAGGCCGCCCCGCTCCGTGCTGTCCTCGTTCTCGGGAGAGTCCAACGAGTTCAGTCCGTTAAACGGCAACACTTTTTCGGATATGACGGGGATGCTCAGTGTCTTCTTCAGGAAGATGCAGTCACTGGTGAAGAGTTTGTTTGCCCTCTTGATCTGTTCCATCTGCAAGCAAAGGAATCAAGGCCAAGTGTCATCAACAGCCCTGCCCGGTTCAACTCGCCCTCCCTGCCCTGTACCCACAGCACCGCACGGTTTAGAGCTGGTGAACGCAGCTTGAATTAGCGTCCAGTCTAACAGTGATAATAATAAGGATAATAATAATCCTTGCATTTGATAATAGCACCTTATCATGCCGTCGAGTCACTGTTGAAATCAAGGTGGGATCTCTTGCGAACCATGCAATGGATCTCCCACCCCATCAACACTGAGTTGACGGTGCTGAACAAGGGGGCAAAGTTGGGCGGCATACAAGGGAGAAGGGGTGCGACCACAGGCGTGGTCGAACAGGTAGGTTTTCTGCTGGGATTTAGAGATAGATAAAGAGGCGGAGGGATAATGATAAGGAGTTGAAGAAGAGCACAGGTGTGTAGCTGAACGCCAAATACAGCCCAGGTGTACAATAATGCTTCTAACTATTTGGTACGGCCAACAGATCGTGGGTTTGGCATTTTATAGAGGAAAAACTTGATGATTTTCATACAAATGAGGAACACACACAAGAGAGAAAAGTTCGATGAAGTCTGGGATAAATTAGACAGCGGTAATGCAGATGCTCCAGTACCGATAGCTAGTTATCAGCATTGCTATCTAATGCAGATATGGTAAGTGTGTTGTTTGGGAACACTGTCAAACCAAGAAACTGCTGGGCACATTATTATGCTGATTTATTCAAACCGTTGGCTGCTTTTAACGTAGAACACAGATTGAGATGACTCTATCCGACACACCAACTCCATTAATTCCCAGGTGGTGGATGCGTTCGGCGATAAATTCATACTGAAGTTTCCGCCTTTTCATTTGCACATCTGAATATTCGCATTCACGTCACCGTGACTTGTGAAGGGTCAGCGGATCTCACACGCCCGCATCTCGGCAGAGATGGGTGGGTACGGGCCGTGTGTGCACAGAACGTGAAACGATCCACGATTCCAACCCCGATGTGATCGCGCTGAACACGACAATGTTATAACAACTCGTATCGATATAGCGGTCTTCACGCAGGAAAGAGTCTTAAGGGCATCGAGCGTTTACACCCAGGGTGAAACAACTCCCGAGTCGTTGTTTTTTTTTGGCGCCACTCTGCCCCCTCCCTGCCCGGAAAGTGCAGAATCAGGAGCAAACCTAGCTTCAAATTCTCCGGACGTGAATGATCCAACGCGACATTACGTCACGCGTCTCTCTACGTCCTTACGATTGTAAAATGAGTTGACATAATTGCCGCACAATTCACTTTCCGGTGGTCGGTTAACCTTTGGCAACGGGCGGGTTTCTTTTCTTTTCGGGAGTCCAGCTGGGTCGGGGGTCAGCCGAACGCGTGCGGAAACCGACGCTTAAGAGACATTCCGGAGACAAAATTGTTGGGAGTGATTTTACATCGTTTGGATTTAATTCATATCCTGTGGATGTCCGGGGCTTGGCCTGTCGCAACAACTTGGGGAGGGGGTGGGGGGGAGGGGGGGGGGGGCGAGGGACGCGAGACCAACCCCCCACTTTGGCTCTCCGCACCTCTCCCGCCCCATTTTCTCTCCGTTCCGCTGGTGGACCTTTCGCGCCGGTGGTAGACCTTTAGCGACGAGCTCACGTCTCTCTCTCTCTCTCTCCCGCCGGCCACAGGAGAAAGGACACCCGAGGAAAACCTTCAGCATCCCACCCGCTGGCGTCCAGCGCTTGACCACACCGCACGAGAAACATTTTGGGGGGGGAGGACGAGGGGGGGGAGAGCCCGGCGGCGGCTGGATGCGGGGGTGGGGGTGGGGGGGGGAGTGAGTCGGGAGGTTCTTTTCAAAGGGTCGGCACAGACACGCGATGGGCCGAATGGCCTCCTTCTGTGCTGTATAACTCTATGTTTCTACGATCTGGACACTGGACACTGGACGGACTCCCACACGATGTGATAAGGCGCCACCGCACCGCACCCCCATACACATAGACCCCCCCCCCCCACCCCCACCCTCCCAAAACATAAATACGCACCCACATATACACCCCACACCCCCCCCCCCACACACACACACACACAGACCAGGAGGGCTCCCACAGGCACACACCCCAGACACAGACAGACTGTCACCCCCCACCCCCTCTCCCTCCCACATTACACACACACACACACACACAGACCCCTCACACACACACACACACACACAGACCCACACACACACACACAAACCCCCCCCCCCACTCATAGCAGACATTGACCTCTCCCCACCCACCACACATGCACAGTGCGAGGGTCTGTGGGCCTGTTTCTGAGTCACACACAGACCCCCCCCCCCCCCACACACACACACAGACCCCCCCCCCCCCCCACACACACACACAGACCCCCCCCTCCCCCCCCACACACACAGACCCCCCCTCCCCCCCCACACACACACACAGACCCCCCCCTCCCCCCCACACACACACACACAGACCCCCCCTCCCCCCCCACACACACACACACAGACCCCCCCCACACACACAGACCCCCCCCACACACACAGACCCCCCCCACACACACAGACCCCCCCACACACACACACAGACCCCCCCCCACACACACAGACCCCCCCACACACACACACAGACCCCCCCCACACACACAGACCCCCCCCCACACACACAGACCCCCCCCCCCACACACAGACCCCCCCCACACACACAGACCCCCCCCACACACACACACAGACCCCCCTCCCCCCCACACACACACACACAGACCCCCCCCCCACACACACACAGACCCCCCGCCCCCCCCCGGGGCCCCCCTTACCGTGACCCCGTACCGCAGGGCCAGGCCCTGGAGGGTGTCGGTGCCGCTGACCCGGTGTTGGGTGTACCTCTCGGCCAGAGGGGCCGTGGCGCTGGCGGTGCTGCCGTAGGAGCGGGTCTTGGTGCGGGCCAGACCCCGGGACAGCTCGGCCTCGGACTCCTCCTCCCCCTCCCCCGCCCCCGCCCCGCCGGCACCTCGGCCATGGCCGCCCGCCCCGGGCCCCGGGCCCCGGGAGCCGCCCCTCCGCTCCGCTCAGGCCTCGGCCTCGGGCTCGGGCTCAGCCTCGGCCCCAAACCGCCCCCTCTCTCCGGCGGCCGCAGCGCTCCGACCGCACACACACACACACACACAGAGAGAGAGAGGCGGCCGCGGCCTCTCCTCCCTCTCACACTCACACACTCACTCCCTCCTCCTCTCCTCCCTCTCTCCCTCTCACACTCACTCCCTCCTCCTCTCCTCCCTCTCTCCCTCTCACACTCACTCCCTCCTCCTCTCCTCCCTCTCTCCTCTCTCACACTCACTCTCTCCTCCTCTTCTCCCTCTCCTCTCTCACACTCACTCGCTCCTCCTCTCCTCTCTCACACTCACTCCCTCCTCCTCTCCTCCTCTCTCTCTCTCACACTCACTCTCTCTCTCTCACACTCACTCCCTCCTCCTCTCTCTCTCACACTCACTCTCTCCTCTCCTCCTCCCTCTCACACTCACTCCCTCCTCTCCTCCCTCTCACACTCACACACTCACTCCCTCCTCTCCTCTCTCCCTCTCACACTCACTCTCTCCTCCCCTCCTCCCCCCTCTCCCTCTCTCTCACACACTCACTCTCTCCCCTCCCATCCTTCCTCCCTCCCTCTATCTCTCTCTCTCTCACACTCACTCCTCCTCCTCTCTCTCTCTCACACTCACTCCCTCCTCTCCTCCTCTCTCTCACACTCACTCCATCCTCTCCTCCCTCTCCCTCTCACACTCACTCTCTCCTCCCCTCCTCCCCCCTCTCCCTCTCTCTCACACACTCACTCTCTCCCCTCCCATCCTTCCTCCCTCCCTCTATCTCTCTCTCTCTCACACTCACTCCCTCCTCCCCTCCTCCTCCCTCTCCCTCTCACACTCACTCTCTCCTCCCCTCCTCCTCCCTCTCACACTCACTCTCTCCTCTCTCTCTCTCACACTCACTCTCTCCTCCCCTCCTCCCCCTCTCCCTCTCTCTCACACACTCACTCTCTCCCCTCCCATCCTTCCTCCCTCCCTCCCTCTATCTTTCTCTCTCTCACACTCACTCCCTCCTCCCTCCTCCTCCCTCTCCCTCTCACACTCACTCTCTCCTCCCCTCCTCCTCCCTCTCACACTCACTCTCTCCTCTCTCTCTCTCACACTCACTCTCTCCTCCCCTCCTCCCCCTCTCCCTCTCTCTCACACACTCACTCTCTCCCCTCCCATCCTTCCTCCCTCCCTCCATCTCTCTCTCTCTCACACTCACTCCCTCCTCCCCTCCTCCTCCCTCTCTCTCTCTCACACTCACTCCCTCCTCCGCCTCCTCCTCCTCTCCCTCTCACACTCACTCCCTCCTCCCCTCCTCCTCCCTCTCCCTCTCACACTCACTCTCTCCTCCCCTCCTCCTCCCTCTCTCTCTCTCACACTCACTCCCTCCTCCCCTCCTCCTCCCGCTCTCTCTCTCTCACACTCACTCCCCTCCTCCTCCCTCTCTCTCTCTCACACTCACCACCTCTTCTCTCTCTCTCCCCCCTCCTCCTCTTCTCTCTTACTCTCTCTTACTCACCCACTCATTCACTGCAATTCTCTCTCTCTCTCTCTCAATCCTCTCTCACACTCACTCTCTCTTCCCCCTTCCCTTTCCCCCTCCTCCTCTCCCACTCATTCTCAATCCTTCCCCCACCTCTCTCCTTTATTCACTCCCTCTTTCACTCCCTCACTCCGGTGGCCTCTCTCCTTCCTTCGCTCATCCGCCTTTGACTTTCTCTCTATCTCACATTAAACAATATATTATATTACTGATTATTATTATTATTATTTACACTAAACAGTGGGGAGACAAAGTACAGTAACTCCTCTCACTCTCTCTCACTCACTCCCTCCCTCACTCCCCAATAAAGGAGAAATCCGCACTTAGCAAACACTTTGGAAGGACCCCTTCCAAACGGGAGTCCGCACTTTCCCGCAGGTGACGGATCGCTACTCATTTTGGCACGTAATAATAATAATAATAATAATAATAATCCTTGCATTTGATATAGCGCTTTTCACGTCTGGAGGACGTCCCAAAGCGCTTCACAGAACACACTGTAAAGTGAATTGACTGTATATTTGTGGGCGAACGTAAGTTTCGTTTCTTTCTGTGGAACAAAAAAAAAACCCCCACAGCAGATTGCATTTATTTAGTGCCTTTCACGTCAGGACGACCGAGACCCCAAGGCACTGGACAAGTCAGTGGAGTGGGGGGAGGAGGAAGATGATGACCCAAAGGCGCGGTCAAAGGGGAAAGTCTTGAGACGGACCTCGAAGGAAATGAGGGAAAGGACCGGGCGAAGGGACGTTCCATTGGGATGGAAGTTCCAGAAGGTGGGACCATTTTTGCCTTGAAACAAGACATTTGGGCAGGTCGTAATGGAAAGTCACCCACCGGTTCAGCTGGAGGCCAGGAAATCAACAGGATTAGACGCTCAGCCGGCTTCTGGAGACGGGTTTTTTTTTCTATCCTATTAAATCCCATTCCTGGAAAGAAGAGGAGACAGACGGACTCGGGCAAACGTCTCATGGAATATGAAAGCAGGACGTTCCGGTCGCACTCTTAATTGCAGAGGCACTGACTGTTCAGCGGCGAAACCTTCGGCAAGTTTCCTTACTCCGCACGCCTCTGCTCACCTCGCAGTCAGCAGGAACCCAGTTGTTAAGTCGATTGGCAAATCGCTTTCCAGGGGTAGTAATTCCCCCCCCCACCGACAAAAAAATGTGGTTACTCAATCCATGACTGGTTGTGGGACGTTGCAGTGCGCAATTGGCTGCCACACTTCGCCCCACAAAATATACAGTCAATTCACTATATACAATATATTACGAGGAGCTTTGAGATTTCTCGACAACGTGCTAAGACGCTATATCAAATGCAAGGATGATTCTTATTATTATTATAACCCCCCCCCCCCACCACCACCACCCTCCCAACACACACACACACGGTTCTTGGGCAAGAGTTTGTGTGTTGCGTTACCCTTGAAAGCACACACTGACTGTCTTCATTTTTATTTTTTCTAAATCTAAAAATGCATCGTTGAAGGAAACGAACTGTTTCTGAATGATGGGCTGCTGCCGGCTGCACGGTATTTGCATTTTTATCACCCGCTCTGATTACTATCTGAAATATCTCTTACGAGCCATTATTACTACCCCCTGAAATATCGCTATTCGCCGAAGTGGCTTCTAACTGTTTAGGATGTTTGACTTGAGATACGAGAGGACGCATAATGGAAAGTTTTTTGTGGCCACATTTGTTCTGCTTTTAGTATCTATATTTAGTATCTTTCGTGGGCACGGGTATGTCAAAAAAAAATGCATCTCACAAAGCCACAGGCTAAACATAACCTGAGAAAAAAATAGCAGAACTGGAGGAAATGAGCAAACATTCAAATAAAATTGTATTCAACTGGAATCCAATGCTTCGAATCTGCCTGTACTAACTGATGTACCTTATTAGATAAATAGGAGGAGATTCGGGCCCAACTTAATCGATGCTGAGTTAGGTCATTGTTTACCATTGGATGGTACATCGGGTCTTTCATGAGCGTGAGTGTAGTGTAGGACTGTTTGCGTGTTAATTATCTGCTTTACATGGCATTTCCAGTTCTTATAATAATAATAATCCTCGCATTTGATATAGCGCTTTTCACGTCTTCTCGACGTCCCAAAGCGCTTCACAGAACACACTGTAAAGTGAATTGACTGTATATTTGTGGGCGAACGCGGCAGCCGATTGCGCACAGCAATGTCCCACAAACAGTCGCGGATTGAAAATGACCAATTTATTGGTCTCGCTTGCAAAGCGAGTGCTCTAACCACTGAGCTACAGGCCTCCTTATATGGATGTGTCGCTTGCTTGCAAAAATATACAACTGGCTTCCCCGGCAGCTTATTTGTTAAGCCTGAGTGTGACATTGAGCCGAGCTCAACCGTGTTAGCTGCTCTCAACATGGGTGCCGGGGCAAAGCACTCCGTTTTGCTTCCTGGACGAGGATGCGGTAAATTTCAGCCCGTGTTCTTTTTCAGTGACCTGTAAAGAGGAGGGAGTCTCTCCCGGTGTCTCGGCCAACGATGACCCAGATAAAGTTGGGTATTTGCTTCATGGCTGTTGGTAGGACATTGTCGTGCACACATTGGCTGCTGCGTTACCCAACAAAATACACTTAACAGTAAATCCTGTGAAGAGCTTTGAAGAGCTCGCTCCTGGCGTGAAAGAAGCTAATATCAGCGTGGAGCCCTGTAGCTCAGTGGTTAGGGCGCTCACCTCGCAAGCGAGAGAACCTGGTTCGATTTCCAACAGGGCGAAATGTTGGGCAAGTTTCCTTACTCCACACACCTCTGTTTCCCTAGTAGTAAGTAGGAACCCGGTTGTTTTTATAGCTCTGCGATGCTCACCTATGTGGAAGGTGCTATGTAAGTGCAAGTTGTTGTGAGGCGATTGTCGGATCACGTTTGCAGGGATAATAATCCCTCAAAAGAAACTAATAATTCGGCCACTCAATCCACAACTGTTTGTGGGACGCTGCTGAACACAATTGGCTGCCATGTTTTGTCCACAACTCTAGGCAATACACTTTACAGTCTATTCTGCGAACCGTTTTGCGATGTCAAGAAGACGTGAAAAGCGCTCTATCAAATGCAAGGATTATTATTAGGATCGACTGCAGGGATTATTATTATAATTATTATTAATTATGTTCTGCTGCTGGCCCGATTTCCCTCAGAAACCTAGCCACAGATGTGGTAATAGGGCGAAGTTGAAGGTTTTTTAATATATTAATGCTCTAGGGTTTAGGAACTGATTGTAACGCGTTTCCTTTAACCGCTTTATTGTTAATAAATGGACACTTTAACAGCAAACAATCAAACAAGCCACTAATTGGACTGGTTGGTAACTCGGTATTTAATGTATTAATCTCCATTCACTGACACTCCACCAAGGCATTGGCGGGGGTGGAGAGGCAAAACAACTGTGGCCACATAATTGGATGTTGCAAATGTATGAGGTTCAACGCTCTAATCTTCTGCTGAACCGGGATTTAAAGTTCCCATCTCAGCATTGGGATTTCTGCATCCATTACAAAACGATTACACACGGAGTTTCTACCTACGCCTGCCCCGAGCCAACAAATCCCCAGAGGAAATCAGTCATGCGCCTCATAGCTGTTCGTGCAAACGTAATTTTGTTGTTGTTGTTGTTGTTGTTGTTGTGGGGTATTTGCTGTGCACATATTGGCTGCTGTGTTGGCCTAGAAAATACACAATCGCAACCTTTCACGGTACGGTGTCTGCCGTGAAGCGCTTTGACACGTCCTTCCATAAAAAGTTGTTATAGCAAACGGAAGGATTCTGGTGATGATTTACTTTCGAGCTGTTTTATTTCTGTGCACACACACGAGCGCGCGCGAGCACGCACACGCACGCACGCACACACACACAGCCCTGGTGTCCCAGCTGAGTGGGTCTTGATGCACTGCAGAGCTGCTTTAACCTGATTTGCTGCGGGAGAGAGAATGACTCACCTCTTAAGCTGGTTCCCATCTGTCTCCTGGCGTCTTTCTGCAGCAATGAATCCTCAGCATCTGCGCACTCTCTGAGAAACGACAGTAAAAAAAAAAGGTGCTTCTTCTCTCTCTTTCTCTCTCTCTCTCTCTCACGTCAACTTCCTCTCCCACTTGGTCACCTAATGAAGGTCATTTGTTTTCTCAAGCCCCAACGAGTCCAATAACAACAACCACAACAACTTGCGTTTATATCGCGACCTTCACACTGGATGGCGTCTCGGAGCGTAATAAACCTTCTTTCAGCACATTATGCTGCTGTGGAACAAAACATTTACGACAATTTACATTCATACACAGGGTCTTTCACGTCTCAAAGCCTTCACAGGGAGTGAGATGGGGGAGCTGAGGAGGGGGGCAACTGAAGAGGGGGCAACCGAAGAGGGTGGGGTGTGAGGGGTGACGGGAAGGGGGGAAAAAGGTGACCGAAGGAGCGGTTAAAAAGATAGGTTGCAAGGCGAGCTTTAAATGTAGGAGGGGGGGTGTGAGGCAGATAGTGTTCCAGAGAGAGGGGGCAGCGGGCAGAACCAAGGAAGGTTTTTAACAAGCGCTGAGTTCTAATCAAATCTCTGATGGTGCAATTGACCATACTCAAAGGTCTTGTTGACCGCAAAATCCAAGGAAAATGATTACATTTTAATCATAACCCGCTTTACGTGGCCAGCCACTGCAAACTAGCGTCTAATCCCATGTTTCACTTAATACCATATCATGAAATCTCTGAGGACGAATGCGGAATCTACATTTTTTTCTGCTGGGGGGGAAAAAAAAAGAAATCGCCACGTAGATCAAGAGCGAAGGGTGAAACGATTTGACTGTGGACAGAAATAAAGCGCGTGGATGCGCTCCAGTTGAAGTTCAGCAATAACAGAAACCTTACGCTAAGTGAGACGGACAATCTCGTTAAAAAGATATAATAAAGAAGCTGCTGCTTTAGCGATCAGCGTTTGACAGACCACTCCAGAAAAGACTGTACCGAGCTCAGAGGATTTATAACTACAGCAATACAATTCCAGGAAGCTCTATCTGATGCTGAAATGCCTAAATGTCTCAAATTGGCCCTGAAATGTCCAGAATAGTGAGTTTCATGTGTTGTTCCCTTTGGGGTAGAAATTTCACCTGGATGCAGATCTTACTCTCTTTTCTTTGCATTTCAGAGCATCCAAAGTTTTCGCAAAGTCTTGAAACAGTCATGCTTTTCAAGCTGCGTTTTCCACACACCCCAGTTCCCCCCCCCACCCCCCTCCCCAATTTGTAAATTTATTTTAAGAACTAATTCAAACACGGTTTAAAAAGTTAAGACCGTATTGAACAATTTGCCAAATTCTGGTTACTTTGAAAAACTACATAAATAGAGTAAACCTAATCCTGGAGGTAATTTCTCCCCATTAGTCATTCTGAACCTATACAAAAAAAAATGTGGGTCCCTACTGTTTGTGGGACGCTGCTGTGCGCAATTGACTGCCATGTTTCGCCCACAAAAATACACAGTCACTGCACTTTCCAGTGTAATCTGTGAAGCGCTGTGAGTTGTCTCGAAGACGTGATGAGGCCCTATATCAAATGCAAGTAATATACCTTCTATTATTATTAATATTGTTATTATTATAATAGGATCTCTATGCCTGTTTTTTTGCGGGCAGAAGTGGACTTCCTGGCAAAATACCTGGCTCCCTCCAGTGGATCAAATAGACAGTCAATGTGTTCAAGATGAGCTACACTTTAAGAGCGTTCTGAGTTGGTCTGTCACCATTACGTAATGCAACCTTGCTGCACAACACAGTACGTGTAAGAACACTGTGCGGTCGCACTGAAAACTCATTACATCCGCCACCTTGTTTAAAAAACAAACACAAGACAGTGAATCGCACGTCAGAATTATAGCAAAAATAATTAAAGGTGTTTCCCCTACCTTTACACGTACTCATCTCCTCCATCGTTAGGCTTTAGGCTTTGCCTATAAATACACAGTCACTGCTGTTTACAGTAAAATATAGATTTATGTGTGAGCCTGGCTCAATGGTAGCGCTCCCGGCTCCGGGTCAGTAGGTTATGGGTTCAAGCTTCACATCGGGACTTCAAATGACGTGGTCTAAGCGCATAGTCGAGCCGATCCCAAACCCTAAGATGACACTCCAATGCAGCCCTGGGGTTGGGTTGCACTGTTGGAGGTGCCGTCCTTCGGATGAGATGTTAAACCGAGGTCCCAGGTGGACATTAAAGATCCCAGGGCACTATTTGAAAAAAGAACGGAGTTTCTCCCAGTATCCTGGCCAACAAATCCCCCCCAAAAAATTGGTCATTGACTTCACCTGGGCCATTGCTGTGCACAATTGGTTGCCGCATTTTGCCCACAAATACACAACCTCTGCATTTCCCAGTGAATCTTGTGAAACGCTTTGGAACGACCCACCAACACGAAAGGTGCTTTAGAAAATGCAACGGTTATTATTGAGCCTAATGCTTATTCAACAACAACAACTTGGATTTATATGGTGCACTTCACACGGAGAATGACAACAACAACAACTTCGATTTATATAGCGCCCTCCACCCCGGACGGGGTCCCAGAGCGCTTCACAGTAACGGATCCCGGGGCCGAGCCAGCGGGAGGGGGAGGAAGGTGACCAAAGGCGAAGTCGAAAAGAAAGGTCTTCAGCCGAGAAGAGACTCGTGGGCGTGCTGCACAGTGGCCCAGTTGGTAAGGGAGAAGGGAGAGGGGAAGGTGACCAGAGGTGCAGTCGAAGAGGTAGGTCTTAACCTCTGGAAACTCCGGGTGGGTTTAATCACAAAGACGCTTGTCCCGTTAAACGACCTGAACCAAAAGAACAGTGGTTGCAATAGGTGTCACAAGTACGTGTCATCCAGCAAACACCTTGCGACCTGACTTATGCACCAGCTGTATTGATCTAGATCGTCCTTCCCTCTTCACCCACCACATCCTTTGTGAGCAGCAGGATTCACGTCTGCAGAGCTTGTATCTTTCAATCAGTAATTGGAAATCAAGCGCGAAAGTAAACAAGCTGTCAGGCTCAGTCAGCGTTAATATTCAAAGCGTGATCACTAATAAAGGACAGATGGCAAGGCGGCCTGAACATTGTGCGAGCGATTCTGGGAGAACAGATTTCTTTTCTGACATTTAATAACAAATATTTCTCAGACTGTGGACATTTATCAAACCCCAGCGGAGGGTCACGCCATCGCATAAGAAAAATATGTCGCCCGCAAAATACAAACTTTACAATATATTCAAGCGCTCCGTGTGCTAGACGCTATATAAATGCAAGTTGTTGTTATTATCCTGTGAAGCGCTTTGAGACGTCTGCATATTTTTTTTTAAAAAAATGCATATTGGTGGCTCCCTCTGATAACTCAGTGAGGCTATGCAGTGAGGAGCTGAGCTGTGCAGAAGACATTGAGGTTTAACCATTGGTGTGTTCTGTTCTCTCCGCTTAGCAAGATCATATTCCGAGGCCTGCGGTGAAACATCTAGTCTTTTGTTTCTTAGTTTCACTTCGCCCTTGAACAGCATGTCAAAGGTTAGCCTGGCCCCATCTATAACACACAATCTCTCGCTGTGATACAACACTGGATTGATTGGGGTTATCGTGAAAGTCAAACAAAAAGTGATGGTCCCAATAAAAGTAAAGGATGGGGTGGGTGGAAGGTGGGGGTCAATTATAATTCCACTGCAATTTGTTATTGAGCATCTAAGGCAAATTGAGCTGGTCAAGTTCTCATATAATAGTATAACTTGTAACCATCCTGTGTTTCCTTTTATTTTAAGTGCTGTCCATTTTCCCCTCAACCTCTTTCTATGCTCAAATGCAGCAGAAGACATATACTTTCCCCGCCAGCCCTTCTAAATCTGTCTCCCATCTGTCAAAGTGCTGCTTTACACCAAGCGCCGGACACCATTAATCTGCTTGTAGGAATCTTTCATTATCTGAAGCCTTCCATCTTAGGGAAAAAGATCTGTAATGAATGTTCTCATCTGGCTGTCCATCAGTCCTCAACCAGCCGCCAGACGGATAGAACATACCAAAATTAAACACGGTTAGACAAACCAGAATCGCCCATGCGATCCGGAGATTGAACCGATAATGAAAACGGCACTGCTGCCTTCAACAACTGTCGAAGAAAATCCTGAGTGACTGATTTCACCGTTAGTTACAACAGGTAGATAAGAAAGCAGGAACTTGCAATTTTTATTACGTCTTATCACGTCAAAATGCCTCAAAGCACCTCACGGGTAATTACAGGTGTTTCTTAGGGTGTAGACTAGCACTTTCCAGTACCTCTCTCTGGTCCTGTCCACCTCTTAAGAAATAGAGTTGCAAAGGGCAACTGCAGGACAGATAGTGGGAAGTTTGGTATACCTTTACCCAGAGAGTAATTAACGACTTTAACAAGTTCTCAGGAGGGTGGTCTGGTCCAAGCCAGAATGCTGGGACTCATTTAAAAAGCAAGTTGATGCTGCGATGGGAGGATATGGTAAGGTTGGTGTTTTGGGAGAGATGAGATCTGATGGGCCGAAGGGCCTTTTTCATCTGAACCAATCTTGCAGAATCAAAACCTGTGTGCTGTGAGCGCAAGTTCCTTTCCCCCCACCCCCCACCCCTGTGTGAAGTGTTCACATCAATCAGTGTTGTTTTTTTTCAGTATGAATGTGGGTTTTCCTTTAGAATGGAAGAGGGGAAAGCGTGATGTAATATCATAAGTAGAGTTCTTTTGTTATAAGGGTGCAGCACTCTAATTAATTAATGCACATATAATGGCAGGCAAACAACCTGTTGGCCTGATGTATGCAAGGACATTGCTTTGTGATGGATTTCCATGGACATTGTTAAAGGAGAGAAAAAAAAGTGACAGAATCGAGCATTTGTCGAACAGGTGCAGGGCATTTACATATACTGTGTTGTCTCTTTGTTTTGAAAGCACGATACGAATTAAGCAGCCACGTGGCTCTCCGTGTGTCGTGTGCTGCTCTTCGCTTTGACGAGGCATGATTGCTTGAATGCGTTTCTACACGCGGGGAGACTTACTGGCTTAAAGACCCGAGGAACCCTTTGGAGGAGACTTGGAGGTAACATCAGACTCGAAGAATTTGATTTCAAAACGGTGTTAGATTGAAAGTCTTATTTCTGTTGCTACGTCTTAAAGGATAGCCTGTCATAATCGATCGGGCGGAGGTGGTTTGGGGGGGGTGGGGAGGTGGGGCAGGAGAGTTAAAAGCCACCATCAAACACTTTTATAATGTAAACATGACATTTGGAGTTCTATTTGAGTCTGTTCAGAAATTACCCCTAAAGACGTCAGACCCCCATGAGCTAAGTTCATTCACTGCACTATGTAGGTGACAAACCATTAACCTGGCAATGAAAGATCGACCGGATTTGTCAGACAAAGGCCCAGGATGACTTATACGTCTGAACTTCATTCATCTCTTTGCATATTGCAAGAGCGGCAGTAACAAAAACCTTCCATTAATATCGGGTGTTGGAGTGGGGGGGGGGGGAGGGGGGCTGTTGAGCACAATTTGCAGATGGATCTGACTCAATTGAACGCCGAGGAAAGCAAAGCGAGAGACGTGTGGTTTCAGCTTAGATTCTTCGTACTGCATGATCCTAAAGAGGAAACTCGTGCTTTTGTTGAGAGAGAGAGAGAGAGGAGAGAGAAAGAGGAGTTGTAAAGCGATAACAAAAGCTGCTCCGCAACCAAATAATGAATGAATGAATGCCTTTTTTTAAACCGATATAGTGCCTCGGGGTATCTAAAAACACAAATTGATGGGTCGCCATAGCAACACAACCCACAGGATCTGAGTCACACACTGCTCTCGCTTCCAATTTTCCTTTCATCGGGATTGAAAATGAATCTCCTACAAATCAGGTTTCGCTTGCATTGCCCTTCAGCAAACACCAAAAAAAAATACTCAAACAGATAAGCAGTCCCCCCCCCCCCCCCCGCGTACCCCATAAACCCCAAATCTTCTGCTTTTTACCCCAGTAACACACAGAGCAAACCTATTCAGTGACTTGTTTTAAATTGTACATTAGTATCTCTAGGTCCTGAGAGCTTCTTGACACACAACACACACTTCCAGACTCACTTTACACGCATTAAAGGCTACACATTTTGCTCAAGTCCCAGGAATTTTAGTTACATTGCTATCAAACGTTTCAGCTGGTTACCATGAGCGCATTCCCCCATTTTCCCCCTTTCCCCCCAGTCCCAGGGTTAATCCGTAAGAGAGAACTTAGATATCCAATAAAGCAATAACTTACAGGGAGTGGGGAAGAGAGGAAAGGCAGGTAAATGAGACGAAATGGATTGCTCTTTCAAAGGGCCAGCGCAGACACACTGGGGCCCAATCAATAACCTTTCTCTGTGCTGTCCATTTCTGTGGTTCTAATCGTTGCGAAATCTTTACTGTTCCCTCTTTGGACTTGTCGGCATCTTGCCGTCGGCCTTCGATCAGAAGGGTCCATGTGCCTTAAATTGTGTCAGTGCTGTACTACAATCACTCACAACAAAAACAGGATCCCATTATAACATAACATAACAAAACATGTAGGAGCAGGAGTCGGCCATTCGACCCTTCGAGCCTGACCCGCCATTCAATCATGGCCGATCTTCTAATCTAACTCCGGCTAATAACAATTATTTTAGGAGTCTTGGGGTGGGGGTCAGTTGCAACAGTCTGGACTGGGTTTATTCCCAGATTCCACGGGTGCAGGGAGAGCATTCTCACCCAGTCACGCTCTGTCTCGCCTCAGTTAGGTTTTTGACCATTTTTTTGTGCAAAGAAACGCTTTCATCCCTTAAAACTTTCTCCCTCTCAAAACCCAACTGCATCACAGGCTAATAATGATCCTGCCCTGTTATTGCTATTGTCTGTATCTGGGCGCCCTCTGGCGGGACCAAAAATTTAAATCACCACATTTCCTCACAAATTAAAATTAATCGAACACATACGTCGAAGAGGGTAATAATAATAATAGTAATAATAACAATCCATGCATTTGACATAGCACGTTACCAGGCTGTTGAGACGTCCCAAAGCGCTTCACGGAACACACCGTAAAGTGGATTGATTGCGTAGTTTGTGAGCAAAACACAGTAGCCGATTGCGCACAGCAGTGTCCCACAAACAGCCATGGAGTGAGTAATCAATTTTATTTGGTGGGGGGGGGTGGGGGGGCGAGGGGATTGTCGCCCTGGACATTGGGAGAAACTTCTGCCCAACACACTTCTAAGTCATTACCCTTACATCAGCAAGGGGCATTTTCTTACCTTTGGTCTCAGATAAATCCATTAATAGCTTTATAGCAATGCCACAAGAGGTCAGTGCAGTGAACCTGATGTAACCGCCTGATGAAGCTCAGAAGTTAATTGTACCTGAGGCACAATTTTTGTTCCTACAGTTAGTGTTCGTAATGTTCCACATGACCCAATCATCAATCAGACAGTACTTTGCCTAATAACCGAGTTACAGTATAATCACAGCATCACTAATCATTACCGACTGGCAGGGAATGACTGATGATGTGCTAAGATTTAAATCAATACAAACTTGCTCTGTGGCACATTTGACCCTTATAGACAGATTGTGCTTGGTCAACAAACCTGCACCTCAATTACAGTGCAGCAAAGAGTGAACCCATCTCGCCCAATCTGAAGCCAAGTGAAAACTTGGCAATCCTGGCAAAGAAAAACTTGGCAGTCTGGTTTGGATACTCAAGCACGGCCAAGGGCTTCTCTGCACGTCGCGACACCTGGCTGACCAAAAATAAGCACAGACTGTGCAAAGCATTCAGCGTGAAAGACATTATTAGCCTGAAGGTGGCAATGTGGTACAGTCTGGACCCAGTTCCTGGTAAATGGAGACTATTGAGAAACGCTGGCCTTTGTTATAGGCACAATTTGGCAACCCCAAACTATGTTCAAATTCATGTCTCGCATCGTGTGCTCAGTTTCTTACTGTGAACAATTTGCGGCAGTAAAGGCCTTTGTTGATTGTGTGTGATCAAAGTCAAAGGATAAGCAGGGTGTGCCTTGGAAACGATCAACTTTTAACCTTTGCTCCAAACCAGCGCAAACACTACACTGTGACCACAGCGTAGAACTTGCAACCTAAATTCCTACGTTGCCTTATGCTTAGAGTTTGGTGTTTCTGGGTCTCAGCCAGCTCATCTCGGCGAGGAGGGAAGTGATGTAAAATGAAAACTGACGCTCGTGTGTGGAGATTGTGTGTCTCCATCCTGCAGTCCCTCCACCCTCGTCCCTCCATTGCCTCCTTAAATACCGGTCTTAAGACCCTCATCCTTGACCGTGCCTTTGATCACCCTCCATCCCCCACCGCCCTCCACCCACCTCGATCCCGACTCCCAGCTCGGGTCCGAAACACTGATTGTCCAGCTCCTTGGTACGTCCTCCCCACGTGAAAGGCGCTATACAAATGTAATTTAGTTGTTGTTGTTGAATTGTACCTCCTGGAGGAGGAGTCAACAAAGTGTCCTGCCCAAAGGAAGGGATACGTTCGCTCATTCAAAATATTCTCACCTGACGTTGGTACTCGCCATCAGCGGTCAGACTTTCAACCTATCTGCTTCCCCCTCTCTCAAACTCCATCGCAGAGTCCTTCAGACCTGCCTTCTCCCTCATCTCTTTTCAAGGTCCGTTTCAAGACCTTCCTCTTTTTTCGGTCATCTTTCCCCTCCAACCGCCCCCATCGACTGCCAAGACAGAATTGTCAAGATCTTTGGGATAGTCTCCTGACGTGAAAAGCAGTAGATAACTGTGATTTTTTCTGTTTAACAAAGATCCCAAGATCATACCCAGTATTCCTTACCCTAGGGTGGTCCTTTATTAATAATACTGGCATTTGATCGAGCACCTTTTCAAGTCATTGAGATGTCTCGAAGCGCTTCACAGAATACTGTCGAGTGAATTGACTATTAACCCTTAAAACTTGATAAACAAGTTTAACACGACCATTTTAAGTACTCATGCTTCAAATACTTCACTCTGGGGGGGAAAAAAACAAACTCTTGGCAAAGTTTTAAAAATGAACCTTATAAAGATGTGGAGTAAATCCAAACAGAACCACGGCACATTAAAATTACCAGGGCTCGTTACACTCAGGAAAAGATCAATAAACGTCAGGAGAAAGAAAAATAACTTGAGAAACAAAGTATAAAACGTGAAAATGTAGTTGCAAGTGCTAAAGAAAACCCGACAGTTTATACTGCGCAAACTGGAATAAATCAAGTTACGACAGGTTGCATTTAAAATTCATTGTACGTTGTTGCAATTGCCTCATTCACAGGGAATCTAAAAATCTCGCAATTGAAACCAGTCTGAGGTCACCTCAATGATCTGACAGACCATAGAAGGAGTCGATTAGATGACTGACCTCCTCTCCACCCACAAAGTTTTGATTTAATCAGTGCTGTAGATCCCCATACGTGCCATCTGAGAACAGATTGCTTAAAATATTAAGATTTCAGACAGTAAATTAGGCCCACCAACTCGTTCCAATATCTACAGAATGATTACTTCTCTTTAGCTACAGAAGTCATTGCCCATATCAAGGCCCACTCCATATGTTATGGTCAATATAGCTTAAGGCAATAAATAAGAAAACAGAACACACCAACCCTTTAAGATGCGTTCCGTTCAGGGAGTTCCCTGTTGCAATATTTTCTACGACTTCCATTTCCAGATTATGGCTAAATAAAATCCAGGCAGGTTCCTTGGGGCTATCAATCATGCGTAAAACATACTTACATTCCTTGCTTGTCGGCCTCCCCAACTCCTCTCTCCAGAGGCTGCAGTTCGTCCAGAACTCTGCAGCCCGTGTCCTCTCCCCCACCAGGCTCCGTGACCCTAACACCCCCATCCTTGACCAACTCCACTGGCTTCCCATCACACAGAGGATACAGTTCAAGATGCTGGTCCTCACCTTCAAAGCCCTCCCTGGTCTTGCTCCTCCCTACCTCTGCGACTTCCTAACGCCCTACCATCCTGCCTGCTCCCTCCGCTCAGCAGGATCCATCCTGCTTCACGTGCCCCACCTCGCCTGGCCCAACATTGGCAGGCTGGTCTTCTGACACTCTGCCCCCACCCCCTGGTACTCCATCCCGCAGTCCCTCTGCCTCATCCCCTCCCTTGCCTCCTTCAAGACCCATCTCAATTATATAATTTTGGATAATTGGTGGATCATTTTCAAAGAAAGAGCGTTATATTTTTCCTGCACATTATGCTCCAAATACACTGGATGTTATTACAATAGTGGTATATTATAGTGGTAACTTAAGAGGGCTCAAGTCTTAAGGCAGAGCTGAGCATGATTCTGCCAATTTAAATACGCCCTCCCTGGAACATAAGTCAGCAATACTTTGTAGAGATTACTCAAAGCAATTATTCTGAACCACCTGTTAGTAGGTAAAAGCCACCATTCTTATTGACCCTAATCTTGCATGTTGATGAAGAACGACACAACCCAACACTTGGCATTTAGTTGTTTTTTTTTAAAAATCTTACCGAGGACAAAGACATCTTGTTCAGTAGATGAGACAGCATACTGCTCAATCATCCATACAATGGGAACATTGACCGCCTTTAAACTCAGACGCTGGATAGAATGAGTATTTACATACTATGTTAAGTGGAATTCTAATACTAACTGGGGTGATATACATTAAGAGTGAAGTAGTAGGCGTAGGCTGAACACTTATTGGTCACGCGTGACAAAAGCATGCAGAACAATGTTTGAAGTTGTAAAAGCAATGTTTGGAAATGTGCTGTTTTTTGTCTTGCGTCTGATAGCACAGCTGGCACAGTTTTGAATACGAGATATTCACTGGAGCAGAAACAGTCACATGTTACCAACCAACAGTTGACAATTTTCCGCACCAAGATCACATTCAAGAGTAGTGCTGTTCGATATGTGCATTACTGAAACGTTGAGTGAAAAAAAAATCAAATTGGAAAAAAAAATGCTTTTCCAGGTGTAAGGAATGGAATAGTCTGGGGTGACAATCTCCCCAACAGAATTGGGAATATTAATCCTTATTTGATGAAGCCTCACATCAGGACATCTCAACTCGCATCATGGAATATAAGTTAAATGGTTCAACTACTTTGTAAATGAATGCGGGAGTCAATTTGTGCAGCAATGATCCACAAACCGCCATGAAGTGAATGATAATTTTAGTTGGGAGGATTGTTGCTCAGGGCATTGGGAGAAGCTTGCTTCACAAGGCTGCGAATGAGAACAGTAACCCTGTCCTCTAGCCTAGCTGCGGCTCGAAGGCACAATTGTTTGCTCTGGAACTCTTACAGTTCCAAGTAAAAAGCTCTTTACCTCAGTACAAGGGGAGACAAACAGCAGGTAAGATTAGTTGCATTGTACTCTATTCAACAATGTTTTATATTTAGCTCATCAGGTCTAATGTAAAGATTTAATAATAGAAACATGCTCCAGGCCCGAAATGCAGCCACAGAAAGTAGATTCAGGCAGATTAGAAAAAGGTTGGTGGCAGTGTTTATTGTTCCAGGCAATAGTTGATAAACTGAAATGAATGTACTGCTTGTAGCACAAGGACGGATAAAGTGGACTAAATTAACCAATTAGTAGGAAAAATTAACCAATTGATTGGAGATTCACGTGAAACAAATTAGGTTTACATGATCTCTTCAAGACATCAGGGTCAAAATTCCCCTACAAGGCAGCTCCAAGATCTTGAGAGTCTCTCATTGCTAATGGTCAAGAGTTTCTATTTTCTCCGCTTGCTCAAGGCATAACGTTTAGCGATTTGAACAAACAAGATTGCAATGAGTGAGCAAGAAAAACGAGTTATTAAAAATGTTTATTATCCCACATGTTATCATCATCAAATGCTGTACATTTACAATATACTCAGCATTTATTTTTTAAACATAGTTTCCCTCCTTTTAACAGCTCAATTCATTTTTAAACGCAACTGAATTTTAATAGGTTGCAACCCAATACTTAATACTATACAAAACTCGAACATCTCGTCAAAGTGAGTGTTTTGCCAGTTGCAGAGGCTAGCTGTACAAATATTTTCCAACATCCAAGGTTAACTTGTAAGCATTTACTACCACAAAACCGTTTCCATTCATGTAAAAACAAGACCCTATGCATTGCAGGCAAGCTGAAATGTTTCAACACTCAAGCATTTATGGCAATTTTTCTTTACATACCCATATTAATTGTATATCTGAAAAATGGCAAACCTTTGTGGTGTGTTAGTTGACAGGAGAGGGGGGGGAACAGACATTATACACGGTCGATGAACATTGATAAGAGCTACAGTACTCACCCCATTATCATAATATAGTTTAACCACAGACAAAATACATAAGCCTACAACTTGGTCACACAGCATTTACAACAACTTGGTCCTTTAAGCGTCATTACAATGATATTAGCATGCCCAACATACTCCCGACATTCGGAATGTTTCCTCCAATGATCATGCTGCCACAGATAGTGTAAGTGAAGTTAGACTAAAACAAATTTAAGAACTCCATAAAGGGGATACAGTATATATAAAAAAAATTCAAATGACTGTATGTAGCTTTCAGTGCAGTTGGCATGGATTCCTTTAAAAAAAAAGTTAGCATTTGATTCACGGACTGATTTAGATCAATTTCCCTAATACTTCCGCTCTCCAAGAGCCCAAATTGCTCTGCTGGAAATGCTTGCAGGATTTTATGAAATGCACTGCAAGTAAAACTGCAAAGAACCCAGAATTAGATCTTTGGTTAAACTGTTACTATTGCTGACTAACGTATTTGGAACCCAAACTGCAAACGTATTACTTTGTATTTTCTATGAAGAGTTCCGTCGATGTAAAACGTTTTGGTATCATAACGTGATTTGCAGCAAAAGGAATACCAACAAATTGAAGGTGGCGAAGTAGCATTTTTGGGGGCTGAAAAAGGCTGAACAAATATCCCTGTGTTTAAAACCTTGATTTAACCGTTCTCACCACAGTACACCCACGTGGAAGAGTGACCCAAAGTCACCTGCAGGGGCTGTGGTTCAGCCACTGCACAGCTAGAACAAAGCTGCAAAAAAAATCTTGAGTCTCAAGAAAAAAAAAACTCACAGTAGTTATTTGCATTAATACAAAAAACGTTTAAAAGTTTGCAAGTTTTGTGATTTGAATCCTGATACAGTGGAATGAATATTAAAGTGCAGTACAAAATGACACTTAACTGCACAACACGTTCTACAATTTAGCACAGCTTTTTATTACAGTTTATATAAAAAAAGGTTAAAAATACTTGACATTGACCACTGTGCAAATTTCAAGTCAAACATTTTTCCTGCCATGGGACATTTTAACATACATCTTTTGAAAACACCCGTTTTTATGGAGTTTGGTGCTAGTTAAGAAGTCCCCTGAAAAGAAAAAAAATGTGATGTTTATGGATAAAAAAAAAGTTACACTACTAGATTACATTTACTGATAATAACAGTGGAGGGGGTGAAATTCCAGTCTTTTCCCTTCTACCCAGACAGCAAAGTGTGAGAATGCCTTGATCTAGGCTTGGCGATGTGCCCAATGCATTGTAGTGGATCTTCCATAGGACGAAATACAGCACCAGGCAGGCAAAGTTTCCAGATTACTTTAATATGCATCTCCTTCAACTCGCTTTTTACGGACTGTGGAACACAATAAAAAGAGAAACCAAACAAGTTAATGAATTGCACACAGACGAGTTGTTATGAAAGCACGTCTAACGAAACGGATGCAAAACACAGCAATAAAAACCCACAAATGTACTAATATATTTTAGAAGTTGATTTCAGAGAAAGCCTGCAAGACTGGATTCTAATAGGACTGAGATTAGAATACAAGCCGTGAAGCAAGGTTAAAGAGAAAACTCCAAACCAGCCATTAGTACAAACACAAAACCCAAGAAATGTGTAAATTAGTTCAACAACTCTATACTTGATACCGTTTGAGGAGTCATGGGTGGCCAGATGGCAAGGTGTGTGAACAGCAATTTACTCAATCTACAGACTGAAGAAATAACACGAGAGAAATTAACAGGTATTCAAGATAAACTAATCCAGCATGCAATCTTTTATGACAGCAGTCAATGCTTTCATCTGTGGCTGCATGTCACCTGAGCCATTCTACATGCAGGCTCACATTAAGTGCTTAATTTCCTTGATCGACCGTATCAATACTTTGAATTGAAAGACTTAACAGGAAAAATTGTGTAAGAAGCCCACAACTGAACTAAAGGCAATTTTTAAAAAAAATGTAACAGTAAACTTGGACAGACAGTAAAGAATATAAACAAAGAAAACCTCCCATCAAGATAAATAAAGCTAATGGAGTTTAGACTTCATAAAATGAAAACTAAAAAATATAGAAAATTAAGATGGAAAGTTCAGTGAATCTATATTCCAGATGTCTGAGGAAAGGAAGTGAAAGACAGCCTTTGTACTTGATGCCTTTAACATACATGTTCTCATTTCAAGTATGAAGTGGGGGGGGAGAAGGGAAGAGGGAATGGATAAGTTCAGAAAGCACACTTTTGTATATTCGTAACTTTGACCTCCACTTTCCTTGTTTGGCTTTGCGGCTGGAAAGAATGGGAAATGAAAAGTGGCGGTTACACAAACTATGTTCTTGTCAACACATCTTAAGTGGCGTTTTCCTGGTTACAGAAGACCAGAGTTACCTCATTCCTGCACACGGAATTATGATTTAATGGTGCTTTAAAGCATTGATGCTCGCTAACACTCCTCACAAATGGCTGGACATTTTACTTCTAATTGTCTGGCAAAGGCTGGAAAGATATACTGAGAGTAAAAGCAACAAAAATGCAGCATAGAATATATTGTTCAGTGGATAATTTTCTGTACATTTTACCTAAATCATTGTTCTTCGTTATGGCAGCTGCAGCCCTGGTTCGTGGTCCTTGTTGCATAAAATGATACCCAAACTTAAGGATTGCGGTGTTTATCTCCAGCATCCGCGCAATTTCCATTTCAACGGTGGCACCCAATTGCTGACGCTGTGAACAAAGTTAGAGAGTTTGGTAGCTGTTGAAATTAGAAGTGGGCTATTATGGGAAAAAAATGTTTGCTTTTACAGGCCTCGCTGTAATTACTTTCGTAGCTGCTTCACGTTAAACATCAGGTTCAAATTGAACGGAGGCTTAATGTAGCGTTTGGGAGCAATGGGATAGAAGTAGAGAGTTGAGATGGGTTTAATCACAGGAAAGGAACGCACGTAAAAGAATCCCAACAAAACATTGTTCCCCAATAGCAAACTGGGCAAATGCACTACATGGTGAAGTAGTGATATTTCAGGTCTAGAATTCTTGATACGTATATTGTCACCTGTACCTGATTGTCGATCTTGATCTCCGATAGCGTTTCATTCTCCTTCAATGCATCTATAATTGCCTGTATACCCACTCCGGTAATGAAGTTGGACTCTAGATTTAGACTCTTAAGAGCCTTGTTTACTCGAAGCATATCTGCAAAAGACTTAAACAAAAAAAGGGAACACTAATAAGACATTTTCAAATAAACAAGTAAAAAAAATAATCAAATGCAAAATTGAAACAGAAGCTACAACTGAAAATGCAAATTCCGACTGATAATTCAGCAATGTAGTCCTTTAGCACAGGCTTCATTTATTCCACCTATTGTTTGCCAACTCAAAACAGTGGCTGAGTGTGTCCCAGTTTCTTCGTGCTGTTGGTGGTTGGTGTGGTGGGGGAGGGGGAGGGAGGGAGGGAGAGAAAGAAACGGATCCTATTTAAGACACGATTCAGAGAATCCATCTGTAGAATCCTGGCCTGAGATCAGTTAGCATAGAGCAGCCAGCATTCTAAGTCTACTTTAATATTATCAAGATGTATTTTGAACATTTTTTTCCCACAACCAACAATGTTTTTGGCTATCTTTATTATTTTTAAAATGTTGAACTAACTACTGCAAAGAGGCTAATGGCAACACTTCAAATAGAACTAATTTCATTTGCCTTAACAGGTCATTTGAAAGTGAGATATTTTCCATCCAGCTCCCACATTAAATTTTACTGCAGCAAAAAGTGTGCACGTCATACCAGTGACTACAGCTTTATATTTTCTCCCTGTACCGCAAGTGAGTGAAACTGTTAACGTTATTGTTGCGACATTTATGCACGTCAAACTGGAAAATATGGCTTTCAGATCATCCCTCTGGACGCATTTCAAGTTAAAACCATGGCAAGAATAAAAGGCATTGCTTCTCACTGTCATTTGCAGTTGTAGAACAAAAGTTAAATAAAAAAAAACTTACAAGGGCTATGGGATCATTGCTCCGACTTGCTGCCAAGCTGAATTTCTTCACATTTGTATTCTTCTTCAAGGCTTCTGCGAAGTCTTTTAGCGTTGGAATGGGAATGTTCTGAATATAAATCAAAGATATATTCACCAAGTTGTGAAACATTGACCATCTCCAATAACCATTTAGAAGCAGCCAGAGTTTCTATAAGTGTACTAGAGAGCAATTGAACTTAAGATAAAGCTTAGTCTCCACTAAGCAACTTTCTCCCAAAATCTCAGTTGAGATTAAAAGTTTAGTTGGAAAATGCACATCCTTCAATGTGCTGTATAACTTTTAACAAATCAATTTTTCCACACAAAATTAGAGCAGGCAGAACGAAGTAAGCAGACTGTGTCCCTCCATGGGGGGAGAGAGAGAGAATACATTCCGCTCCAGACAAAAGGGGAATTTCCATCTGAAAGTGGGGTCTGTGTGAAACTCCATTTGGTTTAGATATACTTAAACCAAAAAGTAAAAAAAGGTATGCCGAATGATTCAGTCGGTGAACCAGAGGGCAAAGTTCTAGGAGAACCAAGAAGCTTAAAGTTGGCTATTCTCTGCAGCACAAAGTATTTGGTTATTTTTATACAAGATGTACATTTGAGGAATTACATTGGTAATATAATGTAAAAATTTAAATTTCAACCATGCTCACACATAATCGCTTAACAGGAAATTAATCGGAAACAAATATGAAAACATAAGAAATGCTAGGTCTATCTAGTTCGCCTTCCACCTTCCTGGTGGTCGCATGCACATATGTCCTAAACTACCTATGTACTATATCCCATAATGTTATTTTCTAAAACTATCTAATCGGTGTTTGAAAGAATCAATACTTTCTGCTTCAACCATCTCCCTCGGGAGCCTGTTCCACAGGTTCACTATTCCCTCACTGAAACAGTGTTTGCGTCGACTCATTCTGAATTTACCCCTTCAATCGTAGGCCATGTCGTCTGGTTTTACTATTCTGGACAAGTTGAAAAAGCCTGTCATGATCTATATGCTGCTCAGCGCCTTGGGACGTCCTCCCGATGTGAAAGGGGCTATACAAATGTAATCTTGTTGTGGTTGTTGTATATTGTTTTGCCCCTTTAGAATCTTAAAGACAGCAATCATGTTGCCTCTCAATCTTCTTTTTTCTAGTGTGAACATGCCCAATTTACTTAGTCACTCCTCATAGTCCAGTCCTTCCATTCCCTCAATCATTTTGGTTGCCCTCCTCTGTATCTTTTCAATTTCTCCAATATTCATTTTGTACTGTGGCAACCAGAACTGTACAAATACAGTAAGTATAGTTTCACAATGATTTATACAGAAACATGTAGTTTTTGCATTGCATTCTCACCTTTATGTTATTAAGATTAACCTCCACCAGTCCAGGATCGTTGCTTTTTATTCTTTGTAAACTTTCTTCTACGTTTGTTGGGTTGGGAGGTTCATTAAAAACTGGTTTGACCTTCTCACCTTTGACAACATCTGTAAAGCACCATTGATTAGAACAGCTGTGATGCGTGAAAGTACAAATTATGTGGTCAGAAATGTCAGAACAAAGAAGTTAACTGTTCGGATCATTTTGTATGTACACGTCAAATAAAAACTTGGTATTTAAGAAAAGTTTAGTAAGCAAAATAAGAAAGTGAGTTAATATATGTTACTAACAAACAATTTTTTTTTTGCTCTGATATTTGTTATAAATTTTTAGTTTGTTTTTTCACTCTATTAACTTGACTTTTTTTTTTTTTTTTTTTTTTTTTTTTTTTTTTTTTTTTTTTTTTTTTTTGTATTACATGAATCAAACAAATCATCTTTCAACAGTACTAGAAACAGCAATCTGCTCAAAAAAGTATATAATGTATCTAAAAACAGAATATAACTGACAGAACCAATGGTGAAGTAAAATTATGTTTTGAACAGATTCTCACCCAGAAAACAAATAGTGTTCACTTACTGTTGAAGCCCTCTTTGTTACCAATATTTCCAATGGCATCGTAGAACTGTGTGTTGCTCAGCGTGTGCATTCCAAGAATGGCTGAAACAGGAAGCAAATGTACTTTCAACAACTGCCTCAAGACAATTACAGTTGACATTCCCTCACTCAAATTTACCTGTCTCAGGTGAGAGTTTAGCTTATGTTAAATGTAGCCATGTGGTATCTCAAAAAGCATCTGAATCCCTTTCACTATCATTATGATCAGATTCACTTTCCAAGGAAGAGGGAATTCCAATTCTGCCTTTCCCCACTGAAAAGTTTTGTCTGATAAAAGTGTACAAACATAAGCAGAATTTCAAATATTCCATAGAAATCCATTTACCTGCAAGATCACAGAGCTCTGTATCTGTCGCACTGGTTAGGGCTTCTCTAGTTCTGGATCCAGGGTCACTTTCTCCTCAACCCGCTGCTCCACAGGCTTCCGTTTGGGTACCCATGCTTTTCCTGTTACGTAATAATGGACATAAATTCCCAAACTGTAAATTTTGTTAGATCACCAGATTTATCCATCCTGTAAATATCAATGTTGCAAACAATATCCAATGATTTAAGAATTTGAAAAATTTGTAGTTAAAAATATCAAATTGCATATTCCCGAGATAGCCTAGAAAACTAATCGTTTTCATTTCAGTCAACAGAGATGAGTCATGTTTACAGCATTTGTACTTTTTGCAGAGTTGGAAGTGATCCAGCAAGTCAAGCAACATCACCATTGCTTTCCAACCCAAAATTGAAGTTCGCCTCAGTGTTAGCCTACAATGTAATTGTACATTATTATATTATTATTATTATATTGGGTACAATAAGGATGAAGCTTCAAGCTGGTTCCTTAACAGTATGCATACTGGCTACAAAGGAAGAAATAAAAGTTACGAAGAGTTCGGCTAATGCCAGATATCCAACACTAAAGACTACAGTACTTCCCAAAGCTAATTTCCAAAGAATGCAAAGCTGGAAGTGAGAATAGACCAAATTAATCCATGTGAACCACATTTACATTGCAGGAAAGCTTCAAACGTACAGAGCTAGCTAATGCGTATGAATTCAGCCCATTAACTGTGCAGGACAAAAATTCACAGCATCACAGAAAATGCACATGCATCAACTCATGAACTGTGACCCTCTTCAGTCTCTGAGGAAGGTACACAAAGATCAGATATGAGGTAGGAGGGGGCAAGCATTGCTGGCTTGTGCCCACAGGCCACTCACAGCCAGGAAAGAACTTGTCACTGTCTCTGGAAACAGTATCATCACCTTTATGTATTGCAGAGTGGGGTGTAAAAAGTACAACATCTGATGCAAAACAGTCCATCATCCTTCTTTCTAGGAGAGGCGATGGCTTCTCATCAGTTAGCTTTCCTGAATTTTTCTTTTCCCCACATGAGCCACCCTTGGCTTAAACAAGACAGTTCATTTCTGAGGGATGATGTCATTTTGCGCTCACTGGGATTTGGGTTGAAATGAAACTGGAAAGACTTAAATCCCATGAGCCTGTGTGTAATTTAAAGTCAGTTTCCAGAGGTGAAAGGGCAGTGCACTTAGCACACAAACCACCTAGCCATCAGAACAGTAACTTTGCTTTAAAAACAGCTTTTGCAAATGATTCTCAGATCTAATACAATTTATACTGTGATTAATTCAATTCACGAATCCAGAGCAACTAACCTAGACAGAAACCAGAAGCAACCGTAGGCCCCTTTCACAAGTGAGATTATTGATGGCGACACAGATTCTGACTGAGAATCAGCAGTTTGTTAAGGTTTAGAAATGGCCCTGTATACTGTTTTAGGAAAAAAAACTAAGGACTATCATGTATCAAATGACACTTAAACTGGTTTGAAATACTAAATAGTTTACAAATGTGCTAAACTAAAAAGGATTGAATTCTGCAGGGACCAGATAATAAGTTAAACATCTGGTCAAAGCATTTCCACCTCAGCTGGACGTTTAGTAAGGAAATCCTTTTATACAACAGACCATATTTTATGTAAGCATAAAGTGACCATCCAACTAATCTCTCTGAAAAAAATTCAAGTTGCACCCATCCTAATAATTTTAGTAGGCCCCGTGTTTACCGATAGCAGTATTAAATTAGACGTTTTCGTAATATATTCTACAGTATTAGAATACGATTTATTTTAAAGCAATGAGTATATTCATCCATTAAGGAATTTATCTCAAGTTTTAGTTCTAATGGTACGTTAGTTCCACATTTATACTCGTCAGTCATTAAGTACTATTGTGTTCTCAATAAATCATGCAAAGTACAATGCCGATATCTAAATAAATAACTACATAAACATGCACAAGTTTTAATGCAATCTCTTTAACCCTATCAGTTTTAAGTTTTGACTGGAATTAGTAATGCTATAACTACCCTTTTAAAACCCATCCACTCCTGTTCTAAGATCACTATTCCAGCCACAGAGAATGCAAATCATGAAAATAGCCTTCCACTCTCATTGTCAATACCACTCAGTTTCATAGAAATACTTACGATTACATAGTTTTCATAAGGAAATCAGCCATACTTATAAACATCTAGCTATTCATATAATTGAGTGGTTAGCAAGGGGTCTGGGGGAGGTAGACTGAGTTTATCCTCATGTAGAAAGCCCTTCAAGTCCCCCTATTGCCTCATGAGGTTTAAACATTCCCATTTAATGACAGGAACTTCAAGGTCTCAGCATTTATTGCTAGATAAGCTTCCTTCTGTAAATGTACACAAACCAAAAACATTTCGTAAAGCGTCTCAGAATATGTTTACTGATGAAGTTCTTTGCTACTATATCAAACAAACGTAAGCAGCTACAAAAAAGCACTTTACTGATCAGTGGCTTAAAGAAAGAAATTAGAGACCATGAAACTTAGAAGATAAAACAATTGTACTCTGAGGGTCAGCATGAGAACAGACAGCAGAGTGGTCAGTCAAACTACCCAGATTGGGTGCTTGGAATTGCACTTTCATGGACATTTCAATTATCTTTGGATTTAGTTTTGTTAGAATGATGGCTGAGTTTTTAATATTTGCCACATCAATGGGACAATTAAATGATAATCTGATATAGGGTAGCTCCGTTATTAAGCACCTTGCTAAGCATGGGCTCGCTTTTAATTTGGGTGTACTGTTCTAGTTACTAGAAGTACAGAACACTTGTGGCTTCCAGCACTAAAAACTGGCAAGTGTCCAGATACTCAGGTCACAGATGCCATTTGTTGTGCCCTGTGCATGCACAGGAAGCGACAACAGCGTGAGCAAGAAGTTGGCCATTTTCAACGCCCCATTTTAATGGAGTCTCTGATATTGGACCTAGACGACTGCATTACAAAGGGGGTTTGCCCTGCATAGCAATTGTACCTATTTAAGTATTCACTTAGCTTAAACAAACTGCAGTTGCTGCATAAGTAACCCCACTCAATGCAAAAATAAACTGCAGGTTTGACATTAGTCCAAAAAAAAATGTACCACAATAACTCATCTGAACATGTGGGGCTTATAAAATATGTCTAAGTGACATTAAGCAGCAATAATTTATCGTGGTATGTATGCAAAAACTGCATCCTTACTATTCATTCCTTGCTGTAATCCATTATAGAGGCAATAAGTATGATAAAGCTACCCTTCCCCCACAAAAACACCCTAAACTGGTGAAACATGAATCAAACTTAATTCATTTGGCAATCAAGTTTTTAAACATCAACCAGGGCAGTGCAAGATTCAGAAAATAGTATTCACCAACCATGCTGATGAGTTCCACCACTAGAATAACTAGTTCATGGAATCGCCTGGATAAAAATCGTTTCAAATCCTATATTACATTACAAAAGAAGTTTGCCAAAAGCACTTAAACTATACTGAAGTCAGCTTACTCCTACAGTTTGAAAGTTGAGTGGTTTCAAATGACTAACATTTTCTGCTGATGACACAAGACAAGTTTTGTGCCAAATCCTTGCAGTTTTAACAGTGAACATATGCACGGCTTAGTCTTTTTCACTTGGATTACTGCTTGCGCTGTGGTCATTTTGAGATGTTATGCATTGCACAATATTTTTTAAATTGTTGAGTTTAGTAGAATTAGATGAAGCCCATATGTAAACCAAATTGTCCTGAACAATCACACACATAATTGGGTCTTTAGTGGGTAGAATTCAGTAGAATTTTTTAAATACATTTTACTAACACCAAGGTCTTTCTTGCCATCATCTTTTAAAATTCATTTTAGTTTTGTTAACATAGTTCTTATGATATTGGGGAGGAAAGCAGCTCAAGAGGGATAATAAGCATAGCAGCAGATACAAATATTAAATAAATTCAGTCGTTTCAACCATATGTGCCAATTCAGATCATCTGCAAACCACAGTCAGTACAATTCCTCCAAACAAGACAGGGTCATTTGCACTGTATGTAAACAAAAAAAAGGATTGATCAAAAAACGCTAGGATGCCAAAAATGCCTCCTTTAAACTCAACAACAATACCACAAACAGCCTGGGTTTGACTCCTGGATGTAAAAAACGTGGAGATACAAGACCTTTGGTTTGACTGGTACATTCTGCATCCAAAAAAAATCTTGATTTAAAATAAAGAGCAAGACTTTCAATTCTGGGATTCTCACCTGAGGTGGCACCAGCTGCTGCTCCTGTGGTTGGCATAGGACAAGCAGCAGAGAGCACTGGTTAGCAATATATAGAAGCCACAAAAGAATCGGCAGATTGAGCAACAATCAACACAGCACAAAGGTGAAAATTAAAACTGCATGCAGCAGCGAAGTCACAATCCATGCAAAAAAAGCACTTGAACATCAGTTTATTGAACGCTGATGTTCACTTCATGCATGATTCATTCCTTGGTTACAGTGCATGCACCAGCAATAACTAGTATAATTCAGCGAGTAACTGCTGTGATATAGAGATTCCTCTGCAAAGTGCAATCTCTGAATTATAATAAAAATAATAATCCTTGTGTTTGATATAGCACTTTTCACATCTTCCAGATGCCGCAAAGCCCTTCACAGAATATACCGTAATGTGAATTCACTGTATCTTTGTGCGACATTGCTGTGCGCAATTGGCTACCGTGTTTCACCCACAAACAGTCGTGGATTGAGTGACCATTATTGGGTTTTTTCTTGAGGTATTATCAGTATTATTATAGAGTAAGGAAACTTGCTCAAGGTTTCATCCTGCCGGGAATCGAACCCAGGTCTCTCGCTTACGAAGCGAGTGCTCTAACCACTGAGCTACAGGACTACACAAATTCATTGCCCTATACACAAAATAAAAGGTGCACAAGGTGCTACAATGGTAGGAAATATGCCTTTGCCAATTCAGTAATTCATATACTTTGGAGAACAGAGAAAAAATGTTGGACTGGCCAGCATAAGCATAGCTTTGTGTCAGTGAACCCAATCTTTGTGTCTCAGGGAATTGGAAGAAAAGTGAAAGTCAGGATTCCTCCTGCAATCTAGTCAGTCCTACTGGAAATGCCCAGGTTGATGGCAGTTGAGAATATGGTTCAGCTTCAACTCGTCTTTTAGCACCCCCCACCCCACTCAAACACATGAATTTTCTGAACAGTGAGTCAATGCTGTGGAACTGTATTCCAACATGAGTAACCGCCTTCCGCCCAGTCGAAAATTGGAAGGCAATTTTTGTTGCAGTACACGATTAACAAATTTTGGTGGAGCATGGGTGTTTCTACTCTCTTATTGTACTGTACCCCTTAGCAAACCAACCACTTTAGTCTTCTATTTCATTCATTTCCTTTTTTATATATAAATAGTTTTGATTGAAAGTCTTACTTTTTTCCTTTTGTCTCTTTTCCAAAAAAATGTTTTAGCTGTATGCTAATTTCAGTCAAGAATGTTGGGTAAACAACCTCACCACAAACTGTTTTGTGAACAAACATTACCAATTCTTTTTGATGCCAGGAAGAGAGAGGGGGAGGAGAAGAAAAGACTAGGGAGAAACAAAGAGGAATACTTGATCTATACTTAGGGATTCTCCTTAAGGTAAGTTGGAGACTTACCATAGGCAAGTAGCAGAAGTTTTTAACCATTATTTCATGCTGATTGTGCTTATTTACTGTATCGTAATTCTAGGTTCAATTTTCAAGTTAGTTATGACTCATTACCCAGAAATAGAAGTTAACTGAAATAGAAGTTAACTGAAATGCTGTACACTGTCCAGCGTCTTGGGACATCCTCTCAACGTGAAAGGCGCTATACAAATGTAATCTTCTTGTTGTTGTTGCAAAATCATTAAAATCACACCGAGGTAGTGCATCTTGCTTATAAGCTACAAGAATCCAACTACAGGAGAAATCACTTAAGATTCCCAAAGCTTACAGAGAAACTATAATTAGAATTGTGCAATTTGTACTCTGTAGAGCAAGGCAGCAAATGTGCAGAGACTGTTGATGGATAACAACTTAATCATCCAATGCCAGCAACATTTATCTACAGAATTTCTTCATGCAGAATGATGCCACAATCCCTACAATAGAATTTGCAAACTCTTCCAACTGCAGGCTTTGATGCTCGGCATTTATGGATCTTCTACATGAGCTATGGTCCTCTGATAATATTTCTAAACCATGGATAAAGCTGGCATTATTGGCAGTGACAAAGACATTAATAGCAGTTTCATCCAACTAAAGCATAGCATTAACTAGGTCTGGAGCCTTAGCCTTCCAGTAAAACTCACAGGTTAAGCAAGAAAAACTGCCATGTGGCTCGTCAAATCTTCTATAACTCTTTATCCCAAATACCAAGCACTCAGTAATAGCAATCTGGTTTTTCAGGTGTTTCACCAAAACTGTGACCTAATCACTTTAGCTTCTGGACATTTGAACAAATCTTGCAGCAGGTGAGGTAATGGTCAAAAGGCAAAAACGCAACATTGATATACATGATGGTTAGGCACAATAAATGCAGAGTCGGGGAGAAAGCAAGATAAAGACCACTTGATTTTATACATCTGTGTCAGGTGCAACAGAAGAGAAACAGAAACAGAAGAGTAGTTTCATCTCTGCTCTCATTGTTTAACCTGAAAAGATTGAATTCTGCCGCTCAACTTCAAGAATAAGGGCAAAGAAAGGATAATGGATGTTTCAAATAGGCCACAGGAAACGTAACCAACTGATAAAATGCAAATACTTCAGCTCATTTAGAGATCAGAAAAATGAAGCTTTAAAAATAGTTGTCAATACCAAACCCACAGATTAATACAAGTACTGATGTAGTATGACAAATGCACAAATACTCTAGTTTACAACTTCTTTCCCCATTTTCTCAAAACTACCATTTCTCTTACACACACCTGCAGGTGTACCAGAACAGAATATTTCAATATAAAGCTGGACTCTGATAAAAATGATTACACAGAAAAAATCAACACATCACAGATACAGTGGTTGCACACGTTTTTGTTTTAGATTCTTAACTCACAATTGATAAAATTAAACCAGATTTGCAATTCAGATGTATGGCAATTTGGGGGGAGGGAATGACACCAGCTACCCTTGGACTTCAAGATAAAACATTTTAGGATAGGTAAAATTGTGGACATTAAATTGAACTACAAAAGCTAATCATCCCTGGAAGCTGTGAGACTTTAATATTAGCACACCGCTAATACTTAAATTCTATGCCATTTATTTACGAAAGATAATTTGGAAAATGTGACTAAAAAACAATACATACATATAGCTTTCTCTCGGCCCTAAACTTCTATTGTTGTTTCAGCAAAATTAAAGCTGTTTCTGCACAAACAGTTCATGTAGATAAATAAGTCCAATCAGTTCAAAGGTGGTCATCAACTCGCTCCCATAGAATTTCATTTGGGCAGGACGAAAACATTAAATCTCAATATTTGATCAAAAAAGGTATTCCTCTGTTACAGTACATTAAAGTCTGTAATTGGTGCTGCTAATGCATGGTAGAGAAGTTAAAGCCCCTCATATGTTTCTTATTACAATGCAATTGAATTAGATTTGCTTTTGATGTAGTAGACTACTAAATTCTCAATATTGTAAGAAATTTCTAGATTTTAGCCTTACTGTAATCAAACATTGAGGTTTTATAATAAATCTTTACATTTGACATAGCACCTTATCATATCTTTGAGACATCTCAAGGTGCTTCACAGATTATACTGCAAAGTGAATCGACTGTATATTTTGTGGGCGATAATCCCTTTTTTTTCCAAAGGGATTATTAACCCCGGAAAAGCGATCTGCCAATCGACTAACAAATGGGTTCTTACTTACTGCGAGGTAAACGTTTCGCCCTGCCCGGGAACTGAACCCAGGTCCTCTCGCTTGCGAGGCGAGTGCTCTAACCACTAAGCTACAGGACTTCACAAATAAGGGTTCCATGCTGCCATTTGTAGCCGACACATCGCAAGTCAGTGTGCATTTTTATTAAGTCCACCTGAACAGGCAGATAAGACTTATTTGGTTAACACAAGGTTTAACAAATGTTTACAATTTACAACCATGTTTAAATCATTCTAATGTAGAAAATGGAATACAGTATTAGGCACTCAATGAAATTTGTACTAATAGGCCTGTGGAGTCCAAACACTATATTTTCATATTAAGCACAATTCATAGTTTTTCAACATTTCTAATATAGACAAACCAATTGCATACATATTATTAGCTTCAAAAACATAGGCATGTTAACACTATGCCATCCAATTTTAGAAGATGGTTTATGCAAATTAACTATACTAACCATACTTAATACTTTCATGCCTAAGATTTTGATGAAATTATGGTTAGATACAGCAATTGCACACGGCTTTGCCAGGTTCTGCTTAATTCACAATTGATAAAAAATTAAACCAGATTGTCTATTCATAATTTATTTAAGAAAATAAGCATGCAAACCTCAAGAAAAAAATATGAAGTGTCGAGTAAAAAGATGGTACATTACCTTTCCTCTCCCCTGTGAATGGAACAACATCCTCCCTGTCTTTATATTCTAAAGCCTCCTTCTCTAAGAAGTTTAGAAGGCTGTCTCTATCAAAGGCGCCCGTCGGGTTTTTGCCAGTCTGGTCTTTCTGACGAAAACCTGCTGGAAGCAGTGCATTCTAGGAGAGGAAACATCAGAATAGCTTTAATTTTTTTTAAATAAAAATTGAAGGACACAACAGATCCCAAATGGTAGAATAATGTTACTTTAACATCTTTCCTACTCCTTACAAGTAGCTGAAATCTCATTTTGCAGCCAAAATCACCCACCACTCTTTCTTGCAGAAATAATGCTGGATGTAAAGGGTGCTTATGAATAATCCGATTGCATAAGGCAGTTAGTTACAATAGCATGTTTTCATATGTCTTCAGAATTTGCTGCTAGTTGCCTCCCCATCTCTTTTGAAGGCTGGTTCCAAGTAACACACCCAAATGGCCATTCTTCATGAGTGAGTTCAGACAAAAGTCAGACTATTTTATCTCTGCACACTTTCTAGCTTTGAGAGAGGGGCAGGGGGAGAAGAGGAGATAACAATCAAGAATGCAAATCTTATCCAAGTTTTCCCCTCCCGTGCCTAGGACTGTACGGCTAATTAAATCATCTCAACTGATGACGGAAAGCTGACTGATTTTCTGTATCCCAACTGTAGGGGTGCTTGGACAAAGCAATTGTCCCTCATAGAACTCTGCTCAATAGAGCAGAAAAGGAGTCAGATAGCTTCAGGAATGGAGGGGGTGGGAGGGTAATTAAACTTGGCAGTGGAAAAAAAATCTGCAACCATATTCCTAAGTAGCAAAGTTCAGGAAGGAACATCCAAGCACAAGTACTGTATGTGTAAATCACTTCTAATTTAGTTTAAAAAGTCTAACTTTGTTCCTCAAGGAAATGGGGAGAGCTTTTTTTTAAAAAAGGAGGACTCCTTCACACCGATTCCACTCGTGTTGCGTGCAGTGAAATGCCAAATAGAGGCCAAGGAAGGGTAGAAGAGAAAGAGAAAGTCTCCAGGCTATTGCATAATTGCTGATGACCAACATATAGCAGCAGTGCCAGGGACTAAAGAAACAAAATATTGATACCCACGTGGGAGGGGGATCTGAGCCTCATTTATACAGGTCTGCTTTTTACTTAAAAACAAATCAGATCCATTTCCTGTAATAGCAGCATTTTTCCAACATGAGGACTTTAAGGGATTTAAAAATTCATTCAATAGATTGTGTTTCTCAACTCATAACTAATACAAACATTTCCATTAGCAAGCCTCAGATCACCTACACAACCTTGCTGTTCAAAAACCAGCAAGATGTTTTTGAAGAGGCACAAACTAACGAATGTTAATCTAAAATGTCAAAAATCATAGACCCACCTCTGGATCCAGCTCTTCTAAAGCATTCTCCAGTTGCTTTAGTTCAGCATCTGTTAGTTTGTTGAGCAGCTCATCCTCATCGATATCCCTGTACTTTTCCAGGTCCTTCTTAAATGGCAGCGCCATTTCTTCTGCAACGATCACTTAATCACACTATGCAGGCCTCGGCAATGCAGTTGTTGGCCAGGTGAAGAACAGCTTGTTACCTACAAACATTGCAAAATGAATTATACAACATTATAAAGCTTCCCCAAAACACAATCAGACAATAAAGTAAATTAATTTAGGTTTATGAAAACAATTCCCTTAAGTCTAGCTGAAATGTTACTTTATCCGGCTTCACAAAAATAAGCATCAGTTAGTCACAAATGGAAGGATGTACTGTGGTTTCCAATATCATGGCTAATTGCAAATTGTTTGTTAAGGAGCATTATATATTATGTTTGGATAATGGGTCCAAACTACATGATAGTTTTGATTTTTATACCCTTTTTACTAAAGTGTCTGCGGTGATTACATAAGTGATTATCAATTTAAGGGGAGAGAAAAGAAGAAATCTGATTAGAATGGAAAACATATCTGCCCATGCTCTTTCAAAACAAAACCAAATACGTGACAAAGTGTTGTACCACCTTTTCAAAGACAAAATATACTGTCTCAAAACCAGACAACCCCTTACGTACAAACTCATGCAAGTAAGTGACACTGGAATCTCAACATCTCTGCACAAAGTTGATAGGGTGGGGTAGGAGGGGGGGAAGGAGTTTACAATTGCAGTACTAGGAAATTCTCTTTGCCATGACAGATTTGGCACAATTAAGAGAAACAAGAATCACAAACAATTGGGAATTATGCACCCAGAGTTTCAATAACAAATCTCAAGCAGGAAACATTAGCTTTCAGATACACCCAACACTTGTTTACAATAATTAATTACCCTTCAGTCTTGCAAATCAAAATCTGCTAATTATGGTTGATATCACAGCAATCTACTAATCAAACTACTTCCTATACTATACATTTGTACATCGACATTGTTCCCTTGCAAAACATAAAATATAAAATAAAACTTAAATGGTTTCAGCCCACATTTCTGACAAAGCAAGAGAATTCTGCATTACTTAAAACGATCTAATAATAATCCTTGCGTTTGATATAGCGCTTTTCACGTCGGGAGGACGTCCCAAAGCGCTTCACAGAACACACTGTAAAGTGAATTGACTGTATATTTGTGGGCGAACGCGGCAGCCAATTGCGCACAGCAATGTCCCACAGACAGTCGTAGATTGAAAATGACCAATTTATTATTGTTTTTGGAGGGATTATTATTAGGCTCTGTGTGGAGTAAGGAAACTTGCCCAAGGTTTCGCCCTCTGCCTGGAATAGAACTCAGGTCTCTCGCTTGCAAAGCGAGTGCTCCAACCCCTGAGCTGCAGGACTCCAAAATGTTCTGTAAAACATTTGAGCCAAACTTGTAGACACATTTACAGTATTAGTCCTGTAGCTCAGTGGTGAGAGCACTCGCTTTGCAAGCGAGAGACCTGAGTTCAATTCCAGGCAAGTCAGGGCGAAACCTTAGGCAAGTTTCCTTACTCCACACAGAGCCTAATAATAATCCCTCCAAAAAAACAAAACAATAATTAATTGGTCATTTTCAACCTACGACTGTTTGTGGGACATTGCTGTGCGCAATCGGCTGCCGCGTTCGCCCACAAATATACAGTCAATTCACTCTACAGTGTGTTCTGTGAAGCGCTTTGGGACGTCCTCCCGACGTGAAAAGCGCTATATCAAATGCAAGGATTATTATTATTATTATTATTACACAACAGTTCCACCAATAATGCATTAAATGCGTTTTGCTCACTTCAAATCCAGTGAAGTGCATTTTGCATAAGTCTATAGTAAGTCTACTGTCTGTCTATACATAATTTTGCCCAAACAACTTTTGCTAGTATTTAATAAAAGAGTGCAACCCTAAAGAACTGCAGAATTCAATGGAGTACAGGCAAAAGGACATAGAGATCCAACCAAGTCCACTGTGCTTCAGGGCATTTTCGCCTGACAATAGCTAAGAAAATGTCAAGAATGTGAAAAATATTAAGTTGTGGATAGTCAGTTACTTCAAGATGAAATCATTTGTGAAGGGTGGGTTCAGTGCACACAGCTGTTTTTCTTGTCACTCCCTGACAACTGATCACAAAAAATGGTCGGTTGCCTAAAAAAGCAAAATAATTTAAGCTGAATTAAAGTTTGGTGTGGATATTTTCAGAAGAGAAAATTGCAGGATAAGAAACAATTTTTCAAAATTGTGATTAAACAACAACAAAATTACATTTGTGAGCGCCTTTCACGTCGGGAGGATGCCCCAAGGTGCTGGACAGTCAGAATTTCAGACCCGAGCTGGGGGTCGGGATTGGGAAGGGTGGAGGGCAGAGGGGAAAGCAGGGTGATCGAAAGCATGGTCGAAGGGGAGGGTCTTGAGATGGGCCTTGAAGGAGGCAAGAGATGGGCCGAGGCGGAGGGACAACGGGATGGAGTTCCACAGGGTGGGGCAGATTTATACATAATCCAAACAGTAATGCCGGTAAACAAGGGGGAAAAGTTACTCAAAACCCAGTCATAGGTAAAAGTCATGAAGAATTTAACCAAATTTTTCATGAAGTTATCTTAATGGCATTGAAGATAAAGGCACTACACAGTGCAACACTAGAACATGTAGAACAAAACAGGTTCAACCGCAAGCACCATTTTAGCCAATCTCAACAGAGGCATAAGCTTGGATGCCATTATTCGACTCATCAAGCAACCCCAATTGAACGAAAAAATGGGAGAGGGAAAGAAACCAAGCTCCTATCAAGGATCTCTTTCCCCCACCCAAACTTCAATTGAAATTTTCTGATTCACTGTGCTGTGTTTAATCAGATACCATCAAATTAATTTCTAGAACCATACATGTCGATCCCACGATGGTGTGTTTTAAGGCATCACTTTCAAACAGTGCAGTCCAGTGGATTGATATTTCATCACAAGCGTTTAGGATTCTTCATTTGTATTTGTTATATTAAACAGACTGCCAAAATATAATAATCTGATCAATGCAGAATTTAACCAGCCAGAGAAATTATTCAGAAAGATGCTGCCTGCATCCCTTGTTTTACTTTTATTTAAAAAAAACATTGGGGGAACAGCAGCAGGGTTGAGATAACTAATTCAGCCACTTGGGAATCATATACAGTATGATTACAGATAAACCCATCAGCAGCACTAAACATGCTAATGAACTTACTTCAACAACATACAACATACAATACTTCCATTTGGATTCAGATTTAACAAACGTGTCCAACCATCAAACCAGATCAGCTGGCAAATGCCCCCCCTACCACCACCCCTGAATAACTTGAAGACACTTGAAGACAAGTGTCCCACTTATTCACTAGTTAACAGAATCAAGACTCCACTGTACTAAAATAGCATTAATAATAAAAAGGCAATCACTGGGAAGAAGTGGAGAACATTTACACGATCACCACAGAGCAGGCTTTTTTTAAAAAAAACAGCACGGAATCTATTATTAAATTATCTCCTGAGCCCAACTGCTTCCGAAGTCGATAACAGTTGCTTTGCTTGCACCATATGACAGGAAACCAAGGTATCATTGGACAATACAGTATGACCCAGCATTATATGATGAGTATTTACTATGGGTTTATCAAATAAACTATTGCTAACCGCACAAAATTCCAGTACACATCACTAGTAAATTTCCCAATACTTGTCTAGCAAGGAACCCACTGCTCATAGGATCTTTGGTCTGAGGACATTTAAGAGGGACAGGTGGTAAACCATCATCAGTGACTTCAATTAATGTGAAGCTAAGAGTCCAGTTCCTTTGGAGCCAGTTCAAGTATAAAGAGATTTCAGTTAAACACCCTCTGCCCCAAACCAAGTTAAATGCAGACGAGGTATTCATTGTAAAATCCACCTCAAAAAAGGTGAAGGGCTGCTAGGATCAACCAGAATTTGAATCAAGAATGTTCTAGGCCCAAGACCAGACCTCAACATGGATGTTCTCTATGAAACATTACAACAAATGTAATGCAGATAAGGAGCTGTTTACCCTTTAAGCTGATGCTTTAAAATCAGCACAAGATTACAAATCATAATAAATACAATGAATCTGTATAACTAATATTATATCATTTTGCAACATAATGTAAACATTGTAAAATGCACAGAACATTATTAATTTAAGTGGATGCAGCAGGATTATGGAGCCCTGGTATTACCATGTTACACATCTACTTGACAGCACACAATAGCCTGTTTAAACAGACTGTTCACCAACAGTTCTCTTCTTGTCCCCATTGAGTTATTTGAATGTTATAATAATAATCCTTGCATTTGATATAGCGCCTTATCACATCTTCGAGACATTCACTGTAAAGTGAATTGACTGCATATTTTGTGGGCGAAACAAAAATATTGGGCCCAGAAAGATTATTGCCAAGGAGTATTCCGTACAGCCATGGGACTTTATACTCTGCTCTCACTTCTAGGACCAAAGTTCAATCCAGACAGTCTGTACAATCCAGATTCTCTGCTAACTATAGAAACAGCAAAAGCTAGTGTGAACCCACCGTCTTAATAGGGATGGGCCTACAGCAGAAAACTACTTACAAAGAATCACAAGATTGGCAATCTACCTGCATGAGCTGATGTAGAATATCTGATAAACCACACTCATACACAACAGAATGTTCGTAGGTTAACAGTTTACAGAAGGACTTTAATGCTGCATAAAGTATTTCAAAATACTTGCGCTTTGAGACATCCTCCCAATATGAAAGGTGATATAAGCATAATTTGTATTATAGTACATAGGTAATTTGGGACATATGTGCATGTGACCGTCAGGAAGGTGGAAGGTGAAATAGGTGGACCTTGATCTTTTTTCTTATGTTCTTATCACAGATTCACAGAGGCCTATTTGTACGAGTAAACCAATTAGCAGCCAGGAGACCAAACAAGTAATAATAATAATAATCCTTGCATTTGATATAGCGCTTTTCACATCTTCTCGACGTCTCAAAGCGCTTCACAGAATAGACTGTAAAGTGAATTGACCGTATATTTGTGGGCGAAACCCGGCAGCCAACTGCATAGCAGTGTCCCACAAACAGTCGTGGATTGAAAATGTCCGATTTATTATTGTTTTTTTTAAAAAGGTTTAATATTAGGTGTGTGGAGTAAGGAAACTAAGTGAAAATGTCGAAATGAACTCAATCCAACCAAGATCAAATGGTTGAATTTTGATTCTTATAAATATTTCTTAGTTGTCAATATTCAACATACCATCATAACTCTTCAAAAGATCCAAAAAATCAGTACCTACTAGGATTGGAGTAACTCAACTTCAAGATATTAATTTATTTATATAGCATCTTTCATGTCAAGGGATTTCTTAAAGTGCTTCACATGACTGACTAGAAGTCCAAGCTTCGGGGGGAGTGGTGAAAAAGGCACAGTCAAAGAGATAAATCTTGCAATAACATTCACTATTGCCACGTCTTCTCTGTCCCCACACCATCCAATAAAAACGATTTTCAGACTGCCAAATTCTAATTACATGTTAACAGTGGCAGATTAAAAAACATAAACTTGACTGTCCATAATTTCAGAAGGAATGAAATGGAATGAGAAAGTGTCATTATTTTAGAAATGTCTGAGGCTTCCCATTTTCAGTATATAACATAAAATATGAATCGCATTTCAATGGAACAAATTTCAGGGAGTCATTAAAAAGAATTAATCTAATCGGAAGGGATCTGACAGCATCAACCACAAAGCCAAGGAAATTACTTGTTATTTCAGTTAATACAGTTATTTTGACCTTAGACTAAACTCAACATTTAATTTTACTATGAATGTATTTAAACTGAGAATTTTAAGAACCTGAAAACACATCGAAGTGACATTGTAAAACCAAAAGCCGATCTCATCTGAATTCAGAGGTAGACTATATTCTTCAAACACACTGAACTTATATTATTGTTGATAAGTATTTAAAAAAAACGATCTGTAGTCATTTTCGTTCAACATTGGTGTTTTCACACAATCTGAAATAAAATGCAACAAAGAATGAGGATGGATTTCATAGTTACAAAATCACATTTTCGTATCAAATTGGTTTATCTACAGTAGCTGCTTATGCTTTAAATCAAGAAAAAAAACTGAAAACACACTACCGATCAAACCTGAACTTACCTAGACGTGTGCGAATGCTCAGGGACCACTTCTTGACAGCCCTGTGGACCACTTCCAGCATGAGGTCCACAGGTTAAATATTGCACTACGATTATGCAATACCTAACTGGACTGGAGTAGTCCAGAGTGCTGTTGACGATGGACCAGCCAGACTGGCTCATTGACAGAACTGGGTGGCACAGACTAATCACTGGAGCAGTGGTGACTGACCTGTGGCCCACGGGCCGGAACTGGCCCACTGGGTCATTAAGAAACGGCTTGTTGGGTTGTCAAAAAGAAACCCAACCGCCGAACAGTCACAAGGGTCTCGGTAAGTTCGTGTTTGATCGGTAGTGTGTTTTCATTTTTTTTCCCCCTCGATTTTTTGCACGGATCAAGAAATATTGAATTAAAAAAAATATTTTGTTGGTCGACTATAAAAGCTCTTGCAAACCTCCACTTCTCAGAATTAGGTAACCAAGGGAAGTTCCTCAGGGGACAATGTGCACAATGCATACTAGACAAACAAACTTTGCATACGGTGGCTTGGTTTGGAAACTTAAGTTTGATGACTTCAAGTGGAAGATATCCATCTAAACAAACGAAATCTGACACTGCATAGATAATTTTGGTTGGTCAACCAAGTGTCTGACACACACAGAAACTCATCACTGTGCTTAAGATTATTCAAACCTGACAAGATTTCCATGTATGCATCCCATATACCCATGGAAATTCACCTTTGTCTAAAATGGAATCTACATTCAACTTACTATTTTCATAATTTTTGCATTTGATATAGCACCATATCACATTATCGTGGAGTACTGTAGCTCAGTGGTTAGAGCATTCGCTTTGCAAGCGAGAGACCTGAGTTCAATTCCAGGCAGGTCAGGGCGAAACCTTGGGCAATAATAATAATAATAATCCTTGCATTTGATATAGCGCTTTTCACGTCGGGAGGACGTCCCAAAGCGCTTCACAGAACACACTGTAAAGTGAATTGACTGTATATTTGTGGGCGAACGCGGCAGCCAATTGCGCACAGCAATGTCCCACAAACAGTCGTAGATTGAAAATGACCAATTGAATTATTGTTTTTGGTTTTGGAGGGATTATTATTAGGCTCTGTGTGGAGTTAGGAAACTTGCCCAAGGTTTCGCCCTCTGCCTGGAATTGAACTCAGGTCTCTCACTTGCAAAGCGAGTGCTCTAACCACTGAGCTACAGGACTCCACTGGGCAAGTTTCCTTACTCCACACACCTAATAATAATCCCTCCAAAACAAAACAATAATAAAAAAAATTGTCATTTTCAATCCACGACTGTTTGTGGGACACTGCTGTGCGCAATTGGCTGCCGCGTTCGCCCACAAATATACAGTCGATTCACTTCACAGTCTATTCCGTGAAGCGCTTTGGGACGTCTCGAAGACGTGAAAAGCGCTATATCAAAGGCAAGGATTATTATTATTATCATCATCATCATGATACCTCAAAGCACTTAACAGGATGTATTGTAAAGTGGTTAAGACTATGTATTTTTCGGTGCAAAACGCCAGTTTCAAGTCCCAAAAAGGTTGCAGGTTTCGGCGGGCGAAAGCCAAGGCTCGGTGACCCCAATGTGGGCGCAGGGCACTGCCGGGGAGTTTAAACCGGCCGAAACCACCGCCGTCTGCCACGCTGCGAATTCCCCTCCGGTGCCAAGCTTACGGCGGGCGCCGAGCGGGAGGAACGCCTGCCCGCGGCCGACACCGCCAGTCTGACTTGTCGGCAGTCGCGCCTCCTGGCGCTCGGGAAGCGAACTTAAGACCGCCAGAAGGAGCTGAGGTCGGGTTCCAACACCCTATCGCCAAGCTCAGCACCTCGGAGCCTCAGAGAACCCCGGAGCCGTTGGCAGAGTTCACCGGCACATCAACAGTTCGTAAACATGGGCGAGATTACAGGGGCTATGTTGCAGGGATGCGAGCCCGCCCGCCAGCCCGCCCGCCCGCCCGCCAGCCCGCCCACACACGCACACACACACCCCATACATATTTTAAAGGGCTGCACTGCACTGCCCACGCAAACCAAGCCGATCCCTTCCTGCAATACTTCGTCCGGGGGTGGGGTGGGGAGAGAGGGGGGGTGGGGAGAGGGGGGGGGGGAAGGGGGGAGGGGAATAAGAGAGAGTTCCCCCAGGGAGCAATCTCTTGGATAGAAACACCGCAAATGTCAAAAGGGGGGGAGGGGAGAGGGGAGGGAGGGGGGTGGGCGGTGAAACCAAAAGCCGTCTGAGAGCCGCCCCCACCCCCCCACACACACACCGCCCCCCAACCCCCCGCACCTCGGAAGCAGGTAATGCCGGGGAGGGGGGAAGGCTCGACGATGAAGAGGGAGGAGGAAAAAAAGAAGGGAGTCCCGCCCGTTAAGCGGAGGGCCATCGACTTCACACCGTCTGGCTCGGAGTCTCATTTTTTCCTTCCCTCCCTCCCTCCCTCCTTCTCTCTCTCTCTCTCTCTTCGCTCAACGCTTACGGTTCCTCCTCGGTTCCCAACCGCCACCCACACACACACACACCTCCACCTCCTGCTGCTGCTGCTGCTGCTGAGGAAGAAGGTATCGGGGAGGTTTGTTTAAGGCGTGTCCGTTGCCTGTGTGTGTGTGTGTGTGTCTCCCTCTCTCTCTCTCTCCCTCCCGCCCATTTCAAGGTGACAACGGGTGTTCCGTCACTCACCAGCCGACGCAGGGAGGCCTTGACCTGGGGCTCGGGTCTCTCTCTCTGTCGGTCGGTCAGTCGGTCGGTGACTCGCTCGCTCGCTGCCGCTCTGGGCGCCGCCAACCGTCGCTCTCTCGCGCTCCCTCTCGCGCTCGCTCCTCTGACAGTTGGTTACTGGCCGCGCGAGAGTCGCCTTCTCGCTCGCGGTTGCCGCAAAGGAGGGTGGGCGTGGCCTCTGCTTTCCTTCGCCCCCCCCTCCCCCCCGCACACACACACACACACACACACACTCCCGGAAGCCCACCCCTTTTTCTCCCCAGCCAGCCAATCGCCTCGCGCCGCGGTGACGTAACGTCGCCGCGTCACCTGATTGACATTCCGCTCCGGCAAATCAGCAAGCCGCTTTCTCACGCCTGCCCCTCCCCCACCCCGCCTGCCGGATCGAGGCCGGGTTCAGCGCGCGCGGAGAGGTGGTGGGCGGTGGGGGGGGGGGGGGAATGACGGAGTCGCGCAATCGCAGTAGCAAGCGAGGGGGCGGGGCGGGGCGCTGGGAGTTGTAGTGGTCTTTTTTTTCTGAATGGGCGAGCGAGGCGTTTCCCCCCCTTTGCAAGGCAGAGCGCTCTCTGCAGGCGAGCTGTGGAATGCGAGTCGCCCCCCACACACACACACAGTCACTACACTCCCTCGTGGCTCAGTGGTGAGAGCACTCGCTTTGCGAGCGAGAGACCCGGGTTTCAAGCCCCGGGCAGGTCAGGGCCAAACCTCGGGCAAGTTTCCTTACCCCACACAGAGCCCTAATCATAATCCCTCCAAAACCCCCAAATAATAATGAAATTGGTCATTTTCAATCCACGGCTGTTTGTGGGACGTCGCTGCGCCCAATCGGCCGCCGCGTTCGCCCACAAATATACGGCCAATTCGCTTTGCAGTGCGTTCTGTGAAGCGCTTCGGGACGTCCTCCTGACGTGAAAAGCGCTATATCAAATGCAAGGATTATTATTATTATTATTGTAGCAAATCGGTGAATGGCGCTGCACGGCGCCGCACCCAAAATGTAAAGGGTTTGCTGTCGTTAATGCCTGAAACCACCACCACCACCACCAACAAAGATTGCATTTGTGTTAGCGCTCTTCACGTCGGGAGGACGTCCCAAGGCCCTGAAACTGCCTTGAAGCAGGAACGCAGCCTTCCCCAAACATTTTTTTCTTTTTGGCCGGGTGTCTGACGCAGGCGGAAACCCATCACCATGCTTAAACTAAGGGTTTGCAAACCCAGCTGACATTTCCGTGCATCCCGACTGCACGTGGGAATCCCAGAGGTCGATTGTTGGAATGAAATGCGCACTCTTCCCCTCTGGTGGGGATGCATCCGGCTTTCCTAATTCCAGAAGGTATTAGGCGCAGGTTGGCCCTAGGCCACGGCTTGGGGACCCCAGAGTGTGCGTTGGAGCACTGCTGGAGTCTAACCTATCGTGCTTCTTAAACAACTCTCCGGAAAGCTGGATATTGCACAGTTTACCATTGGTATTGCTGTCTGGCAAGCTTTCCCGCTGATTGTCCAGCTCGGACCACCTTACCCGCTAGGGCTTTAGCTTGCAGGGTTTGGTTGGACGAGTAAACTATCGAATAATTGGAATCAAGTTGATTCTCTGTGATATATTCTGTAGCCAGCCTGGCCCATCATAAAAAATCCAAAAAAATTTGGTTCAGTTTTTATAGAAATACCACTTAACATCTTTTTCTAATACAGCAGAGTCCATTCTTCACTTTTTGTTTGTTTTACTCGCCTTATTAGTAATCTTTTCCTGTTGTTGATTAATCTCTGGCTGTTTATCCTTTCTCTCGGTCTCCAATGTGAAAGAAAACTCAACAGTGCATATTGGCAGCCACTGAGAAAAGTTCCTCAGTCTCTCAAATCTGAAGAAGCCACAGATAATATTCCATCGGTGTAGATGGGAACTCTGATTAGAACTCTGCCCTCAGAGAATCGATCTGCTTTTAATTTTATATTCTTTAATATCTGATTTTATCTTGTTGTGTTAACAAAAAATCAACCACAGGCAGCTGCACAACAGCGTTGTTTGGCATCAACTGTGGGAAGATTTTCTGGTGCCAAATTGTGCTCTTTTATATATTCGTACATTTGCTTTGAGTATTGGATAGTTGCTTCATAAACTGACTATACGTAATTGCCACCATAATGCGGCTTAAAACACAAATAGCACGCAGTCGCAGAACGGAGGAACATTGTTCCTTCTCCTGTATTTTGTGTAACATTTGGAATAAATTTGTCACAGATCCAACAGGCTCCAATCCTTCAGAAACCAAATGTTATGACTTAATCCACTCTTTTTCGAAACGTTTGACATTTGGCTTACTGTGCGCACCTCTGGCGAGTTCATGGTTGCTCTAAAATTTGGGATTTCACATCAAAGAATGAAAGCGTACTTTCTTGTGCCTTTGCATTTCTGAAAGTCCCTTTTTATATTTGTTTGTGTCGTTCCTCTGCTAAATTGGCAGCATTTCAATTAGTGAGCTCAGCTCATGCTTCGAAGTGGCACTCCAGCCATGGGTACATGCAGGATGTGAGGTTACAAGCCAAGCTTGTCAACCGCTCTGTCCAAGCAGTTGCCCAGCGACTATGCAAGACACGGCCAAAACTTGAACAGTGCTTGAAAGCACTTGTGTAAGAAACTAGCAATAGACGGTAGGCCGAATTTCAAAACTGTTAAAAGTGTTATTTGCATTGTTTCCTCTCTCTATTTTGAAGAAAGTTTGCGTGCAAGTGACCAAGATAGCAAATTCTCTTCTGATTTTTCATTTCTTTCCCTTGCTCTCCCCTCAGCTAGTACTAGATGGGATAGGGTCAAGAAGTCAATGAACAGTGTTTAACCAGAGCTTTTTTCCACCTTAAGACCCATATCCTGTGGAACTCTTTTCTGAAACCATTTCTGAAATTCAAGACTTTGAGCTTTTGGTCTTTTGTGCCACTATGCTAATCCATTCCACAAAATGTTTGTCCTGATATTATTAATAAAGTTCTAAGAAACAGCGAAATGCTTTGCGTTTCCCACATAACACAGGTTCTCCAGGGAAACAGCTGGAGTACTTCTCTGCTTAGAATTACAATTTAGTTTGACTGCACTCCTTATCCAATTCCATGTTTAACTTGGCCATTCGACAGAATTGTTTTTCTTTGGCAACTCTCATTGAATTGTTAAATCTTTCTGGGTATACCTTGCCAGTATCGTGTCTCGGCAGCTACTCTTCCTGTGTCTCCGTTCCTACCTCTACATTTTGGGGTTGTACGGCGGTCTCAAAATCTGAAGACCTTTTGGCTCTCCTCCTCCTCCCCCACCAAACATTCCAGCTGCCATTCTAATTCATCGGCTTCCTGAACACTTGCAGGATAGTTGGCAAACTACACTTGTGGCAGAATTTCCAAACCGTGCCTCACAGAAGTCAAGGATATAATGAATGCCTTTTGTGTAGTACTTAACTACGTGTGTGGATGTTTTGACTTATTTTTTCCCCCAATTCAATGTTCTCTGTTCCTCTCCTGAAGGCAAAGACTCATGTCGGGGAGGATAACGTTGCCTTTGTCTCGACCACTGGGTGGTGCTCCAACCCTGGGTTACAACTGGGAATTTTTAAATAATGTATATTTTATGGCATTTTTGACATCCATCAATTTTGTACAATTGCTTTGAGTCACGGCAACATCACTTATTACCATACCTCCAGCTCGCATCAGATTTATCGTAACAGAATTAATCATTTTTTTGAATGACACTGCGTTCAAAATAGTGTCCTTGTGCGTCCGATTACAATGCAGTAACAACATCTTTAGTAACTAAATCCTAAATGTTTTAAAATAACGAAAGGGTTCAACGTGATGGTCTGTTTCTTTCCACTTGTTGGCAAGTCTAAAATGAGGGGGCGTAAATATAAGACAGAAGGAAGTTTAGGAGGAAGTTACTTACTTACGCAGAGGGTGGTGAGGTTGTGGAATTCACTGACGGACGCTATAGTTGAAACAGGAAACCTCAATATATTTAAGAGTACGTTTGATGTATACATGAGGGAGAAGGCTATGGCGCAATAATAATCCCTCCAAAAACCAAAAACTATAATTAAATTGGGTCACTTTCAATCCACGACTGTTTGTGGGGCATTGCTGTGTGCAATTGGCTGCCGCGTTCGCCCACAAATATACAGTCACTTCACTTTACAGTGCGTTCTGTGAAGCGCTTCGGGACGTCCTCCCGACGTGAAAAGCGCTATATCAAATGCGAGGATTATTATTATTATTATTATTAATATAATACGGGAGAAGGGATGAGGAGACTCGTGTGGAGTCCATCCCATCTGCCTGTCCAGGTGTCTTGGCCGACAACCCCCCCACGCCCCCCCCCAGATAAAGATCAGTCATTCACTCCACAGCTGTTTGCGCGCCTTTCCATGTCATGGGGGGGGGGCCGGGGGGGGGGGGGGGCGTCTCGAAGCGCTTCACAGAATGCACTGTGACGTGAATCGACCGCCTTACCGTGCGGGCGAGACGCGGCGGCCGAAGTGCCGCGGCGGTTGAGTACAGTGACCCCAATTTTTTTTTGTTAGTAGGGGGTTCGAAACCGCGTCGGGGTGGTGAGGGGGTGGGGGGGGGGGGTAAAAAAAAAAATTTTTTTTAAAAAAAGGGAAAAACAAAGACGTTTCAATTTTTTTTAAACAAATAAAGTTAATAAAAAACCAGGGACTCGCCCCTCCACCCCCCAAAAAAATAAATAAAATAAAAACCCTTTTCTTTTTTACACACACGGTTTATTCTTCACGCCCAATCGGGCGGTTTTTCCCGTTGCCGCGCAACCAATCGGGCGTGAAAACAAACCCCGCCCCCGCCTGCCCTTCGCCCCGCCCACTCTGACGCATTTCCGGTCTCCACCACGCACTTCCCTCCCCCCCCCTCTCCCCCTCCACTCCATGTCGTAAAGAGCGAACGCTTTGACGGCGGTTTTTTTTTTCCGCCTCTCTTTACGACGTCGGGAAAGATGGCGGGTATGGCCGACTTGTTCGGTAGCGAAGCCGACAGCGATCCGGAGCAGAAAGGTGATAGCCTTTCACCCCCACCCACCCACCCACCTCCTCCCCCACCCCCTCCCCCCGCTCCACCCCCTCCCCCCCCCCGCCGCTCGGTCTCCGTCAAGCGCTTTGCACCACTTGACGGTACATTCCCGTCAAGCGCCCGGAGACGCCTCCCGAGGGCGCGATGAGCCGCTGTATCAAACGCAAAGGGCGGTGGTTGTTGTTGTTGTCGTCGTCGTCGTTATTGTTAGGTATTACCTCTCTGCACCCACCGGAGGGTAATGAACCACCGGGAGAGGGTTACGTCAGGGGGGGGCTGAGTGAGGCCAGGGACACTGCTGGGGGTGGGGGGGGTGAGATGGAGTGATGGGGTGACCATATTTCTATCCCCCCCCCTCCCCCCCCCCCCCCCCCCACTCCCTGGTCAAAGTATGCAGTCAATTCACCTTATGCTGTACCCCGTGAGACGTCTCGAAGACCCGATAAGGCGCTGTGTCAAATGCAAGGGATGGTTATTTTATTTATTATTCTCATTGTTATTGTTAATCCCAATCCGAGGACACGCACTGTATCAAAACAACTTGAACTCACCCCAATTCCTGACGCTGGCAGTTACGAGAGAAGTTTGTTGCATGAGTGGCCGGACCGTAGTACTCTGAGCAGTGTATCTTGCGTTAGAATTAATTGTGTTGGTCCAGTTCTGTTTGTTGCTGAACTCAAGACAGGGAAGGTTTGGTCCCAGGGACACAATGCCTCATTGGGAGACGTATGGTCATCCTCTCTGCTTCTTCAGATTAATGTTAATGAATCCATAGCACTGTTCGAAAAGGGAAGTGAGTTTCTCCCAGTGTCCCGGCCAACAGTTCCTTAAAATGGCCCAAATTTCATGGATGTTTATGGGACACTGCCTGACTATCCAACGCCTTGGGACGTCATCCCGGCGTGAAAGGCGCTATACAAATGTAATATTGTATTGCCAACAGATACAGTCATTGAACTTAACGATTCTCTCTGAAACATTTTGAGACAGTTTAACGTGAAAGGTCCTGTGACAAAGGCAAGGATTATTATTGTGCAGTTAACTAGTCACAAAGTGTGCAGTGTATCCAGTGCTGAATAATGTGATGGAGGACATAATGGAAGAGTATGGATAGGTTGACATGAAACTGATTGATTGTGTTCACAGATTTTGATTTGGGATCCGGATCTGACTCGGATTCAGTGCAGGAACACATAGCTTCCGGAAGCAACCCCTCAGGGAGCGAGAGTGAGAGGGAGGATGGAAACGACGACGAAGATGGTGACCGAGAAGCAGCGAAGCCCAGCAATAAAGAACTGTTTGGTGAGGACAGTGAGGACGAGGCAGTCTCCAGGCACAGTGGGAGTGAGGACAGGTCGGACAATCAATCCATAGCCTCGGCACACAGTGACCAAGAGGCCAACGAGCAGTCGGATGCAGAGCACCATAGTGGTTCTGAGGAACAGCCCTTTGATGACCAAGACGCTGCCAGTGTCCACTCTGATGCTGGCAGTGTCCATTCGGAAGCTCCCAGCGTTCGCTCCGAGGCCGACAGCGGTCGTTCTCGGTCCGAGCCTGGCAGCCCTCGTTCAGAGCCTGGCAGCCCTCATTCAGAACCTGGCAGCCCTCATTCAGAGCCTGGCAGCGCCCGTTCCCGATCCGAGGCCGGAAGCCCACGATCCGAGGCTGGCACGGCCCATTCGGGATTTGAGGCTGCCAGCCCCCGGTCTGAGGCAGACAGCGCCCATTCCCAATCCGATGCTGCTACTAACCATTCGGAGGCAGCGGGTTCTCCTAAGGGGCCGCCTTCTGAAGATGAGAAGTGGGAGCAAGAGTCCAGGAGCGATCAGTCAGATGTAGAGGGAAACCACCGGCATTCAGAAGAAGAGCAGCACCTTTCCGACGAGGAACAAGAGCACAAATCAGGCAAGAATTTTTACTATGAAAAGTAACAATGAATCGGGGTTTAAGCCATCAAAAGGGAAACCTATGCCTCCCTGTAATTTTGGCTCTTAAATGTTCCAACATAATTAACCCTTTTCCCCATTACATTAGTGTAACAGAGCTGTATCATGCCTCCAATTGGCTTGCCCGGCTTCTACAGGGACCATGATTTTTGCACTCTGAAGAGGAGTGCACGTGGCATCTAGTTCTTAACTTTCAGCAAATCGTGCTATTTGCTGCATTGAAAAATATCAAGTACTGTGATTCCTGAAGAGAGTTGCAATCCTTGCCTGCAAGCACCTTTGAGCAGGTTACAGGGATTCCTATTTTCGTCAATTATTATGGTTTTATATTATTAGTAAATTTATCCAGAAATATTCCTGTGCTACTTTTTAAACCATTCAAGTGCTTGCAATCTGTGTGCATTAGAGAGAATTTCACTCCAACCAGAATTGTTCTTTCTTGAATGATTCTCCCGCACTTTCAGTGTAAGAGGAATGTTGGGGCCCTGTAGGTTTTGAACTGAAATTGAGTGCTGCGTTACTTTTGATTGCAGTGTCTGCACGAGGCAGTGACAGTGAGGATGAAATTGTCAGACAGAAGTCGAAAAAGTTAATTGAATCAGATTCTGACTCTGACGGCGATGTAAAAGACAAAGGTAATTTTGTAAACGGTTTGTTGCAGAGACGAGGTGCAAGTTGAGTTTGAAACCTCATTATTTGGACAACTTGTAATTTTTAATGCATTTTTAAAAAAAACTCCTGGAAGCTAACCCGGGTGTTTTTGTTTGTTAACTTGTGCTGACTATCTTGACTGTGTTGCAGATAAAATAGAAGGGGATGATCTATTCGGTGGTGCAGATGACATTTCTTCTGACAGTGAAGGCGAGAAACCTCCCACTCCAGGCCAACCTCCTGTAAGTCCCTACTTAAGGATCTCTTAAGTTATACAAACACGCTTTTTTAAAAAAAAAATTGATGGTATTATGTTGCTGGTTTACCAGAGTATCGTTATAGTTGACATTTGATATTATCGTTGACAATGAACGGGGAACTGGGTGACCGTAGCAATGTCATTCATTTTTCTGTACTGATAAAAGTCGAGAGAAATGTTTCGCTGTTTCTTGACGACTCTTGTTTTCATCAAAAATCTGGGGTGTCTCAAATTAAGTCATCTCCTGCATTTGTGCAGTGCTGTCTTGGCAACAAGCATTTCCAGTTCAAGTATATAGCGTAACGTTGCTTGCAATGCACTCCCAGCATTGTGTCCACTCTAACCAGAGGAGAGGTTTAGCTGCTCATCTTTCTATTTTAGGATGAGTATGGCATGGATAACGATCAACCAGAAGAGGAACCCATCCAGGAAACGAGGATAGAAGTCGAGATTCCTAAAGTGAACACCGATCTTGGCAACGACTTGTATTTTGTTAAACTGCCTAACTTTCTTAGTGTGGAGCCCAGGTATGCAAACCAGGCTGCAGCTTAACGTGTTCTTGAGTGCTAGCACGAATGTACAGGCCGGGAAATGTCACCCGATTGATCTTCCAAATTAATACAAGCTTCATTTCATTGTATTGTCCCCTATCAGCCCTCCCGAGACGCTGGCCTAAGTGAAGAACGCTATATAAATGCAAGTTGTTGCTATTGTATGGGAATATCAAAATGATCGTCTGACACAAAGTGCATATAAGCCTTCTCGATATTAGTGCTTTGTAACATCTCGGATCAATCTTTGAAAACTGCTGTAATAGCCGTGGTTCTTGCTGGTAAATGTAATGTTCTTTACGTGCGGGTTCTTGTTTCAGGCCGTTTGATTCTCAGTACTATGAAGATGAATTTGAAGATGAGGAAATGTTGGACGAAGAAGGCAGAACAAGACTGAAACTGAAAGTATGTACCTGTTGCCCAGTGGATTATTGAACATCCTGAACAGTTGGAACAGTAGCCATTTGCTGTTTGTTTTTGGCGGGAGTGATAAAATAGTTTGAGCAGAAATATGAGCACATCACATTAAAGGATCTCTCTTTGCTGTAGGTTGAGAACACAATCCGCTGGCGAGTACGCAAAGACGAGGAAGGAACCGAGTCCCGTGAAAGTAATGCTCGAATCGTCAAATGGTCAGACGGAAGGTAACGCTGACAAAGACTAGAAGCCAGGCTTCCTAGAGTTCCAGGGTTGTGTTCTTTGCAATTTAGATTTAATGTTCCCTGTGCGTTGTTTTCTCTATGCGCAAAGACAAGGGGGAGTTGAACGATTCATTATAGGATGAGACTTCTGTGTGTCCTTTAGAGAGAGCTTTAGTAGTGTGTCTCAAGACCCTTCTCTTCGACGGTGCCTTCAATCACCCTCCTATTCCCGCCACCCCTCCTGATTCCAACCACCAGCTCGGGTGCAGATCCCTGACTGTCCAACGGCTTGGGATGTCCTCCTGACATGAAAGGCACTATACAAATGTAATTTGTTGTTGTGTGACTCTGGGTCTACTGCAGATGCATCTGTATTGAATAATGATGCAAGTTGCTCTTTTTATTCTTGCCTTGTGTTCCAGCATGTCCTTGCACCTGGGAAACGAAGTGTTTGACGTGTACAAGGCTCCGCTTCAGGGGGACCACAACCATTTGTTTATCAGACAGGGAACTGGTCTGCAAGGTCAGGCAGTGTTCAAGACTAAGCTTACCTTCAGGTATGTTGATGTTCACATGATGCTTAACAGTGGTGTCATGATTTAATGATCGCTTGAATTTAATTGACATCTCCCACCTTGCTTGGGCTCCCGCTGAATATCTTGGAAGCATTTTGGGGATGTTTTTCTTCATGATCAATTTGTTGTCATTGGCAAGTATAAAAACTTTATATAAAAAGTCAAACAATCGGTTTTCCAATAGATCATTAAAGTAATCTAGTTGGATAATTAATCAGTTTGAGTTGAAAGGATGCCTTTTATGATGAACAATGTAGAATAATGTTAAGCAAATGAACTCTCTGCCAATTATTTGGGTAAAGTACATTAGAATCTATACAAGCACTCCACGTTGGTGGATTTTGTACAGCAACGTGGAGTAACTGTCAGTACACGTCCACTGCTGTAAACCTGCACAAGAATGGCTTGGCTGGCACTCTTTAATCTGCTGTTCATGTATTGCAGGCCTCACTCCACGGACAGTGCGACCCACAGGAAGATGACCCTTTCTCTGGCAGACAGGTGTTCAAAGACGCAGAAGATTCGAATCCTCCCTATGGCGGGCAGGGACCCGGAATCCCAGCGCTCTGAAATGATAAAGGTAAACTAAGCTGAGTGAAAGCCAAAGGGGAAAATGCCCAACTCTTTGGCTCCTAGCACTGGGGTGCAGGCCGTGAAATAACAAACCTTATTTTGTGAGCTGGTAAACACATTTTTACCAACATTGGTGCTTGGAAAAAATCATTTTTGCGGGTACTGTATCCACTTATTGAATTGGTTCCATAGTTTACTGCATTAACGAATTTTCGCAGGGCAGAGCGCAACATTTTTTGCACAGAGTGCCTTGGGGCATCCTCCCAACATGAAAGGCGCTATACAAATGTAATTTTGTATTGTATTTTTGGCCTCGCGCTCTCTCTCTCTCTCTCTATATATATATATCTCTTTGCTGTGGTTCAAATAAGGTGCTATATCAAATGCAAGGATTATTCGTATTATTAAATTGTAAACAAATCTCCGCAACCCTTTCTCTCCCTCCCTCCCCCGGCAGAAAGAGGAGGAACGTCTCCGAGCTTCCATTCGGAGGGAATCTCAACAGCGCCGCATGAGAGAGAAGCAGAGCCAGCGCGGCCTCAGCTCCTCCTACCTGGAGCCTGACCGCTATGACGAGGAAGAGGAAGGTGACGAGGCCATCAGCCTAGCTGCCATCAAGAACCGTTACAAGGGAGGCGTTCGAGGTATGAAGGTTTCAGTAGAGCTCAGTCAGTACAGATTGCTTCATTACCGAGATATTCAGCTCCCAACATGTTTATGGTAACAATGCAGTTCCTTTGTATTGCAGATCAGCCAGCTCGGCTGCTTTCCTATTTTGGAGACTTGTTATGAGAATTTATATTGAACGATTACTACAGTTCGGTTAGTGATGACCTGGCCAATAAGTCTGAGTCACACTTACAACATTGTAAAATTCCCCTTAGAATTTTGGCAATAGGATCCATGTTTACGAGACCCAAAAACAGGAGAGTCTTAAGAAAACTGCTGATGGAGAGAGGTTCTGCATAGCACGGCAAGCCTGTTTATATTATGGTCGCCCGGGGCCAGAGTCCAATTATCTCAGTTGCCACGTTATAATGACGTGTAAAAAATGGCCAACATCCAGGTCACCGGATGGTCTCTGACCTGATGCTGCACCCTTACACCACTTCCTGCGCATCGTCTTGCACAAGCACGACTGGCATCACTACTCAATGAAGTGACATCAGCAGCGACCTAACTACCTGGAAGTCGGCCATTTTTTCCCCCAGCTGGGTGTACCAACCGCACTTGCAATGGTCCACAGGAGACCTAAGCTGCCTCACACCCTTCTGGGGCACGATCCCAACAGAACCGCCATGCATTTATGTATTTGTCATGATCTGTATCCAAAATAGAAAGCTGGAGTCAGGTTGAGAGGGGAAAAAAAACCACTTAAAAGCCTTTGTGTTCCATAAAGGGTACGGTTTCAAAGTCTCTGCTTTCGCCTGCTTATCTGTCGTGCCTTTTTCAGAGGAACGGGCTCGGATCTACTCCTCCGACAGTGATGAGGGATCTGACGATGACCGAACACAGAGGCTGCTTAAAGCGAAGAAATTGGACAGTGATGAGGTTAGTGCAGAAAGCAGATATGCACAGTTGAAACTTCTGTGATGCTAAAAGTTAACTGATGAAGATAAAAAATAGCAGATCTCCGTGGAGCAGGTCAGCTTTGTACTATATGTATTTTTTTCCACACACAAAGTTGGGGACCGTATTTTACACTTGAATTCCTCTTCTCGAAGAACATTCTGGGTAGCTTAGTTAATTGAGTTGGAGCAGGAAGGTTCTGGAATCAATTCCCAGGATGTTTGCTGGACCCTTCAGTCTTTCACGGTTAATACGTTGAACCAGGCCTGGGGGTGGGGGAAGAGGCTCTGCAGAAAGGCACAGTAATCCAGCCCAAGTGGTAGATGACCATCACTGAGCCCAGGAGATGGCCTGAACCCTGGGGTCAAAGTCCTAATGTTTAAGGTATTGAAATAATAATGGTGAAAAGAATAATTGCTGTGGTGAAGATCGCAATCACTGCTGACCTGCGGGGCTTTTCTTTCGCAGTATGACCTATTTTCTACTTGAACAGAAGCGAATTCAGGCCGTGATTAATTTTTCCCTCTCTTCGTGCATTCAGGAAGGTGAGCATTCCGGAAAGAGAAAAGCGGAGGACGACGAGAAAGTCGTGGCTAAAAAGGCCAAAAAGTACGTGATCAGTGACGAAGAGGAAGACGACGATTAGTGTTTGTCCTCCGATCCCCCGCAGCCCACTTTGCGTCGTCTAAAAACTAAACCTGTACATTGCTCTGTAAGTAGCTGTTTTCCTATTGTCGCAGTTTTGGGATAAATTTTGCAGTAATAACTGTTTGAATGAATGTATTTTGACGGTCCACTGTATGTATCAAGACATTTTAAAAATTAAATGTGTAATGAATTTTGAACAAGTTTGAAAGCTTCTTGTTTTCCACCCGGTCGACAAAGCAAAGTGTTTTAATACACTCTCTTTGGGGAGCTACACATTTTATCAACTGTGTGCAATTTTCAATATACATACTAACTAACGTACGTATATTGCACCTCTAAATGGAGCATAGATTTGCACAAGATTTCCCTGAACTCTGTTTACCAAGTTTTGCTTCTGTTCTGAGTGGGGAACTTGCTTTGTATATGACTATTACGGCATAATTTCCAGTGATTAAATATCCATTGTGTTGTGTTTTTAACCCAGCTCTAACCCTGGAGTTGTAAGTGCGTAAACGCTTGTAAATAGATACGAGTCATTTTGCATGTAATAGCGCAGAAAGCACATGAGTGATTATGTATCTTCGTAATAATATTCTTCCCCAGCGAGACCTTTTATAGATGTCAAAGTTGCTTTGCCCAGACAGTGTCTGGAACCTGCAAGGTGTCAGTTGTCAGAATAGAGGCTGTTTCAGGGAATGTGAAGGTTTTATGACTTCCTCACAATGACAGCTGAGCAGTAATAGCTCACCTGACAACACGAATGCCGACACAGTGCAGAATTAGCCCCTTGTCATCTGGCCCAGTTGCTGACAATGGAAGCAGAATTGGAAGCAGTTCGTCCACAAAATACAGACACACCACTTTACCGTAAATCCTGTCAAGCGCTTTGAGACATCTTCACGATGTGATAAGACGCCAAATCAAATTGCAAGGATTATTATTATTATAGAATGCTGCATTACAGAATCAGAACCCAGACATGAGTGCATTGGAATAATATAGTCTGGTCCAATTGGCAGCCACTTTTTTTTACGATCTCTGAAATTCTACCCAAACTTCATCTCCACGGCCACTTTGTCTCAGAATATAAGATCGCACAGAATCGTGGAACATTCTCAAATTCAGTCTTAATTCTTAGACTTTCATTGCAGTTTTTGAAAAAGGAACAGTTTTCCAAATCAAATCAAATGATCCATTGCACTTACGTTGTGCCTTATCGCGCGCGTTGTCAACGCCTCCCAAAGCGTTTCACAGGAAATAATTGTGAAGTTTAGTGACTGTGCATTATGTACGCAAATTCAACTATTTTCCACAATTCTGCCTGATCTTCGGTTTGAAAGCCGATTGGTCTCACAGGCTAAGGCTGGCTGGACTTTTGGGCTTCTGAATCCAAAAATCTTTTGGTGACTTACTAGAGTAAATTAACATCAGAAAATGTCAAAGGTGAATTATTCCTGGTGATCACCATTTCTTCACACCTAATTCTTTATCCTACTCTCATTCTCAATGCGCGTAAGCGCACTGGTAGGTTATCTATTGTTTTGCTTTTTTTTTAAAGAGAGAGCAACAGCTTTGAGATGTCTGAAACAACGTGATAAGGTGCAATATCAAATGCAGATTTATTATTATTATTGTAAAGCTTCTGTGGAGTTTTGAGCTTGGACTGAGTTTAGCTGCACTAGGCTCTGTGACCTGCAGGTGTTGCTGTCGTGCTTCTATGCCTAGACCTCTTTACATGGCTCTTGATCGAGCTCCTCGTCAACAATCTGTAGCCTACTTTCCTATTATTAGGCTGAGAAGGAAGCCAAGTGCTTGGGGATCTTTGTTCTGTCCAAACAGGATCAATTTTAATTCAGCCTTTTTGTTAAATAACTCAAAAACAGATCGTTCTAAAGGTGGCAGGCTCTTCGGGGTGGGGGGGGGGGGGGGGGAGAGGGAGAGAAGTACTGACTCTGTGAAGCTGGTCAATCGGTCACAGTTCAACTAGGATTTTGTATGTGCCCCAGATATTCACAAGCAAAATTTTGATCAAATGGTTTGATGCATGTGGGTGGGTGGGTGGGTGGGAGAGGAATCATAACTTTATTAACCTAGATAATGTGATGTTCATTAACAAGCCAACCGAGTGGCCATGTATGGTGCTGAAAATGACAAGAAACTGATGCACAGCAGTTTAGCAGTAAAAGAGTACTCATGGGAAAGTATTGATGATGTGGAAGTTTCAAATGAGTATGTCGTTTAGGCTATTGTGCCTTATATGTCACTCAGCTCCCCAATGGATCGATCGTTCTCGTCACCTTTTGTTACCTTCATGCTTCAAGTGTAACTGGTTCCTATTGACTCGGTTTCAATAGCTACCGGTAGTAAGGTGTTACGCATTCTAATGACCGTGTACAAAGAATTTCTTCTGACTTCCTCCTTTATGATTCCAGTAATGACATTAGGCAATTCACCAGCCGATACGGAGAAACTCAATGAGTTTATAGGATGTCAAGTTCAGGAGCCAGGGCTTAATCCTCTCTGATAGAGGACGCTGAGAGACAATTGTAATGCTCTTAGCCACATAAAACAAAACATTGTTGAATTAATTGTATTGATTTCCATATTGATAGACAGAATCCTAGAATGGCGCAGCTCAGAAACGGATTATTCAGAACCGGAGGGGCGCTATAAATTAATGTAAGTGGTTGTTGCTAATTCCCTGCTTCATCTGTGTCTGACGATGCCACGTGCCAGCTGTGTAAAAATTGATGCATAAATAGGATGTGTCATTAGTGGCCCTGAAAAGGAAAACAGTCACAGGGTAAACAACATCCCAGAGCCGCACACCTAATCCCTGCACTTAGAGTGCTTTTGTTAGCAGATGGTAAAGCCTTGCTTCGCTACTCTGACATCAGGTGTATTGAGATACCTGTCTGCAGTCTTGGTAATAACTTGCCCTTCACTGTCGGTGACAGACCAGTGCACACACGCTCAATATTTTACTGAACTTTTAATCTACCCGAAAAACAAGCAGCTGTATTCTATGATCTAATAGACCAGTGTTGGCCTCCTAACACACTCTTGTTTATTCTGTGCGACAAAGATGTTTTGTGAAGCGGAAACGCGAGCCTGGTTTATACTGCGCTAACCACGTAGCATCAGGGCTTTTGTAAACGCAATCGATTTTAGTGCTCTGCACATATACGGCTTAACTCAAGCTCTGAAAACTCAAACAGGATTTTAATCATTGTTTAACAAGCCAATGGGTCCGTCAAACCCTTTGTTTGGGTGGTTCAATGGACCGACCGCAAACTTTAAACAAATCATACCTTATCTAGACCGCACGGCTTGTCGGGTGTTGAACCGCTACCGTTATAAACTTAGAGTTGAGATCCCAGCCCTGAAAAATATCCCTTTTTTTTAGAATAAAGCAAAAAGGGGCAGTGGCAGGAGCGGTAACAAAGTTTTTTCGCATGTGCTTGCGTCTGATCTCCCACCTGCTGCTCGCGATAACTGATACGTACTTAGATCGCAAACCATCAAGTGACATTTGAACGGCAGGTGAGCATGCGTGGGCAGGCAATGCACGACTGCTTCATGTACACTCATTCACCACTACACAGTGTGTATCTTGCTTCTACCACACGTCTGCTTTCATTTTGACTTCCAGGAGTGAAGCTCTGACTCTTTTTTAAAAACAAAAAGGACAGCCATATTTTCAACGGCCTATTTTTCACAAGGATGGGATGAATCTTCCGCTTAGTACTCAAAGTTCTCTTGAGAGAGATCGAGAACAGCGAGATCATCGCAAGTTACAATAAAAAAAGGAAAACATTGAGGGAACAGATTTTGACAATGAACCGATGAGCATGTCTGAGGCACTGACTCGCGAAATGGGAGAGAGGAGGGGGAAGAGAAAAGTTCAGATAGTTTTGATAGCAACTATTGCTTATTATCCAATAATCTGAACAATTTTATCGAACTGAATATGTAATTCAATATGTAATTCCAAATATGAGGGGGGAAATACCGTATATTTACCAATAGAGTAAAGTAAGGTAACAAAGTGCAAGTGTGGACCTAAGCAGTTTCCTCTGTGATGGACTGAAAAGGTAAAATGTGGGACTCATTATTACAGACACCTCCAATGGCAAGCAAAGATCATCTCCTAATTTAGGTTCTAATCTTTAATTAAGTGGTTATTAGAAGCAGTTATCACGGGAGTAGTACTGGCAAGCGTGCAATATATTTGTTTGTTGTTCCGTTGACGTGATCCGACTGGAAAGATGCACTTTCTGTCCTTTACATAATCAGGTCGGGTTACAACGGGCAGTGACTTTTAACAGAAAATCCCCTGCCAGGCTGAGCCAACAGGAAATACCTACCAGCAATTACATCACCACAACTTCCTTACATGCTCCCTGTGCCTGGCTTTCCAAACTACGGGAGATTCAGGCACTAATGGGGCCGCGTGTGGTAATATCACGCAGTTCACATCAGGATGCTTTCAGCATTGGCGCTGGAAGAGATAAGGGTGGGGAGGGGATGGGGGGGAGGGTGAATTGTTGTTCATGCAAAGGGATTTTTAGAATTTTTTGGAATGAACGGCCTATTTACGTGTCGAATCGTTCTACGTAACTTGGAATGTTTTGCCCACAAGTCTGTACTGAAGCAAAGACTATAAGGGGGAAAGGGCAGGAAATTGGGATTATTACACATGGTCTCAATGGAGGAGCTGGCAGTAACATAGGCCTCCTTCTGCGCTGTCATTTGTACAATTCCATTCCAAATGTGGTTATTACGCAGATGGAACAGAGGGAGGTATTGGTGGCCTCTAACTGCCTAAACTCAGAGGAACAAAGGTGTCCTCTGCAGTGGTGACTGGCCGGTGTTGACTTGCCAACACTGGCTTCAGGTCAGTGTGAAACCCACGAACACGGCAGTACGATTTCACGTGAGTGTGAGCAAGGTGAGTTACATTGCTACGTTTCTTCCAGAATAAAGTCCAGGGGGTCTACATGCTTTCATATTCCGGAACCGGAATTGGGAAACGGCTTCTACTGCCAACAATCGGATGCTTTAGCAATAATAATCATTACATTTGAAACACCGCCTTTCATGTCCGGAGAATGTCTCAAAAGGGCTTCACAGGACACACTGTAAGTACAGTGGCTGTATGTATTTTGCGGGCAAACGAGGCAGCCAATTTGCGTAC